TTCACAATATGTGCCCTTCTGGACTACTCAGGAATGTAGTTGTCCTTGAGGGAGAAGGGGGAAGGAGTACACTTTTGGAGTTTCTTCGAAGCTGTGCATTCATCAGATGCACGTGCCTGACAATGGTTGTCGCTTACGAGGAGTTCCAAAAGATACTTAGATTTGAAAAACCCAGCAGATTTCTGAATGAAACTGCGGATGAAGAAAATATTTTAGAAATATGGTGAGCTTCCTTCGGACACTGAAAATGATTTTAGTGATTCAGAAACTAAAGATGATGATTTTAATTCTGAAGGTCATAATTTTATCGGTAAAGCTGGATTAACAAGATGGGCAATATCAATGGGATGTAAAAATGTTAAACGAAGGTAACATAATATTATAACTAAATTACCTGGCCTAATAGGTACTGCAAAAAATGCAAGAAGTATATACCATTCTTGAAACTGTTTTTCTACCGATGAAGTACTAGACATAATTGTCACTAATACAAATAAATTTATTTCTCCAATTAGAAGTAACTTCAGTCGAGAAAGAGACGCATATTTAGTAATTTTATCTAGAGCTAAATAAATGTTCAGTAGAGCTTCGATTAGAATTTTGATTACTCGAGGCTCCGTGCTATCTGTGCTCAATGCAATAAAAATGAGTCGTTATGAAGCAACAGGCAACTACTGTTGCTTTGCAACAGAGTATGTTACGAAGCAACAGGCAAATTTTAGAAGAACTGTGGTCTACAGAAGGAATGGGAGTAGAAATGTTTCGAATAGTAATGTTTATAAAAAACGTTTTAAATTTTTCCTTAGATGCTGTAGATTCAACGACAAAGAGACATGTGGAAGATAATTAGACAAACTAGCACTGGTAAGAGAGACTTTTGAATTATTTGTAGAAAACTGCAAGAGAAATTATTGCATGGGGCAAAATGTAACTACTGAAGAAAAGTTGAAAGGTTTACCGACAAAGCCCAACAAATATGAAATAAAATTATTTGCCATGGTTGATGCAAAGACACATACATCAAATTTAGAAATATATGCCAAGAGACAACCAGAAGGACCATATAATGTGAGCAATGCATTTTCAGATGTCGTTCTTCGATTAGCAAAATCAATTTTCAACAGCGGAAGAAACATAACAGGAGATAAATTGGCCTAATAAAAAAAAATTGAAAGAGAAAAAACTTTCATATGCAGGTACATTGAGGAAAAAATAAAAAAGAAATACCTCCTTGCTTTCTAAAAACAAAGGGGCATGAAGTTTATTCAAGTCTCTTTGGCTTTCATGAAACTTGCACTTTGGTGTCGTATATGGTGTGTGTGTGTGTGGGGATGAAACCACCTTGCATCGAGTATGCGTATGGATGACTCCATTGATTGGGAAACGGGAGAGGAAAGAAAACCCAAAATAATTATTTTTTATAGCGACACAAATTTTGGATTGGATGCTCTTGATAAAATATGTGGAACATGTAATTGTGACCGTAACACCAGAAGATGGCCAATGGTTGTATTTTATTCTATGCTGAACATTTCAGCAATAAATGGACTAGTGGTTTATCTAGGCAATCAAAATTTGGTAAAAAATAGAACAGAGTATCTAAAGGCCCTATCACTTTTATGAACGTGCACGCTTACCCGGGATAATTCCGACAAACGAGATTCTGGTAGCAAGGCTTCCGAGAAATATTTCGTCTTGCTAGGAGGAGCATGTCCCGGCTACGAGCAACATTTTAAAACTTGTCCAAAAATGTTCCGGCTGGAGACGTATTCCTCGAATGTTCAACCAATCAGATGAAAGTTCTGCTTCTGAAGGATCACGGGTAACTTTCAATATGGCGATGGCTCTCAAAGTGAAGTCATGGACAGTGGAAATAGAGGCCAATTTAATTATTGCTGTTTTGTTGTAATACAACTGCCTGAGTCATTTTTTAAATGTTTATATATTCATTAAATATATAATCGTGGAAATTTCAGAGTTGACAGTATTTTATGACATTCTTGCAGTTTGGATTTGTTTACAAATTTTTCGTCACCAAAAGTTCGCCAAATTTGTCGTATTTCATGCTGATCGTGTATTATCACTGTTATATAATAGAATTTTATTTCTTAAATTTAAGTTGAATAATTTTTTTAAATCCGTTTGTATATGCGCGGCTTTTCTCCTAATTTCTCCTAATCTTTTAAATTGTTAATTGCATAATCAGTGACACATTTTAAACAGCATAAAAGATGCATAAAAAAAGAAAAGCATCGCTTATGTAATAATGAGAATACTCATTAAATTTGTCTATTATTTTCATGTTATTAGTGAAATACTTTTTGGATTATAAATACGTTAGAAACTATACTTTTATTGTAAATGCTACATATTGAAACATTGGAAATTTATAGATTTATTATTATGCATGATGAAAAACATTTGCATATACATTCATTGATATACATCTTATTCATTACATTAATACTAATAAATATATATTAACAACTTCTAAACCATCGCATCTCTCTATCTGTATGTATGAATACAAAAATGAACATTGCCAAGAAGTTTATCAAGTTACTTTTAACTCAGATAATGATTATGTAATTGGCAGCAACTATAGTATCAGTTTTTTGCAAATTATTATGTGTATGTAATAATCAGTTAAAAAATAATTTATGTGTATTTGAGTACTAAAGAGTGTACACATTTTTTTATTGGGTTAATTCATAATTATATCATATGTATGATCTACGTAATAAAAACATGACTAATAAATAATAAGAAATGTAACAGCTGTGCATTTATAACATTTGATTACATAAAACAGTGCACAATTGATTATCACCTTCATGTCTGTTTACATAATGACTTGCACTTTCCAATTAAGTGCACGGGCCTACTAGTGGCCGAAGTGTCTTTGAACACTGGTAGTTCTGTCTCAGGTTAGAATGCTGCAAACGGGATGCCTACATGACGTTTCCTTGGTTTGCCCCATTTGTAACTGGTATTTTAGCCAGTTTTTAAAATTTTAGCCAGTTTTAAAAAATCTTCTACAAAGGGATCCCTCCTGTTAGGCAGATATCCCTCAAGGCTTTGCCGTAATCACATAAAACAAACTCATGATGTGCACCACCTAATTTCTAGAGTTGGTATAATTAATGTGTTTTAGGTGTATTGCCGAGTGTTCTATGGGACAGTAAACAACTCGTGCATGTTTTGATTGCTCATGTGTTCATATGCTTTGTTTGATCTTCATTTTGCTAAATAGTATCTGCTGGCTGTGAGGATGTAAATATCAGCCATATAGACTTTTGTCATAAATGGTCTTTTTTTTTTTTTTTTTCTTCCTGTTTGTTTGTTTGAATGGACAGAACAGTAATTATGAGCCATAAAGTTAGTCAAGGTCAGAAGGTGGTCACCAGGTCACAAATTTTCCATTGAGCCATGAAATTTTCATTCCAATCCAGACAACAGAAAATACACATAAATAATATCGGATAAATAGAGTTATCCAGCACATGTTTTAAATTATTTTTAGTGTATACAGAATTTGGCTATTAATGATGTCATCGATTACTATAAACAGAAGTGTGTTTATCTGTTACTTGAAGTGCCAGAGTGGAGATCAAAGTCATTAACTTGATAGCAATCACCTTTCTATTATCTTCCATTACTAACAAAAGTTTAAAACGAAAAGTGTGTAAGCGATACAAAATTACACGAAGAAGCGAACGTCACTTTCGCCAATCTGAGCGATAACTGATTCTTGTTTGGCTTTCAGCCTGTTTACCAAGCAACAAATATCGTATGTGATAAGGGTTTAAGAGGATTAGTAAAAGAACTGACAAATGAAGAAATCACTAGACGCCTCACAAAAGCTAATTTATCAAGAGATTTGCAAAGGAAGTTGGAAAATAACAAACCGTCTCTAGAACATAAAAATGCCGTAAAATGTCCAAATAAGCAAAAACAGTGTTCTACATGCTACGGATTCAAGAAAAGCAAAATGACACAATATTCTTGCACAAAATATAACGAGTATTTTAGCTTGGAACATGCCGTTATGATGTGTAAAAAATGCTCTGAAGAAGAGCCTCCAATAGAATATGATTCTGATGAATAAATAAATACATATTTCCTTTTTTAGAAAATCTTCATACAGATCTTATTCTTAAGAGAAACATTAGTGCTGAAGTATTAATTACGTTTTTCATACGATCAATCATTTTATGTAAAGTTTTAGCTACTTTGTGTTTTATTCAGGAATAATGTAAAGCATTAAGTAATATATTATTATTAGTTTAATTTTATTTTCCTTTATTTCCCCAAAACATTCATTCTTTGTTTAAAAAGTAACATAAGTAAAAAACACAAACAGAACGCTTAATCAATGACATAAAAATTAAGAAATGTTAGAAATCATAGGAACATAAGCAGTTATACACTGTTTCCAAATAGTGTGATCCAGTGCCTGTGATGGATCTGCACTAAGTCACAACATAAAAGAACTTCACCTTGGTTTTATGTAAACATAATAAATTCTTCTCATGATTCTTGATCTTGGACATCTTTTTAAAAAAGTTTATATTTTTACTAACTCTCCCCAGATCATTCCTTCCCCTGCCTTTCCAGGATTATCAAGGCAATCAGAAATCTTACAAGAGGACGTCTTACACTGGCCTCAGATAGGCACATCTAATGTTGCATAACAATGTAAAAACGGATGCTAACTGACATTACTCATATTTAACATCATACTATTCAGAATTTACAAAACTGAAATAAAAATCATGATATGCCTTCACTTCCAACTATTCTAAGAGTCGAAGTCATTAAAGCAAATAAGATGATTACGTAAAATTATAACAATATTAATGTTTGTTATCAGTAAATGATACTAAAGCAATACAAAATACAAAAAAGTAAACAATTCCAACACTTCAGTGCGAAACAGCTGAAAGCAAATTTAAAATTTTAGAAGCAAAATTTATTTTGGACTAAAAAATAATAATTACCAGATGTTGCTGTGAGGTAGTCATCAGACTTTTCAACAATTTCAGAATTCACAGCTAATTCCTTACCCTAACAAAACAAAACAAAAAAAAAAAAAAAAAAAAAAAAAACATATAATGCACCATATATAAGCATACACATAATTTCCAAACATTAAAAAGTCAGGCCACTCAATGCAGGTTGCTGTTTTAAAGAACATGAAAAATACTTGAGTTACAAAAGTGAAAAAATATTTCAGCTTTCCAGGAAAGGCTTTAATACATAGCTGTTGAAATACAATTCATGACTACAACTTAACCAATCATACTACTATAATTGCTGATTACTACCATTAAATTAATAATCAGTGTGATAGATGAGCTGGAAAATCACTGCACATTTCCTCAAACTGTGGAGATAAACTAGATATATCCACTCTCATTTCCTCTTCCACATTAATTTTTGCTTTATACTACAGCAACTGTTGAAAAGCTTTGCACAAATACAACATTGAAAAAGGAATTAAAATCTGCTCAACCTTATCATCTAGAAAGAGATATTCATCTTTTATCGAAATCCAGAATTCTGTCAATTCAATGCTGTCAACTTTTGCATTCAAGCTGCTGTCACAAGATAACTGGGTAAGATTCTCTTTCGCAATTCAGATGGAGCACTAGTGTTAAACTGATCTTGAGTCCATGCAAATATATAAAAATTTCCATTTTGACAGTATTTCTCAAACCAGATAATTAGCTGTGATAAGTGACTTTCAAACAATAGTTTTATATCTCAAGGAAGATCAAGTTCATCTGACGTCAAGATTTGCTGCAATATTAAAAAATAATCTTTGCCTGCATTTTCGTTCAATTTTATTTTCCATAGATTGAATTTTTTTTATAAAAGCTCATATTTGCTTTCTGTTGACTTCAAAAGATTTTTTTTTTTTTTTTTTTTTTTTTTTTTTTTTTTTTTTTGCAGAGAAGGATTAAGAGAATTCGGCTTTTCAGAAATGTTGCAAATGTCAGTTTTATTAAAACATCAGTATTAGCAGAATCTTCTGAGTCTTTGTATCCTTTCTCATTAAGAAAAATAAAAATTCTTCAGGCAATTCAAAGGTACATGATAAGATATTACCACATGAAAGACATTGCGCACTGCTATATTACAACAAAAGACGAGTGTTTGGCTCCCATATTCTCATAGTTTTTAAAAAAATCCTTGCTTTCAACTGACATTAATATTTATAAATTATTTTTATAAATATTAATTATTAATTATATTTTATATAAATATATATTTCTCATTATAAATATTATATTACAATTATACTTATATATATATATTATATTTTATAAAATTTACAACACTTACTACATATTCTAACACTTGATTCGGTGCAGGTCTCAGATGCTTTGATGAAAGCATTTCTCTGTGAATAATACAATGGGCCCAGAGTACATTTAGTGGATTTGCTTTGAATAAGTGCCTATAATCCTTCACAGCAGCCAAACATGGAGCGAGCTCTATGAGTACTGATACCAAAAACACTTAGGCCAATTCAAATTTTCAGATATGAATGTATCAAGAATCTTGAACAGGTCCTGAGCCTTCGCCGCTGTAGTAATATGCTTAAACAGAAGGTCTTTAATATTATTACCATCTATAACCCATACATAACTTATCAAATGAGCATCCATAGTTTCATCTAGCTGTAATTCAAACTCCTCTCTAATTTTTAAAATCCACTGCCATATGCTGTATTCTACAACTATGCTATTGGACAATGGCCACTTTTAAAAGTGGCTTCTCGGCAGACTCACCAATCAAGGTGTTCACTATATCGACACCAGCCGCTAGAACAAGTTCTTCAATGATATGAGGCTTCTTACATTTCCCATTTCAGTAAGCCACCTTATAAGATACTACCGAAGTGTTGTTTGGTAATGATGCATTCAAGCAGTTTAAAAACACAAAATACATATTGTGGTCTCTTCATTTCTGTTGACATAAAGCCAAACTCTAAATAACCATTATCATATTTACAATATTTTCATTTGTTTGCAGTTGTGCCATTGATTGAAAACACACTTTCTTTATCTGCACAATTACATTTATTACTGTTTCAAAATCAGTCCATCATCAAAGATACAACAGGAAAAAGAACACAAGACATTTTTCAAAAACAATGAACAAGAAGTTATATACAGTCAAAAGTGGTTAATCCGGACTCGTCGGGACTTCGGCGATTCCGGATTATAGATCATCAGTTTAAATATGGTAAGTTTGCATGCAGAAATTATAAAATTAAAAATACGAAAACGTAATTTATGAAATAAAGAAAAATTACTATTTAAAGGGTATCAAAATTTACTTTAAAAAAAAAAAAAAAAAAAAAAAAAAAATTGTTTACTTTATTAAACATTATTTCAATGCAGTTGTTTAGCTTGACTATAAGGAAACACGCTAATGTGACAATCAAATCTTAAAAAAAAAAAAAAACTTATATTTAGCGTAGGTATAATGAAACACTCAATCGATTTCGAGGGCAGCTAAAGGTCCCTCCTCATCAGGAGAAAGAAATACATAGAAAAAAAAAAGGAATCACAGAAACACGTGAGCCTGCTGTCTGATCAAGCATAAAGAATATTAGCGAAGTTAAAATAGGGAGCGAGGGGCAAATGACATTACGCTCAAAATCTGAACTTCAAATATGGAAAGCACCACTGAACGGATTTTAACCCTCTGGTAGTACTAAGTGCGAGGAGGTAACGCCATCTACGCAAAATAATTAAGACAAGTAGAATTTTAAAGGCATTAGGAAGGACTGGATTGGCTTCAATCATTAACTAACTTTCTAAATCTTTTGAATGTGAAAAGCCTCAAGAAATCCAATTCGCCTATGGAAAGCCTTTTGGATGATTTTTGCAGACCAAAATCAATTAGTTAAAGTCCGCTATGATACGCTATTGAAAACCTTGTTAATTTCCCCTTTTTTGACATAAGATCATGTTCCTTGATACGAACTTCACGCTCTTTTATTTGGCCATATATCTTAAACCACACTGACATGATATACTATAAATTCCCCAAGAATTCAAGACAGAAACGCAATCTTTTAGAATCGAAGGGTGAATTTTATTAATAGGGGAGAAACGACTTGAAAATTGAATTTCTGGAGCCGTGCATTTTATGCTAACAGAAGGATAAAATGGAAGCACGACAAGGTCATGATATTTTTTCTAACAGTGAATGTCCTTCTTTGATGGAATCTGAAAATTTTTGACGGCTTTATCAATATCACGAGAGAAAATCCCGGTCAATCGCACTGCTCTCAATAATTAAGTTCATTGGTAAGCAAAGATTCAGAGGACAAACTTTTTAGCGCGCGGAAAACTAATAGTAAAAAAAAGCCATTTTTTGCTTACAGGGCATGACTTGGCCTGGGTGGTAAACAAACTGCAAAGGGTTTACGTACACACAGTGGTGCTAAATCGGTTTCATTGCGGATTATAAGAATATCGAGGAAGGGGAGGGAATTGTTGGATTCAATTTCAAGAGTGAATTGATGGCTGGATCAATTGAATTCATAATACTAGAATCTGGATAAATCCTCTTTATAACGTCAAAAGTGCGAAAGTGTCGTCATACCAATCCAAAGACGAAAATATTTATCAAATAATTCATCCAAAAGTGCATATAATGTCAGCAAGTACCGGAATGAGAGGATTACCATAGCCAATCCTTCAACTTGACAAAATATGCATTTGGAAACACTGGGTTTGACTAGAGAAACTTTAGTAAGCGAAACCAACTCATTTTTCAGTAGTGTGAAGTGAAATTCCCGAAGCCTAGTTTAAGACAATTTAGTGCTCCTTCGACCGGAACATTAGTAAACAATGATTTGACATCAAATGAAACCATAATGGAACGAAGTGGGAATCTTTTTAATTATCAATGCTTCAACAGAATTTTTTTACGTGTGAATATTGTTCAGTACAGAAAATCTGGAAACTAAATATTTGGCCGTACACCTTGCAGTTTGTTTACCACCCCATGCCATCATGCCCCCCTGTTAAGCAAAAATGGCTTCTTTTTACTATTATGTTTTCCGCGCTAAAGTTTGTTCCTTGAATCTTTGCTTACCAATGAACTTAATTATTTGAGAGCAGTTGCGATGACCGTGGATTTTCTCGTGATTATGATAAAGCCTCAAAAATTTTCAGATTCCCATCAAGAAGACATTCCCCATTAGAAATAATCAATGACTTGTCGTGCTTCCATTTTATCCTTCTGTTGCTAAAAATGCACGGATCTCCAGAAATTCAATTTTAGTTCGGTTTCTCCCCTATTAATAAAATTCCCTTCGATTATTCTAAAGATTGTGTTTCTGTCTTGAATCTTGGGGATTACGTATCTCATGTCAGTGTGGTTTAAGAATATTGGCCAAACAAAAAGACGTTAAAGTCGTATCAAGGAACATGAATCTTTGTCAAAAAGGGAATTAACAAGTCTTCATAGCGATCATAGCTGGACTTTAACCATAATTTTGATTTTGGGTCTGCAAAAATCATCCAAAGGCTTCTTCCATAGCCGAATTGATTCTTGAGGCTTTTCACATTACAAAGATTTAGAAGTTTAGTTATGATTTGAGTCCAATCCAGTCCTTCCTAATGCCTTTAAAATTCTACGTCTTAATTCAATTATTTTTGCCGATAGATGGAGTTACTCTTGCACTGGTACTACAGAGGGTATAAAAATCCGTTCAGTATTTGCTTTCCATTATTGAAGTTCAATTTGAGCGTAATGTCATTTGCCCTCGCTCCCTATTTTAACTCGCTAATATTTCTTTATGCTGATCAGACAGCCTGTCATAAAAGTAGCGGCCAGTGCACCTGATTAAAAATCTAGTTAATCCACGTGCAGTGCTGATAAGCACCACGTGTTTCTGATTCTATTTTCTTCTTTTCTATGTATTTCTTCTCCTGATGAGGAGGACCTTTAGCTGCCCTCGAAATCGATTAGTGTTTCATTATACCTACGCTAAATAAGGTTGTTTTTTACGATTTTGATTGTTTAGGTTGCTTCGTTTTTTATATGATAATACTTTCTCTTTAATTCTATTAACAGACATAATTCTTGTTTAGTTACAAAGTTCCACTGTTCAAGTCCTATAATATTGTGTCAAGAATACCGACTATTTGTCACCGAAACTTTTTCGTTTTCAATAACCTCTGAGTCACTTTCTCCCTTTGAAGCGAATTATAATGACGAGGAATTTGATTTAGATCATATCAAAGACGGAGTACATCGAGATGAAATATTACATTAAGTAAGGAATTATAAGCCAAATAAAATAAAAACATCTGCCCTGAAGATAAGGATAGTGCTGACAGATCAGCTTCCAGTTCATTGCGTGCCGCAGAGCCGCGTGAAATTGATAAACTGATTTCGGAATGGTTAGATAAACAAAGGATATGCCTTTAACCATTTTTTGCAGCAATTCCACCTTTTGTTTAATGGACTTCGAAACATACTTTTGCTTTGTAGATCCTTTACATATTAGTAAATATATATCAGAAATTCTATTTGACATAATTGAAAGTTCAAGCTTACTTTTATAAAATTGCTCTAACAGTCTGCAAAAATAATACCGGATCCAATTCGAAGATTTAGGAACAACACAATCTGCAACATTAACTGAATTAGATAAATTTTAGCTTAGCTTATACCGTCCGTTATACATTAAACGCTCATTCGTAAACGTATTTTGCGCATGTGCACACACATATTCGCAGTCGTAAAAGTCTTACGCGCATGCGTAGCTTCGAGGTCCGGATTATGGGTGTCTGAATTAACGACTTTTGACTGTAATGCTAACTATATTAAATGAACTAATTTATATCATTGTTTATTTACGTGAAAAGCTGAGTTTAATTTTACCAGAATTAGATTATAAACCGACTGACTAAATCTAGCCACCAATGCTTGCTTGTATGCTTTTCACAAGATCTTCCAGAAGACAGTTCAAATAATCTGTTGCGAAGGGTCTACACACCTATATTAACAGGCAACCTAAGTTGAGAACACTGAACATAATGGAAAGTGTATGCATCCGCCATAGAATACAGTTCTACCACTTCGAGATGTCATATTGCAAAAATTATGCTTTGAACTATAAATAATGTAGAGCAAGAGAACAGAATGAAAAACACAGTATGCTGCATCCAGCTTTTTATTTTAAAAGTTGCTAATATCATGTCAATCATTTGATGACCAAAAGGAAGACATCCCCTTTTTTAGCATTACTGGCAAACAACTTTGACATCAACCCACACTCGATGAGAAAAGCTATTAAACCATTCAATGAAGGGGATAGAAGAAAGCAGTTGTTATGGCATCTGCTTTATCTCTGACATATTTATATAACTTCAAAACCTTATAAGGCTGGAAAACCACTACACAATTCTGCTAAGATTATCATTATGAATACTTTTTTCAAATTATGGGAGCACTTTCCTGATAAATCTGGTAATGAAATTACTTTTGCTGCTGATTTCAATCATGTTTCTGTGACAAGCATAAATTGCATGAAATCTGACATGAAAGAAAATGGTGGAATTTCAATTCTGGGAAAAAAATTACTTCTGAAAAAACTGCTAAAGCACTTTCTAATATATTTATCGAAAAAATTCTTCATAAAAGTGGACCCATGTGGCTGTATTTTAAAACTCCCAAGTTAAAAGTAAAATTAGTATTATGTTAAAATTAAGTTTTATCAACCTTATTATATATTTAGGATTATTTATCTGTGATAACAGTCATTGTAAAATAAATTTACTGATGATATAATAAGATATAGTTATAAGTGTATATGTGTGTACACATACACTAACATATACATACAGCCATACCCCACTTACATATACAATATATATAAATCTCACTTTACATATACAATATGTATAAATTTTAGTTAAATAACAATAAGAGTGAAAATACATTTGTTTAGAAGAAAAATATGTAATAAAGACTAAAGTTTTCATACATATCAATATAAAATGGCATTCAAATAAATGTACCACATAAAATGGAGTTATGTCAATACCTATGGTTTCCATAAAATTTAACACACTCAAAGATTATTTTAATCATGTTAAACTTCTCCATAGCAAGCTAATAATTTCATGATTCTTAGACTTTTAGCTAGAATGGATTTCTCATAGAAGTCAATGTTCTTCGGCATCTGTAACGCCCCTTTTTTTTTCTCAGTTCAACAGAGACCACATGCCCAGTTCCAGAAACTTAAATCATTTTTAAAAATATGGTTAATAATAATTCTAAATAAAGGGGAAAGTAATTACTTCTGCAAACTGTTTATTGAACTCATCCACAGCTTCAAGAGAGCTGAAAGTAGCCCGAAATTGTCTGCGCTTCGGAGGTTCAACACTCAGATCTATAGCTGTCCAAGAAGCTTTCTTTCCCTCGACTCTCAGACAAGTCTGTATTGCAATGACGTTTTCACATAAACAATTATCTTTGTCATCCATCATTAAAATACGGTAACCATACACAGTATCATCATACAACATCTGCAAAGTACCCATTCCAGCAGGCTGAAAATGATAATTTTCAAATTATAACCATCTCATAAGATGCTAAATACAACACTGATAAGTACGTATTTTTGTCACACATTATATAAATAACAAAAACTACAAAACAAAAATGTGTTAAATACAATTTTACAAATTTTAGCTAAAGTAATTTATAAAAGATATTAATATTAAAGATTTATGAGTGTAGAATAGAAGCTGCACAAGAACATGAGCAATGTTTATTAACAGTGAAAACAGCAATGTAACATACTTTTGAACAACAAATGCAACCTCCTTTTTTAAATATCATAAAACTAGAATGAAAATAAAATTCAGATACCAAACAGATTGGTATACAATATTAAAATTGTATTTTAAACAGCCCAACACAATGTTGTAGCAATAAATAGAATTATGTAAAAAATACACACACATTTAAGTAAAATTTTGGTCATCTTTTAAAATAATACTGTATTCTGCTACATATAACAGAATTAAATTACTTTTTTTATTTACGAATCTTAAACATTTTACTTTTTTACAGATTTGAAGGAAGCTATGCAACCTTTTTTCAATTGCATATAATGTGAAATACAGGTGAGAAAGCTATATACGTTACCTTAAATTGATTAGAGCTTTCATCAAATATTTCAAATGATACTCTTTTTTCAAATATAAAGTCATCTTCCTCACTTTCTTCATCTGAATTATGCTCATTATTTTCAGATTCAGGAGCCACATGATTACTTTGGGTTTCTAATTGATTTGAAGTTTTCTGAGAAATTTCAGTTTTTTCTGCATTCTGCTTTGTGCAGTTTGAAACTTGACTTTCTGTGACATCTTTTCCTTCAGATTTCTGTTCAGTAGAAGCTATATAAAAATATACATACTGTTCTTATAGCGAAACATATTTTCCAAATTTAGATATTAAAATAAAACTTTTCAAAATGGAAACAATAAGAAAAACAAACAGATCAGCATAGCAATTACATTAAAAAACATACACAGAAATTGGATTAAAAAATAAAATTCAGAATTGTATGAAAATACACAATATTCAAAATACAATATATTTTCTTTCAGTTATACTGTTTCAATAACCATAAATTTCATTATAAAATACCATGGAACCAAAATGCCCAATCTTCACATAATATTGATATACTTTAATTTTAGAGGAACTTTAAATTTTCGAGTTATAAAAGTGAAGGAATATTTTGAAAACCGTATACAATAGAAAAAGAAACCTAACTAATAACTATAGTAAAATACCTGCAATTAACTTATTACATAATTTAAAAATTCCTTTACATGTAAAACATTTACTAACACAAAATCTAATGTTAGAATCCAGTATTATTTTTAAAATTTCAGATAGAAGATATAAAATAATAGTGCCATGTCGATTAGTCGAACTATGCATCACAAAAACTTGACGTATTAGTTCAATGGCTGGGTACCACACGAGTTGACTTGAGCAGACATATTCAGAACTACACTAATTTGCTTGAATATCAATGCAAAAACAAAATTCTGAACTTGATTATCACTTGTGATGAAAAGTAGATTTACTTCAACAACACAGGACCGAAAGAGGGTTGGTCTGGCCCGGTGATCCCATCAGTAGCGTTGCGAAATGCAATTAGACTAACAAAAAGTTCATACTTTGTATCTGGTGGGATTGCCGTGGTGTTATCCACAAACAGATTCTGGAAAAAATGGTACAACCCTCGACAGTAAGGTGTACAGCAAGATGTTAGTTCGTGTTGACGCTGCTATCAAAGAAAAACGTATAACTGAGTTCCAGTGCAAAGAAGTAATGTTACATCAAGATAATACAAGACCTCATGTGTCTGAATTCATCAGCCGGACTCCGTAGACTCGAATGAGATTTTTTGCCACATTCACCATATGGCTCCAACATCACTCCTTCGGACTTCTACCTTATTTTATTATTATTATTTAACACCTGCAGCTACATCTTGCTGGTGCTATCTTTCATTCTGCACAGGACGTCTGAAATGAAGTTGATCTCTTTTTGGACTCACTGCCACCAAGTTTTTGAGCTGAAGGCTATGAAAAACTACCAAAACATTGGCAGAAAATCATAGACTTAAGTGGTGTTTACTACTGACACTAAATAATTGATGTTGAGACCAAAATCAATAAAATAAAAAAAGAAAAAGGTGTTCTATATCAATCTTCCAATGCTATGTTTCAGAATGTTGTGATTTAACTAACAATATGAATAAATTATGAATAAATACTATTTTAAGAAATTAAAATTATAATTTTTCACATATCTACACAGAAAATAGTGTTCCTACTTTTGGGTTTAAAGCAATATTCCAATCCATTCAATAGATATATAGAGATAACCTAAAATTCATTTCAAAAGGATTTTGTACCTAAAACTTCATAAAGAGTTTAAAACAATTTGAAAGAAGTAATAGAGTTTAAAACAATTTTTTTCTATGGTCAAATTTTAAGAAAGAAATACTTTAAAACCGTATCTACATACACACTGCTTTAAAAATTTGTGAATTATTATTTTTAGAATTTACAGTAACATAAAAACTGTATTTTATATACAGCTTCTGCTGAATTTAAAGTACCTGATGTAAGATGTTCTAATAAAACATGAAATAAAGCATAAGATAAAGTTAGTAATTCACTCTCCATTATATCTATGGGCAGATCCAAAAACTCAATCACAGCAACAGACAAGAAAATAAATTCTAGTTTGGCCCACATTTAAATCCTAGCAACCAGGCTCATTGCATAGCCATTTTCATTATTTTTGTTACGTATAATGTGAATACAAGTTAATTCCACAGAAATTTCTTCATGAAGGCAGCCCTTCTTTTAGGCAGATATTTTATCATAATCTAATTAATCCAAATCTGATCCAGAAGCCCATTTAATTTCATAGATATAATTTCGATAACAGGCTAAATTTATTTTTTCCTTGAAATTTGTCATGCCACATTTTTTAATATAACTGCGTTCATTGTCACTGCATTTCTTCAAAAGGCGGATCATTTAAATAGATTTATAATCTACAGAAATATGTATGGATTGTCTTCGAAAGTTTTGAATAATTTAAGCTCCTAAAAAGGAGTATTAATCATGTATCTAAATTACTTTTTAAAACTACATACACTGAATCACTTGAAGTGCACTTATATTTTTCAAATCAAAAGTGATTCTCAATTTAAATACGAGTACCGCTCCCTCAAGGAGGGGGGGAGACATTTTAAAAAGTTCTTTTAACATTATTGATAATATATTATTTATATTTTACATTCACAATAAAATTAGCAACTAACCTTCAGTTGATTTATGAGTATGCTTTATCAATTCAATGCATTCATTAAACTTTTCCCGGAATTCTTCTAAGAAATCTTTGTTCTAGAAAGAAGAATAAAATAAAATTTTACATAAGCACAAACATGCTGCTAATAATTTAAGTACATAAAAATCAATATAAGAATTTAAAAAATATTGTGGAATTCCAAGCAGTGGAAATGAACATGAGTTCAAGAAAATTAATGTACATAAAGCTGTAGTAATAGTAAAGTAATCAAAAATTTTAATTTTCTTATTTAACCTAAAAGGACTGGGAGACTAGGGGCAGGACAAAGTCAAACAGAAGTGGCCAGATGGCTAAATGTGAGTCCTTCTGTAGTTCATAGAGTTTGGAGGCAATTTCAAACCACAGCTTTGGAACCTAGGAGGTTCAGCCAAGGACGGCCAACTGCTACGACGAGTGCTGATGACCAATATTTGACATTATGTCCACTCAGGAATAGAACCGCTACTCCGACTCTTCTTAGATCCTCCCTTCCTGCAGACACCGGAAGGTTGGTGTCAACGTCAACTGTGTGTAGAAGGCTTCACGAAGGTGGTCTGTATGCGAGACGAACAACCATTAGCATGCTGCTCAAGTCACGCTATAGGAGGGACCGTTTGCAGTGGGCACGACAACATGTCCACTGGATGCCTGAGCAATGGAGGGCTATTCTCTTTACGGATGAGTCCAGGTTTAGTCTAGAATGAAATAGTAGGTATTACTTGATATGGAGAGAACCTGGAACCCGTTATCATCTGTGAAAGAGATACGTACAAAAGAGGCAGTGTCTGTGTTTGAGGTGGCATCTCTTTGGGTGGACGCACAGATTTACATGTTTTTCCAAGGGGAACTGTGAATGCTCATGTTTATAGAGATGACATCCTTGATGCTTATGTGCGCCCATATGCCGGGGCAGTAGGTGATGCTTTCCTGTTACAGGACGACAATGCAAGATCACACAGGCCTCGCATCGTATATGATTATCTTCAACAGGAAACAATTATGCACATGGAGTGGCCAGCTCAATCCCCGGACTTTAATCCTATCGAGCCCGCTTGGGATGCTTTAGAGAGACGTCTAGCTGCTCTCAATCTGCCCCCTTAGACCCTTGCCACGCTTGCAACTGCTTTGCAAGAGTAATGGCTCTCGCTTCCTATGGAACTGATAGACCGCATAATTGAAAGCATCTCACATCGCTGAATGTGCTGCATTGCTTCTAGAGGCGATTATATTCCATATTGAAGGTACTTTTACTATAGCAAACTGACACCTTCAATTTGTTCATTTTATACATGTGCTAATTTCTATACTACCATAATTGTCTGGTAATTTCTTTTTATGTTATTTGATACCTTACTATGTGTTGTACATTGTGGGTAAGTTTCATGAAATTCTACATGTAACTTTTTCAGTAATCGTGATTTTTGTGATTTTTCCTTAATTTATGATAATCAGTGTATTTCTGAATAAATATTACATGTGCAAAATAAGAATATTTAACCATCAAGTCCACTGTGATTTTCGCTACTGTTCTCATCTAAGCAACAGCCTTCTCGGTCTTGACTAAACAGTGAGATGGTATTTTCCACAGAGCCTACAAACTTCTGCAAAAACTACATCACAGACGGTAGGATATTTAAAACTTATACGGCTGACCCCAGTGGGAAAGTATCTGCAAATTCACAAGTAAATGAGTGAAAGATATACTGAAAATTCATCATCCAAGATGTGTTTATTTCACGTGCATTTACTTTCAATAATCGAGTGACTTTAAAGTAGGTCAATGTTATTATGTCTCTCAAGTGCTGTGTGAGAAATTTTCTGTTCTTTGAATGGGCATCTAAAGTTGTGCTTCTCGGCCTACAAGTAGAAAATTGTCTAGCACGTGTGTTTCGTTCTACAAGTTACAAATCATCTAATTCAAAAAGTGAAAGACGTCCTCAAAAGTGTAACTATGTGCTTTGGTCTTCAAATATTGAAATTTATGGTGGTTTTTTCCATTAAGCAGTGCTTGGCTGTGCTTTCAAATTGTTTCCAACTGCTTTGATTTCAATAAATGTGAAATTAACATTCATTCTTATCAATCCAAATGTCTCAATCTAGAAATGTTTGTGACATTGCCTCTATGAACAAACATAAATTCACATGTCCAATTTTTGATAGAACCAAAGATTATCCCATTAGTCATATTTCACAGCTGGGTGTTCTTTGTTTGAATTTTGGATTGTGAATGAACAACAGCTTACTGTACTGCAAATCCTAAATAATATTTAAAACACATATTCTCTTTTACACATCACTACGGCTACAACAAATGTCCCACAATTCTACATGCAACTTATCACATTTTGAGACTGTATGTAGACTTGTAGACGATGCAAAAGTGTTAGCACAGGAAAAGAGGACAGGTAGAAAAAGAGGTAGACAGGAAATTAAAGTGCATATTCAGCAGCTGGTGTTTACGCAGAGCTGATTCCTTTGTTTAAATTTTGGATTGTGAATGGACAACAGCTTACTGTTCTGCAGATGACATAATGCGGAATGGTTTTCAAGTCACATAGTTTTGATTTCAAGAATGGGTGAAGTCAAATTAAAATCAGGAATTAAAAGGACTATTGCTAACATAAAGTTAACAATTTTGTAATTAGTATCAGTGTGTGATAATGAAATATACATGAAAATCAAGTAGGAAAACAAAGTAAAAAATTATCACAAATATTCAAAGATGCAACGTACCTTAAACCGCACAGCAAATTTAGATGCAACTGGACTACCATCTGCATAATCAATAGCATTCCAACATAATGCAGTCTCACTTGTGGCCATTGGAACTAAAGACATATCCTCGGATATAAAATGATTGCAAGCAATTTTGTGAACTTGGTCTCGTCTCAAGATAATACGGAATTTTTCTGAAAATAGAGCATTGAATTACACATGCTATGTCCGCTGCTTAGGAGTCAGGCATTTATTTTATTCAGACACACTATGTCCATTGCTTACGAGCCAGACATTTACTTAATTTCATAACAAACAGAATTAAAACTTTAGCAATGGAATGAAAGAAAAGAAATAAATACAGCAAAATAATGAACCCCAGGAAGACACGACACAGAAATGTCTCATAAATAATAATCATAATATTACTGATATAATTTGAAATGCTTCCAATGAAGTACATGAGTTGTTAGTCTGGGTAAAAAGCTGTCATTAAACTTTTTTGCTACAACCTAGATCCAGTAAATGAAAAAGAAAACATTTTAATGAACATTGTACAGGAATTCTAAAAGTGAAGATTAAATAAAAAATTTGGTCATCACACATCTCTACTGCATAGCTAGCATCGTGTACATCAAGTAACAGTGCAGATGGCTTATCTTTTCTCCTTGTCAATGTTCCAGTTTCCTGGAAACACAGAATAATGTTATTATTATGTTATTAGGATGCTGTCGAAGACTTTTAGACAATTGATAGACTTCCCTTGTGGTCGCATAGTAGGGATGCATGAAACAGGTTGATCATACAGAGGCAATAAATAGGCTGCAATACACTGTATGGGCATGACTGTACGAAAATGCTTGCAATAGTGGTCGCTGCAAGGTACTTGGCAGAATCAACGCTTTGGAAGGTGAAGGTACACAAATGCAAGGCAAGATCACAAAATTTTCGAACAGGCCCCTACTGTCACAATGGCATCATTGTCCGCAAGCCAATGAGCTACAGCCTCCTCCACACCATCCATGACACCTTCCACTATCTCAAAGCACTTGGCTGAGGCAGCAATGTGCTCAGAGTGGACTTCAGGTCAAGATGTTTGCCTTTAGCCCCACAACATTGACAGAGTCGACTGGAGTAGTGCCATAGTCAGTCATCATGGCTGCTAGCTGACTGGCACTGCCTAGTGTTCAGCGATGAATCTTGCTTCAGACTTGAAGCAGAAGACTACCGTGTCTAAGACCTGAGGAACGACTAGGTTAAAAGTGGCCCCAATCAGGCTTTGTTTTACAGAGGAACAAAGCAATTACCTCTGATGTAACATCAGCAGGTCCACCCTAGTCACTCTGCATACAATTTTAACAGCTCAATGATATGTGATGACATCCCACAGCAGTTTGTGTTAGCATTCATTGCACGCCATCCTGCAGCCATTTTCCAACAATGCTAGACCCCATATGACTCTCATATTCCTGGACTGCCTCTGAGCTACAGATATTCTTCCTTGGGCTGCCAGGTCACCAGACTTTTCGCCAACTGAACAAATAAGGATATGATAAGCAAATATTCATAAAACTGCCAATTGTTTCACCAATTACTGATCTGAACATTCAATGTGAAACTCCTACCCACTGATGGGTCCTATGGCCTTGTATTTTTAATCATTTCATTACCTGTGTACGAGCTTTTTGCATATTCTTCATGGTACTTCTTTTCTTTTTTAAGAAAAAGAGTGCATTTCAGAACATATAACAAAGCAGAAAAATATTTCTATAACATCTTATCACATAATTAAAATATCTGAAAGAAATTAACAATAAAGAATTATAATAATTTAAGACAACCTGATACCTAATTATCACACATAAAAAACTTACCATCATTCATCATACATTCTTACCATCATATAAATATTTATTTAACTTACGTTTTTCCTTATGTTTTAGAATCTTAAGATCTCCAACACCTCTTTCTTTCCATTGTTTAGTGGCAGAATCAAAGCGGAATAATTTGGCACGTTTGATAAAAACAGGAGTTTCGTCTTCCTCACCAGTTTTCACATCTACAAGCTCTGGTAAAGGAATTACAGGTTCAAAATGTATATCAGGTCCTTGACTAACAGTTTCATCATCTGAAAATAAAAATGAGTATATTGAGTGAAGCAAAAATCAGTACATTAAGTCACTATATAACTTGAATACAATAAACCACTAGATAACTATTCACTGACAATATATAGTTCTAGACTATCTTCTCTTTGTGGTACTTTTTTAAAATATACATTTGACACATAATGATTATACAATACAAAATCCGAAACATGATTATACAGTACAAAGTTCGTAATCTGGACTCGTCGGCGATTCCGGATTATAGATCATCAATTTAAATCTGGTAAGATGCATGCAGAAATTATACAATTAAAAATATGAAACTGTAATTTATGAAATAAAATGCAATTATGATCTAAAGGATATCAAAAAAGGCAGCAGCTTAATATTTATTTGTTTACTTTATTAAACATTTCTTTCAATGTAACTTGTTTAAGTTGCTTCGTGTCTTGCGCTAATACTTTCTCTTTAATTCTATAAACAGACATAATTTCTTGTTCAGTTACAAAGTTCCACTGTTCAAGTCCTGCCGAGAATACCGACTAACTTGTCAATCGAAATTTTTTTGTTTTCAATAACCTCTGTCACTTTCTCATTATTGGAAGCAATATTTTCTGGATCTAGAACCATACTACAGATTTCGCCGTCAGTTACTTGACTGATGATTGGAGCATTCTCGTCACAATGAAAATTTTCTGTTATATCATCTTTATTTATTAATGCTTCTACACATTTCTTTAAAAAATACAATAACTGAAAATTTTCACCTTTAGTTTGCGATGTCCAAAAACCTTCAAATTCGCGGCTATCATCTTCATCCTCCTAAATCATGAAATATGGTAGCTGGCCATAAATTATGCCAAGCATTTTTTAACGTATCTGCAAACACATCCTGTCACAATCTTGTGATGCTCCATACAGCAGATTTTATGCTAAAAAATTTCAAAACGTTTTGAAGAGTCTTGCCATTGTTCAAGAAATTTAACACAGATTTTAAAAATGCTACTTTATATTTGCATTTCAGCATGTGCACTATTCCCATATCCATAGGTTGAATGATAGACACACAATTTGGAGAGAAGAATAATACAGACACATTATCCTTTCACTAAAACTTTAAGTGAAGTATGCACCGAACAGTTGTCAACAGGACTATTTTTGAGTCATCAGGTAAACCAACAGACTTCAAATGTCGCCGAGCCTCAAGTATACAATGATTTTCAAACCAATCATTCATCAATGCTTGTGTCATCCATGCTCTTTTATTTGCGCGATATATAACGGGGAAAATCGTTACTCCTTTAAATGCTTGAGATCGTGCATGTTTTCTAATTACGAAAAGTTTGCACTTGTGCGTTCCTGCAGCATTTGCACACACTAAAATTGTTAGTGTCGCTTTCGAAACACCAGTTGGAGACTTTTCTGTAGAGGTTGCCAAGGTATTTCGCGTTATATATTGCCAGAAAAGACCAGTTTCATCAGCATTGTAAATTTGTTCTGGAGATAATTGTTCACTAGTAATGAATTCATCTGCAAATTGTTCAGGAGCTTCAGTATCAGCTGAAGCTTTTTCACCTGAAATTTTTAGTTGCCTTATACCATGGCAATTTTTAAATTTGGTTAACCAACCTGTCGAATATGTGCACTCGGTGTTTAGGTTCATTTCTTCATGAAATATTTTGGCTTGAGTCATTAGCATTGGACCCGTTAATGGCACGCCCTGCTGTGATGCTGTCTGGCCCATTCAATTATCACTTTGTTATGATCGTCATTTTAGCATGACAAACCCTTTTTCTGTTATTCATTGCAAGTGGGGTGTCGGAATCCACAAAAAATTCAAAAAGTTCCTTTTTCTTTTTCCTTATGTCATATACAGTTGCCTTTCCAATGTCATACTCCTAGCATAATTTTGAGACGGATATGCCTTTATCCATTTTTTGCAGCAATTCCACTTTTTGTTTTATGGACATCAAAACATGCTTTCACTTTGTAGATCCTTTGGCAGCTCCAGAGTTGGAAACATTTTTTGACATAATCGAAAGTTCAAGCTTAATTTTAATAAAATTGCTCTAACAGTCTGCAAAAATAATAAGCCAGATCCAATTAGAAGATTAAGGAACAACGCAATCTGCAACATTAACTGAAATGCCTTAGAATCAGTAAAGATAATTTTAGCCTAGCTTCTACCGTCCGTTATACATCAAACACGCATGCGTAAACGCATTACATGCATGTGTAAAGTTTGTGCTTTGAGGTCCGGATTATAGATCATTCCGGAATATGGACGTCTGGATTACGGACTTTGTAATGTATACCTGTTAATTTATTTCATTGAAACTTAATTGATTCTACTCTTCACCCTTGTAAGCATGACACATTATATTATATAACAATATAGACTATTTATATACAAATATTAAATAAATTACATATACAAAATTATATAGTATATAAGTAAAAGATATAAGTTCTTTTTTATACACCGTTTGAAATATATCTATTAGGATCGATGCACCTTGAATTCTGCATTGACTATAAGCACAAAGGCGTAAGACAAGTCATGCACATCTACCCTATCTAATTAAATTACAGTCAACTTAGACATTAGTGGCATGTCCATTAGTCATGTTATGCATCGCATAAACTTGACGTACAAGTTCAATCACTAGGTGCCGCATGAACTATTTTGCTTGAATAGAAATGCAAGGACAAATTTCTCACTTGTGATGAAAAGTGGATTTACTTCCAACAACAACAGGCCTAAATAGGTTAATAAGCGCCCAGTGTGCTCGTCTTCAGCATTGCTAAGTGCAATTTAACTAACAAAAAGATCATACTTTGTATCTGGTGGAACTGCTCTGGTATTATGCATAAAGAGTATCTGGAAGAAAGGTAGAATCCTCGACAGCAAGCTGTACAAGATGCTAGCTATCAAGAAAAAACTTCAAACTGAGTTCTGATGCAAAAAGGTAATATTCAATAAAGATAAATGCAAGATCACATGTGTCTGCATTCACTGGCTGGACTCTGTATGGACTCAAATGAGATCTTTTGCCATACACACAATATAACATCGACTTTACTCTTCCACCTCACTTGCTGGTGCCACCTTCCATCCTGCAAAAGGATGCCCAAAATTATTGTTGATCTGTTTTTTGTACTCACAGCGACAAAGTTTCTGAGCTTTGAAAAACTACCTTAACATTAGCAAAAAAATCATAGATTTTGGTGGTGATTATTACTTAAAGATGCTGCTTTCATGGTCCACCCCCTCCTAATTTATTAAGAAAGTTTCTTGCTGGAAAACTTTCCTTACAAGATATTTATATTATTTTCAGTCTACTATTTTATTTTTCAGTATATATTCACAGTTCTGACAATAGCTAAAATACCAGTTTAATTTTATTTTGCTCTTACTTTAGTTGAAGTATTTAATGATAGAAAACACAATGCTTCTTTTGTAGCTATCACCATATACAGGGTTATCCAAATTAAACTTCCCCAACTCAGAGGCATGTGCAGAGTGTTGTATGGGTCATAATGTGACGAAATTTTAAAAACAGACACTTCAGATCATGTGCTCGAGATCTATTACACAAAAAAAATTAGTACAAGAAGTTGCCGATAGGTGACGTTGTAACACTAGCAATGTGCATATTGCAGCAACGTGATTTGCAGAAATAAAGCTTCTGTGCAACGTATCCAAACGACGAGCCCTACTAAAGTGGAAGACAGGCCTTGCACAGGCAGTGATGCACAATGGCGACTTTGAAAGAGAAAGCTCTGTTAGTGAAACTTTTATTCTTTATGACGAGAACTCCTGTGCTGCGATAAGAGCATTCCGTCGGCTGAAGATCTTACGCCGAGGACCAATGACACCACGCGCTCTACGAGACGTGATGAAGAAGTTCAAAAGAACGGGACAGCTGGGAATTTTACCAGGTAGAGGACGACAGGTTGTGAATCTGCACGCGTAGAAGACGTTGCTTTGGCGGTCGTGGACCCCACTAGCCAATCGCCACATGGTGTTGTCAGTGTGCCAACTGTTTCTCGTGCTGTTGATATGCCCTATACGACCATCTGGCGTGTGATGCGTCGAATCCTCAGTTATTTTCCTTACAAAATCCATAATCATCATCAGCTGTCCGACGGGGATCCTGTAGTTTGGGAAACATTTGCGTTTCAGTTCCTTACCAGAATGGAAGTTGATGCTGCTTGGCCGTGGAACATCCTTTGGACAGATGAGGCCCATTTTCTCCTGAATGGTCAAGTGAATACGCACAACTGCCACATTTGGGCAAGTGAAAACCTGCGCTCAATCCATCAAGTGCCTTTGAATCCTCCAAAGGTTACTGTACTGTACTGTATTTCACTGCAACATTCGTCATTGGGCCTTATTTTTTTGAAGAGGTGACTCCAACAGGGTTCAAAACCTGCTCTGTCACAGGAAAACGGTATCAGGACATGTTGACAACGTTTGTGATCCCTGAACTGCAACAACGTGGCCGCCTCCAGGACACGATATTTATGCAGGATGGTGCACCTCCCCATATTCTTCGTGGCGTTCAACAGGTGTTACGGGCAACTTTTACCGATGCACGTGTGATCAGCCGCTGTTTCCCTACAGCTTGGCCTCCCCGCTCGCCTGATCTCACGCCATGCGACTTTTGGTTATGGGGATTCTTAAAGGATCGGGTCTACCGAGAACACCCAGCAACCTTGGCACATCTGAAAGACGCAATTATTCGACATGTTCGTGGAATTAATGTGGACTTACTGCGTTCCGCTGTGGAACACACTGCTTTGCGAATGGAAAGAGTTGTGGAGAACCACGGCACACATATAGAACATCTGTAGAATGTCGTTGATTTACAGCACCACCTATCGGCAACTTCTTGTACTAATTTTATTTTGTTTAATAAATCTCGAGCGCATGATCTGAAATGTCTGTTTTTAAAATTTCATCACATTATAATCCATACAACACTCTGCACAGGCCTCTGAGTTGGGGAAGTTTAATTTGCATAATCCTGTATACAGTCAAGTCGTTAATTCGGACACCCATAATCCGGACCTCAGCTAAAACTCTTGTGCGAGACACATGCGCATAGTCGTTTACGCGTGCACGTAAGACCGTTACGACTGCGCATATGCGTGCGCGCAAGCGCAGAATACGTTTTCGAGTGCGCGTTTTATGTATAACGAACGGTATAAGCTAAAATTATCCAATTATCTATTTCAGTTAATGTTGATGATTGCGTTGTTCCTTAATCTTCGAATTGAATCCGGCTTATTATTTTTTGCAGACTGTAAGAACAATTTTATAAAAGTAAACTGGAACTTTCGATTATGTCAAATAGAATTTCCGATGCTGGAGCTCCCAAAGGATCTACAAAATGAAAGTATGTTTCGATGTCCATCAAACAAAAAGTGGAATTGCTGCAAAAAATGGATAAAGACATGAAGAAGGTGACAGAGAGGTTAGTGAAAACGGAAAAAATTTTGATTGACAAGTTAGTCGGTATTCTCGGCACAGCAATTACGGGACTTGAACAGCGGAACTTTGTGACTGAACAATAAATTATGTCTGTTCATAGAATTAAAGAGAAAGTATTATCACATAAAACGAAACAACTTACATTGAAAGAAATGTTTAATAAAGTAAACAAATAAATATTAAGCTTTTTCTTTTTGTAAATTTTGATACCCTTTAGATCATAAATGCTCTTTATTTCATAAATTACGGTTTCATATTTTGAATTTTAGAATTTCTGCATGCCATCTTACGAGATTTAAACTGATGATCTATAATCCGGAAAAATCAATAATCCGGAATCGCCGAAGTCCCGACGAGTCCGGATCAACGACTTTTGACTGTATTACTTTTATAGCAAAATTTTTCTATCTATGCAATGAAGCCTAACAAATATTTCTCCAGAACAACAAAAAAGTCAAGAAAGGAGCAGGATAATTTACATATAATGAATACTCAACTATTTCCATACATATTATTAGCATGAGCCCAGTTAGGCAGAACAGTTAAATGTATTTTTATTTAAATCAATCAGATTAAAAAGTAAAAAAACTTAAGAAATGTCTTTCCCTTTTGAATTGCTTTATGCATTAATCAGGAACAAACATATGAAATTTGGAAATTAAATTATGCATTAATAAAATAATTTTCAACAATATTTTATTAATACTTTATGCATTAATAAAATGTGAATTGTAACTTATGCTTTGCCAAATGGCAACTCACTGCTTTTAAACAGATTGACTTTTTAATTGAATTTGGAAGACCAAAATTTTACACTTTGCTGAATAGAAACAAATTGGCATGGAAGATAAAAATGCTTTATTTTGAGAAATGACAACAACATCTAAACTGTAATATTTATTTATGGGAAAGACAATTTCTACAATGAGTGACAACAAAATAAATACATTTTTAAAGTTTTTGAACTATACTAGCACATGAAAAAAAGCTAAAATGTTAAATAATGTTGATAAAATGGTTTCGGATATGATCTGCGGTTTCACAAGAAAAATACAGACTATTTATTTACTTTTAGATAGAAAAATTTATTGTATGTTACTATTTAAAGCATGAACCTTGTTATTTGAAAGACTTATCAGTATATTTAAATTTTCACACTTAGTAGGAGAAGTTCTATATTTCCAATGATTTTTGAAAAAAGCTTGTTTTTACTGATTTCCCCGGACAATTTTTCACTTCTCTGATATTTCAACTTTCCAGAATTTCCTAGGTGAGTGGGGAACTTGTTTAGATTCTAATATTCAGTTTAACTTATAACACCACTGCATTAAGAGCTGTCATGTTTTCATATATTTTAGTTGACATAATTATATTATTTGTATTTTATCTTTATATTAAAAGGTGTAAAACAAATTAGAAGTATTAAAAAACTTACCCCCAGCATCTTCAGTAGAATTATTCGGGTTAGAAAAAAGTGGAGTTCCAGCACCAGCAAAAGCATTTTTTGTTGATGATGGTTTCGCTAGGGATTCAAAACTGGAATCAGTAGCTAAATCTGCAAATGTAACACTTTTCGCAGATGTCGCAAACAATTCTCCTGAATTTTCACTTTGTGGGGTACTCTGAGTAAGTTCTGTAAATTTAGGAGCTGAATTCTTTTCAACATCAGCAGAAACATCTATTATTCGAGGAGAAAAAAAAAATAATGAGATATTAGATACAAGTAAACACAAACACACACATATACTGCAAAGAGTATAGTTTAAAGAAAGAAATTTGAAGAAGAAAGGGAACAGCAGGAAGAATAAAGAAATAAGTCATAATAGTTATGTTAAATCATGCACGCAACGTGCTTAACCTCTTAACTGCCAGCCATATATGTATAGGCTTTGACCAGCCGATGCATTCACTGCTCAAACATAAATATATGCCTATACCACAAATTCTGTAATATGATGCTAGCCATACAATTATGCAGAGTCTGGAATGCAATAACAACATGGCTCAGAACACTTTGTACAAGGCTGTGCACATTTTATAGAAAAGGGGAGAGATGTTTCTGAGAGGATAAAAGATCAAAATTTTGGTTGTCAGCTTCAAATACGTAGTTTAGAGTAGGAATCTCAGTAGTTTCTTTTGTTCCGTTTTCTTGTTACTGTTACTCTGTGTACTAAGAGTATTTTTGATTATTTAGAATGAATGAGTCCGACAATGAGTTAATAAATGACTACTTTCCGTCCAAAACATTGTACACATCTCTATATGAAAAACTTTTCCCTTTCTATTTTTGCCACAACCAGGAATAAAAGAAAATACAGCAGATATTTCTGACCCACTTCTATTTTTGGATTATTTTTCAATAAAATTTTGGTGAGCGATGTTGTAACAAACAGACCATATTGTAACAGAAACTAACCATTTTGCCAAACAATGTATTAGCAAACATTCTGGGATAGAGAAATCAAGAACTAAGTTGTGTTATCCAAGAAATTCAGAAGAAATGTATGCTTTCTCAGAGCCCCTTAATTTTGCAGAGAATAACTGTAAAACCTGATATTATGCTCTAATGGTCAAAGAATAAATTGATTGAAAGCTCAATTTTGGGGCAAATTGTTTTTCTAAATTGTTTCTAGTTGATCCTGAAACTCCTACACTTTTCTGATAATTATAAGAAAGTTTTCATTCAAAAACAAAACTTAAAAAATATAACCTAATTTTTTTTCAAATGTTTTATATACTGGAAAGGGATCTAAGCACTTACGTAATTTAAAGGTAGACTATAATCTATACAATATATACTTTTGAAAACAGCTCACTTTGGAATAAAAGTATTTGTACTTGCTGAAGCAGAGTCAGGGTATGTTTATAATATGATTGCGTATGAAGAAAAAAGTACAATATTTGATAACAGAAATTTGACAATCATAAACTTGCTGCAAAATCGGTAATGATGCCTTCAGAACCTTTTCAGGGAAACGCAAATGTATAATGGGTAATAATTTTTATTTGTCACTGGAATTAGCAGATATACTTATACAAAATAGGGCTGACATACATGGAACGCTTTGCTCTAATCAGAACACTAGTAAACTTTAACAAACATATTTTGAAGAAACAGAATATGCCCCTTTAAACGTGACAAAGTTACTATATTGAAACGGTGCGATAAAAAATATATTCCTGAGATATCCATATAGTAAACTGCTGAGAAACTGATATGAAAATCCCATCGCCAGCTGTGGTTATCGATTTTAACTTATCAATAGGTGGAATTCACACGGCTCATGAGGCTCTAGTCTGTCATCCAACAACCTGAAAAAGACAGAAGTATTATATAACCATTTTCTGGCATCTTCTAGACATGGCCGCTTGATATGCTTTTATTTTACAAAAGAAACAACTTTCAAACATCAGCACTTATGATTTCTGCATGAATTTAGTTGAATGCATTCTTTAGAAATTCCAGGTTACTGTTCCTACCAAAAAGATAAAAGTTGCAATGTGACAGTCCTTTGCAATTTACTTGTAAATACTTAACAGACTTAATACCATCAACTTCTTCAAACCAAAGTGCAGCAAGGAAATTAGTTTGTTTCAAGGTAAAAATTCACCATGGATCTCGCTCTCAACATAGTGAAATAGTGAATGTGACGCTGGATTAGGTCTTACAACCATGTTTCAGTATATATCATATAATAGCTAATATTATACTTTGTATTTTCTATATTTCTGATGTAACAATTTTTCGACTGTAAACTGTACCTCTGCTTTTTTCCAAACATTGAGAATCTATGAGAAAAATGGTCATGCTGAGGAGCGAATTGCAGAAAATTTGTTGGCAGTTAAGGGGTTAAAAAGATCCTTAACTGTAAATCAGAAATTAAATTTGGATTCTATAAATATTTTCAAGTAATATTTGACTTCAAACATATTATGACATTTTTTTTAACTGAACATTTATTTTTAAGGTTATTGGCCTTTGAGGACCGGAAATTTTTTAAATAAATGTATAGGAAAAGAAAAGGGGAAAAAATGAATAAGCACTTACCTTTATAAATGAGCCTTGCAGTATTATAGAATTTGTAGCCTTTCGAGACTAGTAATGTGTTAATAAATGTGTTGTAAAAGAGAGGAGAGAGAGAGAAAAGAAAGATGGACAGAAAAAGGATATGGGGAAAAAATGAATGAATACGTAATGACTTCTTACCTTTGTAACTGATAGTATCTGTACAACCTCTACAACCTTTGCAAGGAGGCTTACTTTCATATAAATAAAAATTTCGAGGAAGCTTCAATTTTTCTGCTTCAGTTATTTTATCAGGACTAGCAGTAGCTTCATACACAATTTCAATTTCTGAAATTAATAATAATAATAATAATGAAATGCAAGTTAACAAAATAAAAAATAAAATTTATATACATTAATTTTGAAACAACTGTTGCTATAAAATATAAAAAATTATAATAAAACAAAAATAACTGTCATAAAAAATTATTAAAAGTCAATAAGTTAAGTAATAAAAATTGCTTTTTGCTTATAAAGAGGATAAAAGTTAGAAAAATCATACATAATCTCGAGGATAAAATGATGTAGCCTTAAAATAACTTATCATTATAAGCATTTGCATTTATGAAAAAACTTATAACAACATGGGATGTAACATCTGTTAAATATTTTCATAACCAATACTTCATTCAGTTATCTGTCGAATTTCGCTGCATATATTACTGTAAACAATGTATGTAATTTGATATATATTTATGTGATTTGAAATAATTAAATATTTTTCTTTGCAAGTGACTAGAATATTAATATCAAGTAGACTAGAATATTAATATTATAAGCATACAGACTAGAATATTAACAGGAATCAAATTTCAGTTCTTTATAATAAAAGGAATTTGACAATTTAACTATATTTATTTGTAATGTTCACTCTTTGAATCTGAAGACAGTTGCAGCATCATTATTTATCATCATAGTAATAAATACCTTCATATAATTGTGTCTTTACACAGAAAAATCTGCAACATATGTACATTCTCAAAAACATAATACAGCTATTTCATGTATAAACAGAATTAAGTAAGGTAAATACTAAAGATGATAATAATGTAATGTTACATATTTCATAAATAATGCTTTATAATTTTTTATGAATAAAAATTTTATTATCAATATGCAACATTGTTTCTAATAAAATTCAGCTCCCTCACCTCAAGCATAATAAATCAACTAGTTATCAAATTAAGTTAAAAATAACTGAATGCTTTTATGAATTTACAAACAAATCACAACATGACTGCTGGACTGAACGGCCCAGGTTTGAATCCCGGAGAGGTGAGTGGATGTTTGTAAATGTACAGTTCTTTGGGGCATGGGGACACTAAATATATGGCAAACCGAAAGTCCTCGTGTGATATGGTTTGCAAAGTCATGTTTTCCAGTGGTCGGGGAGAAGGCCTCGAACCACTGCCTGCAATGCTCTCCCTCAAAACTAGGGTGGAAAGTCCAATTTCCTTGAGGTTCTGGCAAACATTCTTCCAATAAATATGTATGCAAAAACAACATTATTCTTATGATGGTGCAAAATGAAACTAAAGAGCTAAGAATTACACTGCATTTTATGTGCTTTTGACCAAATGAACCTCACAGCTGTAAGGAAGGGGATTTTCAATTTTTTCAGTTTTCAGTTCTTAAACCTTTCTTTTCATAACAGGATTATTTTCTTCAGTGCCATTTCACTGTTGAGTTATCGATAAAACACAATTTCTCGTGGTGGTTATTCGAGCATATTTTTTTATCATGAATGATGGCTTTTCTTTGAAAAAATTCTGTTGGAGACTTTTTGTCATGGACCAATTCAAAAAAGAATTACACATTCACATTATCAAAAAAGAATTCAAATATTAAACCAGAATTTCAATGGTGACTTAAAAATTTAGAATTATCTAAATTGACACATGGTTAAATGCGCATGTTTGCTGGATTTCAGACGCGGTCAAATGGGTTCGTTTGCTAGACTGCTTTTGTGAATACATTTTCACTGTAGTTTCATAGGAACCTCTAATGGAATTCTAAAGAAAATCCAAAAATAAATTCTCTTAATTTTGAACACTAATCTATTTTTTGGTTGATAGATTTTGTAGCAAAGTGCCAAATATAGTCAGTGATCTGTTTATTTTGTGGCACAAGTAACTATGCAGTGAATTGCGAATAAATGAGAAGAATGAACACAGATATAATAATTTTCCCTTTTGCAAACTGTCTGCCATTAGCTTAAGATTCTTGCTCAACTGAATTCATGTAGCATCAACTGTATGAGAAAACACAAATGTTTTCAGCAATGTTAAACAAAACTGGCATTTTATACACCTCACTAAACCAATAGGAAAAATTTATCTTTGTTTGTGTAAATCTAAATAAATTTCAAAGAGAATGAAATACCTACCACTGTCTTTATCAATTTTCTTTTTATCCAAAGCATCAGATCCTGCAACAGAAAAGTAAAAATCTTTAAATAATTTCTAACAAAGAAAACATTCTTATCATAAATAGTATAAAAGAAATATACAAGCAAAAGAATACAAAAATTTAATTACACATTTACACAAAATAACATCTTTAATAAAAGGTTTGCTACTCTCAATAAATATGTTTTAAAAAAACCTCATTTTGTTCAATTTAAAATATGTAACAATAGTTTTTAGTTTTTACAATAGTTTGCAAAACAGTTAATTCCAGATTCCTTTTGATCAAATGAAAATTTTTATGACCCCTAATTTAAAATGATAATGCTCGAAACTGCAAAATATTTTTATGATTCTTACTATATACTCGTATTACAGTTTGAAAAGGCCAGCAGCACAGATTTTATAGTATATAAAAAGCTACCTGAAACAACTAACAACACTTTCACCATTCTTATCAATTCATACTCTCTTGATATTCTTACATAATCCCTTTCTATAAGAAGTACACTCTTAACATGAGAGATTGATTATGAAAGATTTCATTTGACAATAAAAAAAAAAATTACAACACAACTAAGTTACAACACAGGCTTCGAGATAATTTTTTTAGTCAGTTTCAATTAATCTTTTAATAAAACTAACAATTAATTAATTTGTTTGTTTAATAAAACAAACAAATGAAAGCATTTCTTTTTTCAAATATCGTAAATTTTTTAATGTACACAATGCAAACTTAACTGTTGTGCACTGTAACACACTGAAAAGCTTTCTTCTCCCCTTTAAAAAAAGTTAAATCCAACGCATAAATATGAAATGAACATGTGAAGAATATATAAAAAATAAATTGAAACAAATAACAACAACATTTTTATTTTATTATGTGTCGCAGTAATGAATGTGCTTTTTTAAATAAAAATTCTAACTTAGCTTTAAGAAAAAATCAATAACTTAATAAATGCCAATCTATGATTCCAAAGAAAAGATGGCTTTGCCATTTTGTCTGCATTCAGTTCAAGTTATAAATATGATCAAATATTTTCACACATGAAACTTATTTTAAGTAAGAGAAGAGCAACTTCATTACTAAAAATTCAGATGCTTATATATACTAGCCTTAAGATGACTAACTATAAGCCAGAGTTGTCTAAATCCAATATCACACGTTCAGCATCAGGGGAGCCATTGATATCAAAGAGAAGTATAGTCATTCAGTTATGTTTGTTTTTATAATAATTAGAATAATTATTATAATTTTCATATTTGAAATTTAAAGCATAATATAATTATTTTCTCAATAAAATTTACCATATTGCTAAACAAGTAAGACTATTCTATCATCTACTGACCCAAAACTTCTTGTTAATATACACATTTTGGTTGATTTTGAACCAACAGCTAAAAAAAGATTTCCGACGCCTGATCCTCACTCCTCTTAAAACATCAAATATTCACACAGCATTTTCTAAATACAAAATGACTCATGAACAATGCCTTAACAACTGTTATGGATAACACTAGAAAGCCAAAGATATTCAATTAATATTCAAAATACAGATTTTCAGGCAATCCTTGATTGAAACAAAAAAACATAATCTCTATCAACAGAAAAAGCTTGTTTTTTTTTTTTTTTTTTTTTTTTTTTTAATTCCTATGAAAAGAAATCATACACGGACATTTCATATTCTATAAATGTAGCAAATAAATTATAATAAGTTTACAGCCAACATTTTAATTTAATTTATGTGAGAATTTATTTTTATTGGTGAAAAACATTTCCATTAGTAAAGGCTAAAATTTAAAAACTGGGAGATTTTGTGTTTTACAAGGAAAACGTTAAAAAACTGGAAGGTCTTCCGTTGACAGCTATGCCAGCACCTTATATTAGCATTATCTACAGCCATTGCAGTAACTAATTTCGGTTACTATCGGAGAGCATTAATTCCAGAGGTAAGTGATCATTCCGTCTCCTTACACATTTTATTTACAATATAATACAATTGCTACAAGCATTATTGTTAGGCAAACGCCTTTATCGTTATTAGGCTTAACACCTTTGATCTTCCATCAAAACTAAATGCAAGTTACAGAATAGCAACAGAGACAAAATGTTCGGAGCACCACCTAACGGCACAAACTTTCAATTTATAACAGCCATAGCATACTTCTGAAAGTCGAAAATTACTTTTAGTCACAAAATGTTGTTTTCAGTTACACAGAGAACAAAAATAAGAACTGACAAAAGCAAAACCTTGCAAAGAACCATGAGCACACTGATACAGAGATATGAAATCATACGCAGTTAGATGCTTTCCTTAATTTTGACCCCTCAAAGCAATTTAACAAAATACACAGAGAACACAGGCTCAATTAAAGCAATGAAAGGCTAAGTATGATTATCATATTTAGATAGATACAAGCAGAACCTTATAACATTTAATTTTTGAATAAAGAAAGATTTTTAAACAGATAATTAAAATAATTTTAACTTTAAAAAAAATTTAAACCACTGACACTATAAAATTTCAATCAACCATTATTTGAAAAATGGATTCTAGTTTAATATTAATCAAGTTTTACAAAACACAAAACTTACCAAGTCCAAATTTAAGACCATGACCTCCAAAAATTGATTTCGAGCTGTTAGTACTAAAATTCACATTCTGGCCAAACACTGAATTTGTGCCAAGTTTATCAGTCTGGAAAAATGGAGACACCGATGAAGAGGGCTTAGTTTCGGTTGTACCTAAAACATTTGCCGAATTTCCAAATAATGATTTACCCTGTAAAGTTGTTCCAAAACATGCTGACAGAGATCCAGCACTAAATGGAGATTCTGTTTTAACTGAAGAGTCACTTTTAAATGAAAAGTTTGTTATAACTTTAGTGGCTGTAGAAGTCTGTTCACTAGACACTTCCGATTCACTTGCCAATGCATTCAATTTCAATGCATCATCTAAAGCGTCCTTAAACTCTTGTGCCAATTCACTACTTTTAAACCGAATAGCAAACAATTCAGGTGATGCTTCATTTTCAGAAAAGTCTGTAGCGGCCCAAGTCAAAGATTTCTCACCTCGCCATTCAAATACTATTTCTTTGGTTAGATGATGATTCAAGCACACTTTCAGGACCTTGGGATAAAAAGGAAAAGATAAAATATATGGAATTATAAATGAATGAATAATTTAAAAAATATTACATTAATACAATTTTATTTATTTGAATTTCAGCAAAAATTACCAACTTTAAAATTTTACACTGAAAATGGTTTTTTCCCTACAGTCTGCATCTATTCATCAACATTACTTTGCAGGCCTGGGGATTGCTCCAAGAATATCCCTACTTTAATTAACCTTTTAACTGTCATGCCCGAGTGTTATACCCGAATATATATCGGGAGACGTTTATTTCGGCTTCATCTCTTTGTCAAACCCGACTGTATTTCGGGAAAAGTTAATGTGCGCTCAGTTCAATAGATGACAGCACTTTACTGAAGATTTCAAAGGTTAGAGGTTATAAGTTCTTTGGTTCAAAGTGCATGGGATCTTTTTGTTGTAAAATGGCGTCCAGTTCTTTGAAACGTTATATAGATGATTTAGATTCTTCAACCGAAGATGAAGGATGTGTGTTTGATGAGCAGTATTCATGATACTTCCATGGTCAGCCTCAAAAATAAAAAATGGAGATATACTCAAGCCGAAGATTGTTTCTAATTACAGGTCTAACTATGGGTGGTGTAGATCGCTGTGATCAGGAAATATCCTTTCATCCAACAATCCGAAAACGTCAGAAAAATATTATAAAAAGATATTTTTACATTTACTAGACAAGGTACTCTGGAACTCATATTTGCTCTATAAAAATGTAGTTGGGAAACGTATTACATTTTTAGAATTTCGAATCCAAGTTGTAGAAGAGCTTTTACATAAATATGATGATGCAGCTTCTGGACAAAAGAATGTTGGCAGACCACCTACAATAGATAACCCTGCCCGTCTTACTGAACGACATTTTATATCCCATATTCCTCCTGCTCCTGCGAAACGTGAGCCTACAAGACAGTGCAAAGTGTGTTGTTCGAAAAAGGATAAAAATGGGGAAAAGATAAGGAAGGAATCACGATTCTGGTGTAGTGATTGTGGAGTTGGTTTGTGCTTGGAAAAGTGTTTCCAGTTGTACCACACAAGACTGAATTACTGGACTACTAATAGGTATTCACTTATATTTATTTATGTTTTAGAAAATAGTTAATTTTTTTTTTCATTTTTAGAAAATAATGCTCCACTAGAAGCGAACTTTACAACTGCCATGTTGAGTGACAGCCGCCTCAAAGAAAATATGCAGTGGCTACAAAACTTTAAAAATTTTACCCATGTACGGTCAAAATATCAATTTTTAACTACTTAAGTATATTTTATTTTGTACTAAACATTTGGTTTTTGCAATAAAAAAATTTGACAATTTGTGTACCCAAATCATCAAAATAACTTGACAGTTAAAGGGTTAATTGTAATTGCTTCTTTATTTTCTACTATTTCAATTTATGAAAAAAAATAACATAAATGATCTAATTTCATAATGCAGGGGAACTTGCACTGATGTACAAAAATATACACTAAATACAATGGAAAATTAAATATTAGTACATTTTTAGCTTTATGTATACATAAATATCAAGAAGTATTTTTTCCCTTCCTTCAGTTACTCATGATAAGGAAAATAAAAGAGTATGAGCCTAATACAAGATCACTGCTAATGGTCTGTACAATTTTCATTCTCTGTACGATTCTCTGCAAGATAGTTATTCGAATGAGTCAGAAAATATACACTTTCATAACAAAACATAGTATTTTTCAAAGCTGTCAAGTTTTAAGTGCTTTTAAGAATACAAAAAACAGTTATGTTCTTGAACAATTTCAAAAAACATGAATTTGGTGTTTAGTGACACTAAATAAAACACTCAAAAAAAATTAACATTGTACAAATACTCAATGCTACTTTTTCAAGAATGCATTTTCTTACTTATTTTAATGGAAGCTTCAGTTTGCTTTTATTATCAAAATAATAAACTTCATTCTTCTACAATATAAACAATACTAAAATGTTAAAGCTCTATAAAGTTTATGAATTACTATGCAAAATCTTTGAAATTTAATAATGATTTTATTAAGAAAAAACTAGCATTTCAATGGGCACTACTCACAGTATACTCTAGGTATTGATCATGAAAAAAATTATTAAACTGATAAAACCTGTCGTATGAGTACAGAATTGAATGTTACAATTATAAAATAACTTTACTAGTGCCACTTCAAAGATCTCTTTGCAGTTAGTAATTGTTTTCATGACAAACATATTCTCGTATTAACCTGATCTGTTGAAGGCTAAAAAGTAAACCTACATGCTGTTTATTTTTACTAAGATGACATTACTTTACTTTTTTGGTGATTCTTCATTCTCTCGGATTTAGCCCTTACAACATTTCTGCAATCAACATATTCTAACTTTGCTATTAACTCCCCCACCCCAATAAAAAAAATCCCAATTCTGTATGCTAACTTCTAGAAGTTGGCATAGCAATAATAACACACAACAATGAATTAAAGTTCTTTTTCCCCCCACTAAACATTAACCCCTTAACTGCCGCGGGCGTATATATATATGCCTTGCTCAGCCGATGCGTTAACTGCCCCAGGCGTATACGAGGGCCATCCAGGAAGTAGATTACGTTTCCGTCTGTGTCCGCTAGGGGCGGGGCTAGCGCGGCCATCTTGGGGTCAGAGCGTTGCGCAGCTCAGTCTGCATCTAGCCGTGCTAGCGAGAGGTTCGTGCTGTGCTCCGTTCAGATACTGTGACGGTTTGAAATGTCTGCGTTAATTGAAAATCCCGCGAGGTGCGCTCAGTAATAAGGTTTCTGACTGCAAAAACTGTAAACCGATAGAAATCTATCGGCAGCTTCGTGAAGTGTATGGGACAACATTATCACTGAAGGTGGAGTGCGTCAGTGGGTCATAAGATTTCAAAATGGCCGAACCAATGTTCACGACGAAGATCGAAGTGGGAGACCCAGCATAGTGGACCGCCGAACTTCTCGAAAAAGTCGATGCTAAAGTCCGTGAAAATCGAAATTTCACAATAACGGAACTTTCTTTGAGTTTTCCACAAATTTCGCGAAGTTTGTTGCACGAAAATCATCAGCGAAAAGCTTGGTTACCACAAGTTTGTGTGCAAGATGGATTCCAAAAATCTTGACAGAGGACCACAAAAATCAGCGAATGGCTGCAGCGTTGAACTTTTTGGACGCTTACCATAAGGATGGTGACTCTTTACTCGATCGCATCGTTACTGGTGACGAAACGTGGGTGAAACATGTGAACTGTGAAACGAAATTGCAATCAATGCAGTGGGGGCACACAAGTTCTCCCCAAAACCCAAGAAATGCATGCAAACAATGTCGGCAAGGAAGATGATGGCGACTGTTTTTTTGGGACAGAAAAGGTGTAATTTTGGTGGACTTCCTGGAAAGAGGCACTACAATAAACTCTCAAAGGTATTGCCAAACTCTCCAAAAACTCAGAAGAGCAATTCAAAACAAGCGCAGAGGAATGTTGAGCTCTAAGATCTTGTTGATTTTCACGACAACGCCCGGCCCCACACGGCAAAATGTCACTCGTAAAGTTCTTGAATCTTTTAAGTGGGAGTTTGTTTCCTCATCCGCCGTACAGTCCCACCTGGCACCGAGCGACTTCCACCTATTCCCAGCAATGAAGAAGTGGCTGGCTATGCAGCGTTTTGATGACGACGCACAGCCTGCAAGAAGAGGTAACGAAGTGGTTGAAGGCGCAGGCGGCCGAATTTTCGACGAAGGAATTTCCAAGCTCGTACATCGCTACGATAAATGTCTTAATTTGTATGGTGACTATGTAGAAAAAGTAGTATTTGAGTGTGGCTTTCATCTGTGTATATAATAAAATTTGTTTCCTATACTTTGTTTATTTTTTTATTCCAAAACGTAATCTACTTTCTGGATAGCCCTCGTATATACGTCCTTCCAAACTGCTATCATTTGCTTTGCGCTGCTACACCTAAAATTATTCGCAAAGTTAACGCATCGGCTGCGCATCTGGGGGGCAGTTAACGCATCGGCTGAGCAAGGCGTATATATACGCCAGCGGCAGTTAAGGGGTTAAACCTACTAGCGAATTAAAATAATTTAATAAAACTAAAAAGTATCATTAATTAACATAATTTTCAGCTAATGACAAAACAAACATTTTCTGCTGCTATAAGAAAGACAGCACTGACTGTAACTGAAGGGGTCAATTAATAAAAATTTGATTTGCTGTAAATATTACAATTTCATATCCTACACTCTAATATCCACTAAAACTTACCAAAATTTCTCTGTACTATACATATACAAATATACAATTTAAACATATTTTCAGTAAGAAAAATATTGCATACCTGATCTCTTCGCATTAATAAACGGGCTTTCTTTAAGTTTTTATCAAAAAGGATTTTTACATCCCCTACACCTCGCTCCTTCCACTCTCCAGCAGAAAAGCGGAATAACTTTGCTCGTTTGCAAAACATAACATCTTCATTTTCTTCTCCAGTTTTAACATCAACCTATAAAAACAATCATAATTCCAGGGAAAAAAAAAAATTCTAAACAAAAAAGACACAAAAAGAATACCAAATATATTAGGAATCTTTTACTTCTCATTTTAATCACTATCATTATTAACATATTAGTAGTGAAATTATATTAATACTAAAAACTACGTTTCAAACTGACACATGATTAATACAAAATAAAAATATTGTTAAGGAAAAGGTTTGGTAATGATAAGGAAATGGATACCTTTCTGTTAAAGTCATATCACACATTCGGTACATTTTGGCTTATTTCTTTCCCCACACCTTTGGCTCAAAATTAGACGAAGAGTAATGCATGGGAACAACACAGACAATTTTCTAATTTTATGACAAAACCCCCTCCCAAAAAAGCACTGCAGGTAAAGAACATGGCTTACGTTATTTATTTATTTATTTTGTGATCAAGTTTTCAAGAAGTTACACAATTTTGATGCATCTGTGAGTTTTAGTGTTAGGGCAATAGAAGCAATTGGCAGATACCTCTCTTGAGCAATTACTCTGATAAACATTTGTATTGCAATTCATTTGATCAGTATTAACACAAAAAGCGAAGAAACTCAAACAACTTAGGTTGAAAAAAAATGTTTAATGCAACAAAAACTTTCTCTCGGATTCCCTTTATGTCACAAATGCTTCATAATTTCATATTTCTAATCTCTTCATTTCTACATGACATCTTATTTGATTTAAAATAATGATCTAAAATCTGGAAAATTCCAAAATTCATAATTGCGAAGATCCTGATGAATCCTGACATTCGACTTCACACTGTTTGTATGTGTATATTGCCAAGATCCTGACGAGTCCTGACGCTGGACTTAGCACTGTTTGGTGTGTGTGTGTGTATGTATATATATATATATATACAGTGGCTCCCAAAAGTGTTCGTACACTTATGATTTTCATTGAAATATCCATTAATTAAAAGTAAACTTGCTGAATGAAATTTTAATAATAAGATATATAATCTATTCATAACAAAATTACATAAAATATTTTTGAAATACAGCGAAACTTTATTTTTAAGAAATTAATGATCAAAAAATGACAAATATTTTATCTCACAAAAGTCTTTGTACACTTAAAAAAAATCTTGACATATTAGTAAATATTTTCATTTTTCGTTAAATTAATATTTAGTAGGATATCCTTTAGCATCCACAACAGCTTTTAAACGTCTGGGAATAGATTTTATTAGTTTTTTTGTAATTTCTGTATCAATGTTCATCCATTCTTCCATTATGACTGTGTTGAGTTCGCTTTTCGTTTTTATGTCATGTTTTCGCACTTCAATTCTTTCCAAATGTCTTCTATGGGGTTTAAATCTGGTGACTGAGGTGGTGTTTTCAAAACCTGTAGACAATTATAGACACCACAAGCGAAGGTTGAGAGCCATATGCTTAGGATCATTGTCATGATTAAAAATAAAGTTGTTTCCAATACCCAAGTTTTGTATACTAATACTACTATAGATTTTATTCAACAAACTTCATATCTGAAAAAGAATCGTAACCAAGTACAGTTTAAAAGAATTACAACTAAAAACACAAAACAATAATTTCTCAAATTATGGCAGGATTTAACATCTTCCTGAAGTCACTCATTTCTATAAAAACTGCTTGAAGGGAACTTTACGAGATTCACGTTCAAGGTCGGGCACACATAACAAAGGCTTTGATAACCAGTGTCTATACTAAATACTAATTTCAGAAGAGTCAAGAAGGAAAATATATGTGGACGGTACACAATGAAAAATCTGCATTGCTCAATGATGAATTCACCTTTAGTAACTTTCATTCTTCTGGTAGAGGTTATGCACAGACAGCTTCTTCAAGGGCACTTTGTTCAGGTCTGCTTCATGCCCAGTGCATGAAGCAGCATGGACAGCATGGTGGTGGAATGGTTAAGATTTACTTGCAGCATCATGGAAGTCTTTGGGGAAATTGTTTATTCTTCACTATCAAGGATTACTGATGCACCAATCCACCTAATGTTTCTTACAATATCCTGAAGAACTTGCCATGCATTAGGATGAAAATGCTCTATTTCACACCATAAACTGATAAAAACATGGTTTGGAAAACATCTTTCAGTCCTATACAGCCGTATAATATTGATACTACTAAGCCTATCTATTATATCCTAGAAGAAAGGATTGGAAAACATTTCCTTCCCCAGCATTATATGATGCAAAACCATTGTTACTCAGAAGAATGGCTGAAAACAAAATCTTTTGATCAAACAAGACTCACGTAAGTTATCCCCCCCCCAAACCAATTGCACTATGGACTCCAGAAGAATGCCTAGCCTACATTGTATTGATAAAGCATTACACTCTAAAGGCAAGTGTTTCAGTTTGATTGTCCAAACACTGTTTAAAGCATGCAATATCTCTCTTTTTGCACGCTCTTACTCAGGCTAACAGATTATGGCAGCATTTACCCCTGAACACTCAAAGAAAAGAAAATATTTTTTTTAAACTGTGAAGTCAAATTTTTATACCTTCATTTTTCTAACATGTGAATGAAAATAATGATCACAACTAAGTAATTGTAAAAACTAAATTTATGAATCATGTAAGCTGTATATAATAAGCAATGCGAATTTAAACAGCTCCATATTTAATATATTGCATAATTTTCAATCAAAAAATTAGCACATTTAAAAATAAGTAAATTATCTCTGATTGTGAAAAGTTACTTTACAAAATTAATTCAGATAACAAATTCAGACCAACATGCTAAAATGTTTCTTTCATACAACTTTAAATAGTTGCTCTATACTCCTATAAAAATTCTGTTGTAACTCTGCAACAACAAAATATGAAAATATAATAATATTTATACCATAAATATTACTTATAAATTGTGCAAAACTACCACAGCATATAATACTTCTAATCTAATTTTACACTGTTACATAAATTTTAATGTAAATTGGTTTAACAACATGCTTCATAATTAATACATCAAGCGAATACAAACAACATTAAAATTATTTGCTATAAAATATGTATAACTGACAAAATTTTTAATTTGGTGTGTGTGCTTAGGCACACCCACGATCACATTAGTATTACCTTTGGTGGTAAAGGAATAGCAGGCTGAAAATAAATATTATCAGCATCAAACGAATCTCCTTCATCATCTTCATCAACATCCGATGGCGTAGCTGGGGATTTTGGAGATTTGGGAGTTTTTGTAGGACTACGAGGTCTAACACCACTAAAATTAAATTCATATTTTTGTGGGCTACCAAAGCGAAATTCAACAGAACTTGAATCAGCCTCTTTTCCTGCTGGTGAGCCAAAGCTAAATATAGATGTTGACGAGGTATTTCCAAATGCATCGGTTGGAGCACTAGTTGTCTGTGGTATTGCGATAGACTTCTTTTCTAATAAATCAGATTTTTGAGTAGTCCCTCCAAAAACAGCAGGAGTGTTACTTGTAGGAAGAGTAGGTTTGAAACCTACAGTCTCACTTCCTTTGCCAATAACAGACGACAAACCAAATGAAAATGTGGTGGACTGAGTGATTGGTTTCATTCCAAAAAGAAAATCTCCTGATGAAGGTTTGTTTGAGCCAAATGAAAACGGTGATGTCTTTTCAGTACTAGAGGTACTTTGAACCGATGAACCAAACTGAAATTTTCCAAAATCACTCGAAGATGGAAATGCTGAGGAAGTAAATGATGTCCCAGGTTTTTTAGTTTCACAGGCAGCACATTTATCCACATCTGAATTGTACTGAATAAGACATGACTGGCACTGCCATGATCCTGCTGGAGGTTTAAATGAATTTGTTAAAGGTTCCGATTTACCATTTTTAACATAAGAAATGGGTTCCGTATTCTGATTATTACTGATTGCATTTTTATTAAATGTATCTGACGATGATGGCTGAGGGGACTCGCAAGACACACATTTTACATCACAAGATTTATTCCTGACATAGCAAGCTTGACATTCCCATGAGTTTTTATCCGGTTTAAAAAGTTCTGAAAGTGGTTTTTGTTCAGATACTAAGCTACTTTTGCCTGTGACAACAGAAATTCCTGATTTCGGAGTACTGCAATATACACAGGAGGATTCATTCATATTTGATTTTTGGCATTTTGAGCATTTCCACGAGCTTGCAACAGGCTTAAATAGTTCATCAAAAGCTGTCTTATTCCCAGTACATGTGTCTGACTGAGATTTGGCAATTTGAGGCTTTTCATTTTTGTCAGCTATTTCTTTTAAATCATTTTGGCATTTCTGGAAAACCTCAAAGAACTCTTGGGCTATTTCTTTGGTTTTAAATTTTGCAGCAAACTGTTCTTTTTTTAAGTCTCCATCAGAAAAGTCTTGAGCAAACCAAACCCAAGCTTTATCATTAGTTGCTAGTGGTGTAAGTTTCATGTCAGGTAAGATATAATGATTAGCACATATTTTCAAAACTTGCTCTCTTCGCATCAAAACCCTGTATTTTTTGCTATCTTTTAAAAACAATATTTTTAATTCTCCAATACCACGTTCTTTCCATTCTTTTCCTTCAGGGTCAAATCGGAATAACTTAGCTCGTTCACCAAACAGTTTTTCTTCTCCTTCTTCACCAGTCTTCACATCAATCAAAGCAGGAAGTGGAACAATAGGCTTGAACTCAGCAGTTGGAATGAATTCTTCAGGAGCACTATCAGCAGCATCAGTAGAAACCCTGCATCCCTCAGCTGAAACATTAACATATAATGGCACACTAGAAGTAGGAACAGTCGATTCTTCGGAACTCTTTGAAACACTAACGCTCAAACTTGGAAAAGTAGCAACACTTTCAGTACTTTTTGAACCAAACACATTATCAGGAGTGATTGTCTGTAACATAGAGTGTATTTTTGAAATGTTATTTTCAGCACTTGCTGTTGAACTTTCTGTACTCTCAACAGACTGCACAGTAGAAGACGAAGATACAGCTATAGTTGGTGGACTTTTAAATGAAAATCCAGAAAATGGACTAGGTTTTGGAGCAGTAACTTTTGTTACTTGAGGGCTATTTTTGGATTTTGTTGAAACAACTAGTATTTCTCTGTCTTTGATATCAGTTTTTGTGTCTTGTATCATTGGGTTGGTAGAAAATGTAAAACCACCAAACGTATTCTTTGGAGTACTGATTGAAGTAATAGTTAAAGAATTTGTGCCAAAAGTAAATTGATTTGCAGTTGAGTTATTAGTACTAGTTGTGACAGATATACTATGAGAATCTGAAGTAACTTGAGAACCAGGTTTTTTGGTCTCACATGCAACACATAAAAGTTTCTCAGCAGCATTACTAACATAACAAGTTGGACAAGTCCAAGAACCAGCTTTAGGCAAAAATTTAATTCCAAATGGCTTCTGTGTAACAGGAGATGCATTTGTTGTAGACTTGATACTTGGACTAGCTACTTTTTTAGCCTCATTTTCTTTTGCTATGTTTAATGCTTTCTCAAAAGCAGCTTTGAATGCAGCTGCAATATCAGCAGTTTTGAAACGTATACAAAAATGTTCGGGCCTAAGCTCTTCATCTGCAAAGTCTTGAGCAACCCAAGTCCAAGCTTTATCAGAATTTTTTAAAGCATGAATTTCCATATTAGGGGTAATATAATGGTTGGCACAAACTTTCAATACCTGCAAAAGAGAAAAATAAATAAAATTAATAAAAAAACTGTTATGAGTAATGTATTATATATTTTCAACCAAATAATACTCCAATAAGATAAATGCTATGAAATTCTGTAAAAATAATTACATAAAAAATACTTTTAAAAGGCAAGATCATTTTCAGAACTTCATTAACTTCCTTTGTTAGAATAAATCAGATTTTCCTTATTTTGTGCAAAATTTAAATGTCTTTTATATTGATTTTTGCAAAATACAAAACCAACAATTCACCTAGGTAAATAATCATCAAACACTCTGCAATAATTAACTCCTAAGATCAGTGCTATTCAAATGGCAGTGCGACCCCATAAAAATGCAAATGACCCCAAAAAAGAATTCCGTAATCCCAATCAGAGCACTAACCTTTAGTTTTATACCATCAAGATTTTTTAGAATTTTTTTCCACCTTGTTTCCACTACGTAAATTACATGAGGATTGTGCATCTATGGCAAAGATTCTCATATTAAGTATCATGATACTTGCATGAATTGCTGAACTGAAGAAATACAAAAATCTATAATATGCTTTTTATTGTTATGCTTGGTATCATGCTACACTCATTATATAGGGAGTGGTCATTAAAAACTTAGTTGACGTATGAAACCCTAGCTGCCTATCCATTCAGTCAACCGAAATTCTCAAGCTTTATTCTTCTATGACTGAGTACTCGATAAAAGTACCAGTATTATTGGCATAAGTGTTTAACATTAGGAACATTACATACTTTTTTTAGATATTTATTTGGAGTCTTTCCATGTAGATTCCATGAGTAATGATAAGTTTATTAAGAGTTTTCTTCTACTTTAATCTGAAATCCATTGCAAACAAGCAAACTCACCATGAAGACCTTCTTAGGCAATTGGCTCTAGAAATTATTAATTGCATTCCTAAAGATGCAGTGAGGGTCTATACTGATGGTAGTCGTACAGAAGATCGTACTGGCAGCGGTATCTTTATTAAAAAATACTTTGAAATTAAATAAAGCAACGCAACCCTGACACTTGCTCTGTCTTCAGAAGTGAGTTAATTGCGATTAATATGAGGCTTGAAGCCATCTTGACTTATGATTGTGATTCTGAAGAACTATGGATTTTATTGGACAGCCGCAGTGCACTACAACATTTTAGTGGCTGGTCATGCGTATGTGATGAAACCAGCATATCTGTTCTGCCCGAACCGAGGAAGATCTCTCAGACCCATTACATAGACCTCCAGTGGATCCCATCACATGTTAATATTAGTGGTAATGAGGTCGCTGATAAACTGGCAAAAGAGGGTAGTGAAAATGAAACGGTCACTGACTTCTCACTTACTTACCAAGAACTTTACTCAAATAAAAGATCTAAATATGGCATATTCCACCTACGCAACCCCCCCCAATGGTACATAGAAACATCCCCTGGTTCTCTACTGGATCTCAAGTGTGACCGTGGCCCCCAGACTGCTCTGGCTGGAGTAACAAGTGGCCACCTTAAATATCTTTCCTTTGATAGTGGCAGAAAAATCCATCACGCTTTTAAAAAAATGCTGTGACCATCCTGCTTCACCACATCACATACTGGGTTGCATCAGACTTTCTTAGGAGGACTTAACATTTTGATCCCTTAACTGTTATTCATTTTTTAATGATCAACAACCTTCTGGAGCTGATCTTTCGGGAATAAGCAACAACAACAGAAGCAATGATTGAGACTTTTTCTCTTTCCAGTTAATAATATGGCTTATTTGCTGCTCAGGTAGAATAGTGGATTGGGAAGCCTACTGCGTTAACGAGGAGATCAGATTCGAATCACGGAAAAGGCATGACTGTAATTGCCTGTCTCTTCATTTAACAGTGGCCACCATTCCCTTAACAGCGGCTTATCCATTGGGTGTTTCCACAATAAAGTGGCCACCAATTCTGGCCTTAGTAATGGCCATCAATGAGAAAATAAATATTGCTTATTTCGGACTTCCTTTTTAAATTATGGAATAGGAATATTTTTCTTTGGAAAGCACAAAAACATATCCTTCAACCTACAATTTGTTTACATGTGACATCTTGAAAGAAGGATAAATTTTAAAGAAGCAGACAAAATATCTGATTTCATATAATAAGCTGCTGCCAGAAATTTTTATTCCAAAACATACACTCTGGGGGGGGGGGGGGGAATTCTTCATCAAAATTATTCTAAAAATTTTGATAAACACCTTATAAGCTTGCTTTACAGTAGTAATTTATTAATTTTTGAGGGAGATGGGTATTTGTTATTCTTTCGTAGATGTTACAAATTACCTAACAGTTCATATCAGCAAAACATCAAACTTTGAAGTTCTTGTATTAACCAAGTTAAAATGAATATTACTTTGTTATTTAAAACATTTTGCATTTTTATTTTCTTTACCTAAATATCATCCTAATGGATGAAGGTTCTGAAAACAAAAAATAAACTATATATTAATTATACAAATAGAGCCAATAAATGCAGCTCTTTGCGAGCAGACCAAAAAGCTTTCCAAGCAGACGGTTAACATTTTACAATAGTAAAGTAAAATTTGATTAACCACTAGTTAATTCAAAAAATTTCAAAAACAGATCCCCTAAATTTTCTTTTCGGCCAAAAGTGTAAGAAAACTGCATTTATGCATAAAATATCTGTAAATGATCATTTAATGGCCTAAAATTATCTACAGAATTATAAAAGTTATCATACCCCTTTAAGGCAGCCTTATTTCACGTGGACTGGCATGAATAGGAAACTTATTTTCCATAACTTGACATTCTGCATGCATCTTTGCCTTACAGATCTTGAAATTTCTATATACAAGTTAGTATTGCAACTCAGTATAACTTTAAATAGGGTACAGTACAAAGTTCTACATTACAGTCCTGGCAATAATGCCTTGCTTTTTTCCACAGTCACTGGTACTACAGCCAGAATCATCCATTTTCAGTTCACAAAGAAATTTAAGAATGTTAACTACATAAAGTAAAACTTGAAAGCTCAGTTGTTAATTTTTCATAATTCATTAAAGTACAATAATTTTCTTCAAAGCTTACCTAAAAACTTTCATGAACTCTACAATACGCAAACAAAAACACACATTTTACAAAAAATCAAAGCCCAAAAAATAACACAAAGTTTGTTCTATGGATTAGTAGTACCACATGTTAATCAAGTAGTTAACAACAATAAATTATACATGATAACTAAAAACCTGAGTTTTGAAAATATGAACCATGCACCACAGGTAAATCATTCTGTGTGTAAAAAGCATTACCCTTAATAGGTCCTGGCAAAACTGCTATCAAAACATCAATTACTGGTCAGCATTCATTACAAAATTCGAAATATCTTGCCATTTTAGAATTTAATAAAACATGTTAGATGAAATTTGGAGAAACTGTCAGAGCTATCACAATGCTGAAAACCAAATTTGAAATATCTTGCCATTTTAGAATTTAATAAAGCATGTTAGATGAAACTTGGAGAAACTGTCAAGAGCTATCACAATGCTGAAAACCAGTTGCTTTAAGGTAGAGGTCTTCAATCTTCCATGCCCGAGGGCCACATCAATAAATTCACAAAGTTCCGTGGGCCACATGTCTGTCAAAAAATAGTGTAGTCAGAAAATTGATATAAAAATGGGAGGTTTGTTTTGCAAGACTGCAATTCATTCTAAGTGAAGAGACAGTGTTACAGATTTGTGTATATATATATACATTGGTTCGAAAAAGTCAAATGGAAATCGAATTAAAATGTTTTGCAACTTCTTTTAACTATGGGGGGAAAAAAAGCATAAAAATGATTGTACAGAATGATGTTACAAAATGCATTTACATAAAAAAAAAAAAAAAAAAAAAAAAAAACATTTACATTACTGGTGGGAAATGGTAGTTACTTTAGGTTTAATGTGAAATTTGACATTGTTTTTGCTTCATTAAAGCTTCAATACAGGGTTTAATCTCTGTTGTTGCAATTCGTAGTAAAGTTTTCTCCAAATCTCTGTCTGTCAACCATGCTCTTGTGTTTAATTTTAGGATTTTCATTTTACTAAAAAATTGCTCAAGAAATTCGGAAAATCTGCTCTTGATTTCCTCTTTCAAATTTGAAATGCACTGCACATAATAATTTGAATTCTATGTTGTAGAGTTCTTCACACACTTCATCAGTTTTAGAAAGTGAGTGGATTTTTATTTAGCAACTGACTATCTCACAGGATTAATCCTGCCTCAAAAGCTTTCATAAAGTAATAAAGATTATGAACAAGTAGATCTTTTCTCAGTAAGCGGTAGTTCAAACCACTGAGATGACCTGTAATATCGACAAGAAATGCAAAGTCTCTCAACCATTTCTCATCACTGAACTCGTGAAGAGATTTCTCTTTAGATGCCATGAATTGTTGAACTTTTGCTCTTCAAAGAAAGCAGGCGATGAACATCTTTCCTTGGCTTAACCAACGTACTTCCGCATAATACACAACATCACCATATTCAGCTTCCAAATCATTCAAGAACTGTTGAAATTATCTGTGATTAAGTCCTTTAGACCTAACGAAATTAACCACTTTTACAACAACATTCATCACATGTTTAAAATTTGAGGACTTCTTGCACAAATTTTCTTGGTGGATGATGCAGTAAAAAGTCATCATAGTATTATTTCCACTAGCCTTCAGATCATATTTGAGCAATGATGTTACTCCTGTGATAGATTTAGCGCCATCCATGGCTATAGCAGATATATAACTGAAGTCTAACTCAGATTTATCTCGAATACAAATCTGTTCCTCGTGTTGTACCTTTACGTGCAACAACACTGGTTAATTTCTCTATAATTGTGAGGTCTCTATCAACGGCACAAATAAAAATGGCTACTTGTTCAGTATCTGTTGCATCTGTTGATTCATCCATCGCTACAGAATAAAACTCAATTTTTTTTCCATTTGGATTTTGATTTACTCAATATATCTGTTGCGAGATTCTCTATGCGTCTCACTACTGTCACACCAAACAATATTCGATATTACTCGAGCCTGTGATGGGCAAAGCACATCAACTGCACTCTGAAGATGTTGTTTTACAGATTCTCCATCACAAAGGGTTTTCCATGTTTAGCAATTTTTCTGCTATCATGTAACTAACACGAACACTTTTTCAGATTCTCTATTCTCTGTGGTGAAGAAAGACTGCTGAAAATTTAGTTTTGATTTTAATTCCCACACTGTATCACTTTGAAAATGACCTTCCAATGTAGAAAGCCCACCAGCGGCTGAGCAGTAAAGTCGCTGAACACTGGTAGTTCAGTTCGAGGTTCGAATCCCGCAAACGGGTTGGCTGCATGGGCGTTTTTTTTGTGGTTTTTCCCATGTGTAACGTGTATACGAGCCAGTTTCCCTTAGAAAGTCCTCCATGAAGGTATCCCTCCCCTTAAGCAGATAGCCCTAGTGTGCTTTGCCATAATTAAATAAACCAAAACCAAACCAATCCAATGTAGAATATTTCTCACTGTGCTTAGTATTACAATGCCTCTTAAAGTTGTATTCCTTCAACATAACTACATTGTCGTTGCAAATAAGGCAAATTGCCTTACCCTTATCTACAGCAAAATAAATAAAGATCTGACCACTTTTTTTGAAAACAATCATACTTTTCCTTCAACTTTTCTTTTTTTGTTATCACGGCATGACATAGCATACTCATTCAAAAAAAAACGCTTCTGAAATTTAGAATGTAGAATGCGTGTGAGTAATCTAGCTTAAAATCAACTGTAGAAAATCTACCAGCAAATCAAACAGGATAGCGTTTGATCACCGTTCCCTTTGACAACTGATTGCAACATTAGGAGAAACAGAATTCGGTGCATCAAAGTTAATTTATTCACCCTCCCCTTTATAGTAGCGGCCCTCTCAAGGTGGCCTTTGACGAAGTATTGACGAGAGATTGACATGTGTAGCAAACCTGTTAGAGATAAGAATCTACCCTTTTTATGGAATTGAGATTTTATGCATAGTCAATTTTTTATTTTTAAAATTACATAAGGTAAAGTGAAATTTTTGAAAAATTTGTCATTTTCAGTAAATGTTATCTCAAATAAAGGTATGTGAATAATACGTTTTAAATATCAAGAATGAGAGGAAAAAAAGTTTTTTTTACGACAAAATGCTGAAAACTCAATTTTTCTTGAAATTAAAATTTCTTAAAATTCTTCAATTTTTTCTCATAATTCAAATGTGGCGCCACTAAAATGTCTTCAGCAGGCCACTCGTGGTCCATGAAACACGGGTTGAAGACCCCTACTTTACGTAAATCCTTTTGTAACAATTTTTAAAGATTTCAACTAGCATGTTTCATATGCAACGTCAGAATGAGTTATACTGAACTGTAATCACTGAAATGAATTATTGCAATAAATGTATCCAATACATGCAAACAATTAAATAGCATGCTTAGTTGAAAAAATACTCACTTGATCTCTTCTCATCAGAAGTCTAATTCGACCACTCCCTTCATGATGTAAAATTTTAACTGTTCCGATGCCACGTTCTTTCCATTCCTGGTCCACAAACCTATATAATTTAGCTCTATCTTCAAATAAGACCTAAAAATAAATTTTATGTTAGCTAAAAATTCATTAATTTTACTATTTTACAAACTTATCTTCTAAAAATCCTAAACAAAATTCCAAAGAAAACTGAATTTTCTCCCAAATGACAGCCAATGTGCAATTTTTTGGCGATAAATTTATTACTTTTTACACTTTCCTCAGTAACATGCAGCATGGCAACAGTACTACTATGCAAATTTTAAAAATACACATGAAACATTAATATGCAACCTAGTCAGGATTTCTAGAACTCAGAAGGCTCATTTCTTTATCATCCTGTTTCAAAACATTTGACCCCTGATTTTTCCCCCCTTATAAATGCATCAGTTCTTATTATGGGTTTTAATGAAAGTTTTCCACCACCGCAAATATCTGCGTAAACAGTTCACATTGGCATGTTGGATCATATTTTGTCAAACGCTCTTTGGCATTTGAAAGAAAGACTTGCTTTAGAACACTTTACTGTGAAATCTGTAAAAGAATATTATTATCATTAAGTGCAAGGTGTCTGAAATGAAACTATTAGACTACTAGATTAGAACCAGCATTTACTTCCAGTTCTGTAGCAAAAAGTCAGCTATAGAATGTCACCAAATAATGTGCACAGCTTTAGGTAAGTAATGTTATATCATATGACACTGTGAAGGTTTGTTACCAAAAGTTCAAACACAAGGACTATGACATTCAAGAAGCAGAGCACTCTGTCCGGCCTACTGATGTTTAAGAGGCCCGCCTGCAAGAACTTGTGGAAGAAGATCAGTATGCAACCACTCAAGAGCTTGCTATAAGGAATTAGACGTTAGTGCTATGTCCATTAGTCGTGTTATGCATCGCATAAACTTGACATGCAAGTTAAACCTCTGAGTGCTACATGAGCTGATGCCAGCTGATAAGGACAGATGTGTTTCGGATTGCCCTGATCTGTTTCAATGTCAATTCAAGGACAAAAGTCTGGATTGCATCATTACTTGTGATGAAAAGCGTAGATCTACATCTGGTAAGGTTTTCGGCAGTGTCACAAAGTGCAATTTGACTAGCAAAAAGATCATACTTTGTATCTGGTGGGATTATCCACAAAGATTATCTAGAAAAAGATAAAACCCTCGACAGTAAGGTGTAAGCGAGATGCTAGTCCATACTGACACTGCTATCAAGAAAAAAACGTCAAACTGAGTGCCAACACAAAAAAGTAATGTTCCATCAATATAATGCAACACCACATGTGTCTACATTCATCGGCTGGACTTTGTATGAACTTAAATGAAATGGGATTTTTTGCCACACCTATCACATAGTCCCGACACTGTTCCTTCAGACTTTTAACTTTTTTCACACCTGCAGCTACATCTTGCTGGTGATATCTTCCTTATTGTACAGGACGTTCAGAATGAGGTTGATCTGTTTTTGTACTCGCAGCCACCAAGTTTCTGAGCCAAATGCTTTGATAAACTATAAAAACGCTGGCAGAAATTGATAAATTTGGGTGGTCGTTATTACTCACAGTAAAGGAATCGCTTTCTAGTTTCTTGAATTTTATCAAGAACGTTTTTTGGTGGACAGCTTTCATTAGAACCAGACACTAGGTTTTTCTTTATTTAATTTCCTCTCTCTCTCTCTTTAAGACTAGGAAAATTTATTTAGAGATACAACTTGATTAAGAGATGAGGCCATCTCTATTTTCTTTCCAACTTTTCCTACATAACACTTCTATACGCTTATTACTACAAAATGATGGGGATTAGTTAGTTTTAAATGTTAGTTTACAACAAATGCTTGGACATAAAGAAAGATAATAAACATTGTTTTAAACAAAAATGGATTAAATGCCAGGTTTCTAATTTCTATTTCTTAAATTTACATTTAATTTCAAATTTATTGTGGAATATGCACTGATATTTCTGCTTGCCAAAACACGGGCCTTAATTATGGTTTCACCAAATTTGTATTAATGAATCAAAGACAATTTGTAAGCATAATTTATTAATTAGCATTAAACTGCATATTTAAACATTTATAACTTCTGAAATAGTAAAAATTACTTCATTCCATTACAAAAAACTGTTGACACAGCAAAACATAATGTCTCATAAATGAACAAATAAATACTAACCACTTCATTTTCTTCTCCAGTTTCAACTACAATTTCAGCAGGCAAAGGAATTAATGGTTTAAAATCACCCATAACCTCCTTCTCCAAATCATGGCCATCAATATCAGGACTGCCTGCATTGTCACTATCACAACGAGAGCGTTCTACTTTTGAGATTTCAGGTGTTTTTGAAATACCAGCAAATATTGAAGGGACCTGAATTGTTGAACTGGAAGTAGAAGTGACAGTTGTATTCAACTGCAATGCATGGCCAAATGATGCAGTTCCTGATGCAGGAGTTCCAAGCAAATTCTTCAGTTCTGACTGTGATGTTATAGGCATTACATTTGATAAAGGTTTGATCTGAGATGAAGTTGATGGGACAAGGTTCGCACTTGATGCAAATGGAGCAGTTGCTGGAAGAGGAATCTGAAATGCATGTGGAACGCTAACAGCTTTTGACCATGGACTAGGAACAGGCAATGGATGAGAAAGTGGTGGTGGTATCACAGTTTGTGTTGGAGGTAGATTAACAGTCGGAGGTGGTAATGTGACAGTAGGAGTAGCTGGAGGAATACTAGAAACACTGCTCATCACAGGAGGAGGGGGTGGCTTCACTATAGGTGATGCAACATGAAAATGAAATTGTGGTAGTTGTTGCCCTTCGCTGAAAGGAAGCCCCTGACCAGGAGGAGGATGATAAAATGGCGGTCTTTCAGCAACAGCAGGAGGCGGTGCTGGCATTACAGCATGTGGTGGATATTGATAATTGTAATGATTAAGTGCTGGTGGAGGTCCAGGTGGGATGGCAGGTGAAACAACATAATTTAATGGAGCAGCGGCATCATGAACAATTCGTGAAGTTGGATCATAGCTGTATCCAGATGCTCTATAGTCTTCACCACCTTCATCTGCATAATATTCTAAAATGCTATTAGGATCATAATCATTATAGTCATCCTCTTCATCGCCCCTATCCTTCATAAAACCAGACTTTTTACTTGGTCGTCTATGCTGACATTTAGATAAAGTCAATTCTTCCAATTTTTTCTAATAAAGAAGGAAAGAAAAATCGATGTAAAAAATACAAATAACATCTGTACTAACATTGAAAACATACTTGAAAAATTACAAATACAACACATGCATTACAAAAAGGCATGGTGCTCAATTACTATACATTATGACTATTATCCTAAATATTATTTTAGCTCGTTCAAAGCCGCTCCCAAGTTAACTCGGGCTTATGAGTTAAAACTCGGCACTGAACAAGTTAATAATACAGTAGTTACTCACATGGATCCCCTTAGGTTTTTCAGCATATGATTTAGAAACTTTTTATTTGTGGTAATGAAAAACGTGCACATAATTAGGTAAGTATTTCGCATAAATAAGAAAAATATTAATAAAAGTAATACGTCCTTTGAAATGATTAATATAATAATATTTGCATATATTTAAATGTGCTTTTTAACATGTTTGTGTTTGTCTCTTCAGAAAAAGTATATATCACGTGCTTTATTCTGCCAGTTTCCAGATATCTAGAAAAACTTTCAGCTAAACAAATGCCAAATTATTTATGTTGATATTTTCTATACAATGTGTTTGAAGAAAGTTATTATACACTTCATTTTCTAATTTACCAATCTTAGGCATGTTTTTCTTGTAACAAAGTTCATTAGTAAGGTACAACAAATTTAAGGAAACGGTTCAACACAATAAAAGGAGGTTTCTGCAAATAAATTTTTTTAATAATATTATCTCTCTATAGCAGAAATAAAAAGCAATTATTTTCAATTTTTTAAGATATGTCAAAATTTGCACAAATTTTGAGTATGGATGACATTTCTTATTTATCTTTAGCCTTTTTAGGTCTTTTTGATGATTTATTTTTTGTATTATTTTTTTGCATTTATGTAAACTTTGCATTATAGGAGGACGAAAACATATAGGAAAAGGAGTGAATTTAATGACAACATTAAATTAAGTATGTAAAGGAAATTGGGTTAATTTAAAGAGGTTTAAAGTCTGAGTGAGTTCGTTTGAACGAAACATGTTTATCATCTCTCATTAATGAACTTGGTTTAAGGCTTCAAAACATTTTTCCCTTGACAAGTTCCGTTTGAAGCATTAAAACAAAGGTGATTCATAAAATTTTTATTGTTTTGGTTTTAATCAATTCTTATTTTTTATTGTTTTCTTCTTTGAAATGTAAGTTTTGTTTTGAATTTGGTAATTTTCTTTTATTTGTATCTTATTTAACATGTTTCATGGTAATAATAGGTTGGCCTTCAAATATTTGTGACTTTTTCTTTTTAGTATAGATTTTTGAAATCTGTTTAATTATATAATATATATCCCTTATATAATATAATATTTTAATTCTATAATATTATTATATATATATATATATATCTTAGTCAGCTAAATTTACTTTGAATAATAATTACAGATAATAAAATGGCACAACATTTTATTTTAATGATATGTGGCGCATGGCATATGAGAATCTTTATTCTAATTTTATGGTCCTTTCTGAATTTAAAACATAAGGAAATTATTCAGCATCTACAGTATTAAAACTTTAAAACAGAATTTTAATAAAGTTATATTTTTAGAATATATTTTAGAATACTGTTTTGAACTTATTTTTACTGTTAGTATTGCCATCTATTAGCACAGATGGAAAAAGTGGCATTACGAGGACCCAGTGTCCTCGAAGGTAGGCAAATGGCCTTTGATTGAACATCAGTCTGTTTCTTAGCAATCAAACATGACTACCATAGTTGCAAAACTGCTCCTGTGTGATTGTCTCCAATACTAGGACTGTTGTGAATTGTTGCTGTCGTGGTACGAGCATCTGACTGGTCCTCGGGACTGCTACATACTCCACCTGCAAGCATTTTCAATGCAGGAGGATAAAATATGTCATTACAATTGAGTCTGTGTGGGGTAGAGTTGCAAGCCATGTATGCTGTAGATCCCTGAATTGTGGGCTGCAGCACTAGTGCTTGAATGTGCCTAGTTGGGCCCTGTGTTACACTTTGGAGAGTGGTGCATGTGATGGTCACCATTTGTTTCCAGGTAGGTGGAGTTGCATTATGCCTGAGTCAATCATGTAGTGGTCCTGAAGATAGCTTACATGCTTCTTGAGTGTTGCTCTTTGCTCACATCATCCAACTATTAGTAGAGATGGGAAGTTTATCACTATGTTTGAGTACTGTGGGCACAAGGCTCTACTGTCCTTGAAGGTAGCAAACAACAATGGAGGTCAAACAAGGGTTTTTGTCATAGTCAAATATCATTAAAGTCACTGGAAATGTTTCCCTGACCAATCACCTAAAATATCTGAATTGTTTCTTGGCGAATGCATATGACTGGTCTTTGGGATCACTACAATCTCAACAGAGGTTTGCAGCATTATTTGCTGACATTTCATATTTCAGTTTTTATGCTTGAAATACATGAAAGTTCACATCTCAGCACTTCTTATAAATAATAACAATGCAATAGTTTAATTTCTTAAAAATGAGGAAAGATGGAGCAAAATCTCCCAGTTCATTACATTTAGATTTATATTTAACAATATGCACAATAAACATCCATATATAAAAACTTACTTTTAAAATTCAAAACTATTTTAAAAATACAGAAATACTTTAAGGACAGTATGACTATTTTTTTTAAGAAATAAATCTCAAAAAATTTTATATATTTAAATACCTTCAGTTGCTCCATAACACTATTGTTTTGTTTCAGTGCCTCAGCTATCGATTTGTTTGTTTCTAACACAGCCTGCTGCTGTTGCATAAATGTCTTCACTAAGGTATCTTGATTCAGAGCCAGTGCTCTAATCTGTGCATCTAATCTTTCTGGACTTGGTTCAAAATGCTGAAAAGGAAAATATATCAATAGCAATGTTTTGTTTTCAATTAAGCATTTTTTAAAAGTTAATGACAGGTTTTTATAAAATTTTAATTTTAAACTTTGTATGTACATTCACTTTAATGCCTATTTAAACTAGACAAAGAATTAATGTTTCAAGAATTTATGATACAGAACACAAATTCACAAACAAATCTAACTGTTGAATATACGTTCTTTAGGAATTAGATATGTTAGAAAAACCTTTCTTATAATATTATTTCATCATAAACTAATATCACAAGGAAACTTATGCTCTTATCTAATAAAGAAAAAACTTAATTATTAGGATGTGTTGTTACCGCTCACCCACTTTAAGTTGATCTCCACAATGCTTCTGGCACATTAGCCAAAAAAAAAAAAAAAAAAAGAGAGAGAGAGAGAGACTGTAAAAAAAAAAGGCCAGTCAGTTTTGAAGATATGTGTCAGCGTATTTAATATTAAGATTTTATCACAGTCTCATTTTTTAACACGTTGACTGCCCAATACGAGATAACTCGTACTAGCGCTCTTCTTCAGGATGCCCAATACGAGTTATCTTGTAGTTTTTTGATTGGCCACTTTTGTACCACTACAAGTTACTTACTCGCTTAGCGCATGTTTTAGCTATACAAGGCGACAAGTCAAAGCATGCCTGCACAAATCAACTTCCAGTGGGTTACTGTGAAGAGCTTTGTCTAACAAAAGCCAACTACAAGATAAATTCATAGGACACCTTTTTCTACCCCCCCCCAAAAATTATATATACATATATATATATTGTAAACTTTTTAATGATTTGTTACGAAACATAATTAGTATTTTTAATAATATAATATGATCAAATCGATTTGGCTTCTCGGACTGGAATCCGAAAAGTGCTGTGGCAGTCGACGTGTTAAATACTATGTGGCACGCAGAGAACAACACCAACGATTAAAAAAATGGGGGAAAACATTTCCAGCAAATAATTAAGAAAATGTCAGTGTTTACATAGGCGGAAAATTCCATCTTAGGGAAAAACTTTATTTCCTCCAGGGTTCGTAGCCACATTTTAGTTAAAAAAATAAGCAACTATAAGCACTTTTCAAGCACATTTTAAGGGAAAAATAAGCACCTGTCTAATTACATTATACAAAACTGCATAACCTTTATTACAAACATTAGACTTGTAATTTAAAATATGAGCAATGCAATATTTATTAAGAGAATGCGCATTACCTCAACCATGGAAAACATTTAACTTTTTTTAAAAATTTTAAATGAAAGTTCAATTTACAGAATTAGTTTACAATGAGAGGAAAAAAAAAAAAGCGATGCAGAACTAAACTATATTACAAGATTTAGTGATGAAATTTCAGTTCAAAATATAGAAAATAAATAATAATAATAAGCCATATTAATTGTATTCCTTTGGCAAATAATAATAAATACAATTTATTTTTCCACTCGTATTTAAATAATTTAACTTTAATCAAAATTCTGAACATTTTCTAAATTTTCATTGCATAACAGTTTTCCCTTAATATATATATTCCAAGCAAAGTAATTTAAGTAAAAAAGAGGCACATTTCTGAAATCAGAAGACGGGAAATTGCTTCATGCAGTCATCCTTTAACTGTAAAAGCTTAATTAACCCGCATACTCGGAAATTGCCGAATATTCCGGCCAGTAACTGGAAAAAGAGGAGTGGGGGAGATTGTAGCCGTTCTTTAGATTTCTCGGCTAAATAAATGATTTTGACATTTCGATATGTGCATCATATAAAAATAGACCAACGGAACTGAGAAATATTCTGCTTAGAAAGCACAGTAAAACTCTTTTAAGTGTTCATAAACAAATCTCAGACTGAACATCAAAATTAATTATCTCAGCAAAATACCGCAAACGTTATTGCGCAATACGTGCCGCGTAATTCTTCCACACGTGATATTACACAATCGGAATCAACAGCTGACGATATTCGGAGAATAAAGAACTAAATAAAGGAAAAGAAATAGACTTAACTAATCTGGGAAAGAAAGAGACTTAACTAATCTGGGGTGTTTCTGATTCTAATTTTCAACAGACTGCATTAAATTTCCTGAACAGAATCAATCTTCGCTTGGGTTGGGTAGACCGCAAAAGCTTTTAGTCCTATTCAATCCAGATTGGACAGAGACAAAAAAAAAAAAAAAAAAAAGTTATGCTGCTTCAATATTAGAAATTTTGCGGAGAAAGGGGAGAACCTCCCAATCTCCATAATGTATAATATATTGCCCCCCCCCAAAAAAAGAAAGGAAGGAAAAAAAGAAATTATTTTGACTATTTGATTACTTTCCTTTTATTTAAGCCATTCCGAATATTATTCCTTAGAAAGCTAATCTGTGTAAAAACACACTCTTTTTTTGGAAGTTTATCTATACTTCAGCAGTTACTGCAACTATATTATTATAAATATTCATGCATATGCTCATAATATAAGCATAACGATCATAATAAACACGAATATGAACTGACCACGCGGAACGAGAATGCAAATTATTAAAATCTTGATAGAAATTCAAACGTGTGTACTATTTGGGTGGGAGGAAAAGAATACCGAACGTACCGGAATTTTCTACCGCTTTCCCAATTCTTTGACCAATGGAACGACGTGCACCTGTCTGTACTCTCGTGTGCACCATAGGTTACGCTAATGCAGAGAAAGGGGGGAAAGCAATTTCCGGGAGTATGATTCATCATCTGACGTTGCATATAAGGAAGGAAAGTTGTTTATTTAGTTTCGGGTTTGGTACGGGGGAAAAATGAGTGTTCATTAAAAAAAAAGGATTTAAAAAAAGCACTAAAAGCAAAAAATAAGCACTAAAAACAAAAAAATAACGGTTTTAAAGAAAAAGTAAGCACCTATGAGGGCTTTATATTTTATTTTCAAATATAAGGACTTATAAGCACTTGTAAGGACCGCTACGAACCCTGTCCTCCTCTGAAATGGGAACTGAACTTGGCACAGTTCGAATAAGAGGTCTACGACTAGCAAGAGAACAGTACTAATTGTTTTAATCTGAGAGAATCTTTTACCAAGTCCATAAATTTCACAAAGAAAAGAGCAGTTTGGGGAACCTTACAAGTGGCAATCAACTCTGCCTAGCTCCATTGCAATTTTGGTAGAGTATATCTTGGGGAGAGATTCAGGGTTCTCTTGCCTCTAATCCCTTACCATCAACCTATTGAAAGAACTTTTGTATTAACAATATTTTAAATGCCTCCATATTGCAAAAACACTATATATTTAACCCAAAATTTGAACCTGGACTCACTATATAACAACTAGCACTATTAACCACCATGCGAAAAACGGAGACATTCAAACATGACTGTGTATTTACTATATCGAATTTGCTTCTGCATTAAGATAGCAGCAAACATTTTCCTGAATTTGCAACACTTTTTATTTTGCAGGACACCACATCCATTTACAAAAAACAACTATTTTGAAATGTCGGAAAATTACATTAAAAAATATGATTGCAACTCTGTTATAAATTTTATTTTCATAAAACTTTAAAATCTCACTCATAGAATTTATGTCACAAAAATACAAAAGAGAAAATTTATCCATACCCTTGGACAATCCCGATTAGACATCTGAAATTTAGATTTTGAAGTAGTGAATTTACTAGAAGGTCTTGGAGTACTTTGCATGGCTGACTTTGAATTATCAACTAAGAAATGAGATGATTGCGAAGGTGTCTCATAATATGAATCTGTTTCATCCAGCTCTTCATAGTTATTGCATGGACCTTAAAAAATTACGAAAAAAATTAGCATATACTTTTTTAATCACATTAACAAATTTTAAAAAATTACACACACATTACATTATTAAATTTAATAATAATTACAACACTTAATGTTTCTCTACTCAAGTTATAAAATATAAGGAAGTTATAAAATTTATTGTACATATACATATAAATATATTTAAATATTTTTGAATTTATAAAAAACAAGTTTCCTTACTATGATTCATATCACTTGCAAGCTCATTTTCTACCTCTTCTAATTCAATGTAAATTTCTTTATTTAGAGGATGGCTTTGGTCATCTTTAATACGATCCATAGTCTCGTGTAAGGCACTTTTTGCCTTATTTAGTAATGCAGTTTTAGTAACTGAAAATGCTTCCTCCTGGGATGCCAGTTTCTTGAGGGTCTATAATATTCAAAACAAATTATTCCAGTTCAAAATATCAAAACTTTAAAACACAAATACAGCTAAACTTGAATTAAAAGAGAAAGAAAAATTTGAAAAATTGTATTAATTTGAAATGAACAGTACACATATTGTTTTACTTCCTTGTACAAAGTAAACAAAGTACTGTAATCATAAAAAAATTTCAGATTATATCAACAGAAATATCCATTTTGAGCACTCCCGAATACACATCAGTTATTTTTTGCATGATGTTTGTCTGCACACACAGAATAACAAACTGTTTTTTCCAAAACAGATTGTAAAATGGATTTAAAGTCGATTTAAAAAGAATTTTTTCACAACATCTGTACATATGTACCTACATGTATGTATCTTGTATATGTAGGTATGTAATGTGACGTATGTATCTTCCATAACTCAAAAATGATCAACTACAGAATGCTGAAATTTTGTACATAGGACTGCTACAATATTCAGTTGTGCACCTCGCTTTTTCATTGCTATATGCTATATATAGAGGATGTCCGGAATTAAAGAACTCTAATTCTAAAGAAGTAATTTTCTAAATTTTCTAAAGAATTAATTTTCTTTCTTAAGTTGCTTATAAGCGAAACAGTCATCAGCAAATCGATAAACATTACGGCGGACTTTGAAGGGATGGGAATGTTTTTCAGCCAAAAAAAAAAAAAAAAAATAAGTCACAAATAATGCCATCAGGGGGGAATTTTACTCTAAAAACCTGCAGTAAAAATCTAAATCTTTGTTGATATCATGCAATATATGTTATAAAACCTAGAAATATTCAAAGAGATTTCGTTTTCAATGTGCTTGCTGTTCACAATGACTATAAGTTTATGAGATTGCGCTTTGTTAAATTGCTTTTATTAAAATCTTTGATAATATAATCTTAATCCATAATGTTTCTAAGATTATAAATGAGATCTAATTATCTCATTTCTAACCTTATAATATATATCTTTCTAATCTTTAAATCAAATTGAATTTAAAATTATAATTTCTAGAAGCTTCCTTAGTTAATACGTTAAACTTAAAATTTTCACCTTCTTTAATTTTTATCCTAAATTCTCCTAGCAATCTTAATCATTTTAATTTAATTCACTGAAATTAATGCGTTATCTGCAGAATGACAAACTGACAGCTTCTCGCAATCTTTCCCTTCTCTGTCACTCATAACTTACGTCAATGACCTCTTCCCCCTTCCCAGATCACTGATCAAGGCTTTAAGCCAGTGATGGCGAACCTATGGCACGCATTCGACAGTCGGTACGCAGTCTCGTCAGCTGGCATGCGAATAAAATATTATTTCCTTAATCAACAATCACAATAAAATGATACTATGTAATTTAAATAAGTGTTTTAGCCTGTTTTTGAACGTTTCACTTACTTACTTATCGCATAATGCCACTGGCATAAGGACTAAGCCTAGATATAAGATTTTCATATATCACCATAGAAATTATATACATATTTATTGACGCAGTTTATGACATTTCAATTGCTTGTGCCAATCATATTATTTTGTGACATGGCAAAGAATATGCCAAAGTTGAAGCAGCTAATAATTGCTAAAACAAATTCAAATTTATTACAGACTGCCAGAGAGTTTTTTTAATACTTTCATTGCTAAATCTAAGCATTTTGAGCTAACTTATGAATAATTCTAATTTAATATCTTAAACGAAATGGTACATGGCCATTCCACTTTGAGCATGTGGCCCCAAAAGGGTTTGCCACCACTGCTCTAAGCGAACTCACTTTGGTTACAGACCTTTCTCAAAGACCAACTTTGTTCGCTCTTTACTTCTGCTCGTCTCCATGGTAACCTCACAGGGTGACGCTTGCCAATTGTTAACTCAACTTTTTGACCTCAGAAGGGTTTCATCTCCCCTTATATGAGGTAAACTGCAGATTGTCAGTACTCTTGTCCCCAGAGGACTTCTTAACCAGCTCCTTTTTCCAGCCCTCAACAACTTTTCATTTCTTTAGCAAATGTTCTCTCTTATATGTTCATTTCTATTAACAAAGATGTTGCATTTAATTGCAAAGGTACTCCATAATCAAAATGCCTTGGTCAAAGCATTGCTATTACAACTACAACAGGAATTACTTTCCTCAATTACTTTCAAATTAAGATCAAGGCTCTAAGCCATACAATATTTGCATCGAAACCACCATTCTCTTCAGTACACATCAGATAGTTAAGCCTAATTAGCTAGGTCCAAATAAATTCAATTTTTTATTACATGAAAAGAGTACTAACACCAGAAGTGAATGTTAGTGCATCTGAAATATTTGCAGTCGCTGACCCTGAAGCATTTATAATAAAATGTCAGAACACATAGAATTAGTTAAAATTGAAACTTAATTAATTTGTCATGCATAAAAACATACATTTACAAAAGAAATTAAATACTTACAACACTTCCATCTAAGTAATAAACAAAATAGAAAAGAAATCACTGGATTTTTTCCACCATCAATTGAGATAAAATTATGTCATAAGTTTTAAAAAGTATTAAAGATAAATTTTGGAATGGAAGTTATTGTTTATAAATTGCCTAGGGGAGACCATTATATCTATCCAATGTTAGCGTGAAAATTTTTTTGGGGGGACTGCCATATGAAATTCCATGACTTTTGTGGTCAATTTTTGAATTCTTGAGTTTTTATACAAGATTAATATCACTGTCATACTTGCCAACCTATGACACTCAAAATCTAATTCGCAAGGTTTTGTTTTAGATATAATCAAGAGAAAATTCAATTGCTTTTCAGACATCCAAAATCACTTTTTTTTGTTCATATAACAAAGTATTAAGCCAAGTTCCATAAAAATCATGAGAAATTTTAAGAATAAGAAAAAGTCGGGAGAAATATATTGTAAATCGGGTTGGCGAGAGAGTGGTCGAAAATCGGGAGTCTCCCACCTAAATCGGGATAGTTGGCAACTCTGCACAGTGTAAATTAATTATATTAATTTCTAGATTTTCAGCAGAATTACTCGCATTCATTTTTGGTAATGAAAATAATGTAATACTGGATTTCAAACCATTAAAATCTTAAACATTTTATTCAAACTTTTGTGATAATCATTCTAATTTATTTACAGGGACTGTATTTAAAGGGTACATAAAATCTCCTTAGGGGACACATGTGGTCCGTGGGATGCCATTTTGGAGACACTAGTAAGGTATCCTACTACTGCATTTATGAGAAGGCTGTCTATTAAAAGTTATAAAATTGAAATAACAGGATAAAACAATGATATAATTTTAAAATACAAGTTTTGTTCATGTAATAAAATTTTAAAATATAAGCTTTGTTCATGTAAAAAAGAAACATACCAAAGCTAAATAATATGAACCATATGGAGATGACAGTTTAGACAACATCTCTGCAGCTTCTGCAAGTTGATCATCATCCATCATGCGAACAGCTAGGTAAAGTCGTCCATCTTCTTGTAACTGTTTTACTTCAGTACTTGATAAAGATTTATTGCAGCCTATAAACACCTGATCTTTTGGAGTTCTTAGAGTTTGTCCTAAAGCAATTTTATCTAGCATGCCTAATGCAATATTCCAGTAGTGAATTGCACGCACACGTAATGACGATACATTTTCTGGACTGATTTTAATTTTACCTGAATCTTCAGTGTTCTAGAAAAAGATGCAAATAACAAAATTCTCTTAGAACTGTTAAATACCTAAATTTTCTGTCATAAAATAAATCACACAAAATTTTTAATAATTTAAAAACAAATATTACAACAGAATTAAAAGGGTACTGTTCTGTTTTGCCGGCGCAGGCGATAAAGTCGCCAGTAATGGTACAACGGATGCCAAACGGAATATACTCGCTGGTAACTTTTACGCATCATTTTCAAAACAAATCGCAGCCATTTCTTATCAGATTGATTGTTTCTTTCAAAACCGGCAAGCAATTACATAGAATTTTTATCAGATAGTTCAATTTTATGCTCCAAGACCATTTGCAGTAATTAAGTCAATTAGGATGCAATCACACCACTCACCCGAAGGCAAAATAAGTCAAGGGTTAAATAAATCAGTTCTAATGAGAATGCACTAGCGAAGTAAAGCACTATGGTTTTACATAATTTCTGAGTAAGCTATTCGTACGAATTGAAATAATTCTTGCATTCCAAATTAAGATTTAACTTGAAATTAATGTAGAGAATTACTAAGTGAATTTTAAATAAATAAATAATTTATAAATTTTTGTAGCATAGTTTATATGCACTTAGGGTCACGTTATATGAACCGGCGAATCAGGATGTTGAACCATGAAAGCATAGTAAATTTTTAAATTAATGTCTTTATTTATTGGCTTTTTACAAAATTTTAAACAATATTAAAATGTTTATGCCTTCAAAATAAAAAAATTCTTAGAACTAAACTTTTTTATGCGTATACTGTATGTTGTCGCCAATAAAGTCTGTTTGGCGATATTTGCACCAGCGAAACGGAAAAAGTACCATTAAAAATTATATTAGGTTTTTTGCACTTAAAAATTTGGTATTTCCTTTACAGTAATCTTAATAATATAGAGGAAATATCATTGGCACAAGTAGAGTTTAAGAAAGCTCTGGATGATGTAGCTTCATCCAGGCTGGGACTTTTGGAACTATGATGCATGTACTATTAATGGTACTTTATTTTTTTGTGATAAAATTTTTGTACAAAAGATTTAAACAAATGTTCAAAATTAATATAAAATGGCACTCATTTAATATTTTGTTCTAATCTTTATTATTTAGATATATATATATATATATATATATATATATATATATATGAGAGACAAAATTGGCAAACTCAAAATTACAATTTAAATCAGCAATAGCCTGTAATTTCTCATTTTAATTTACGAATCCTCCCCTTTCAGTTCTAAATTGTTTATAATAATTTTTCTGGAATGAATACTTCCATTTTCACGCTTGCTTATGTAATCCTCCTTGATTGGGACAGGAAAAAAGGAAATCAAGTCTATAAATATCACGGCTACTAATGAGCAAAACCCTCCCCCCCTACACATTCACCTTCCTTTGTGTTAGCTACACATTATTGCCACTCCATTTCCCACTTTGTTTAAAGATATGCAAGATATACAGAATTGTGAGGTGCATGATGCACCCATAAATAATGCTGTTTGAATCTGTTTATGTGTACCATGACTTGTTCTATTGGAAAAATTAAATCATGTATTTAAAACAGTGGCCACGTCTGAAAGCTTTTCACCTTCATTCTCTTATCTTAAATATTCCTGCAGCTGTTTCTCGAATCAAGTCTCTACTAAATTATTACATTTTATATAGATATACTTCCTGTTTTGGGCACCCTTCTTAAACTAGCACCTATGGTGGTGGCCAAGGGCGTAGCCAGAGGGTGCAAGGTGGTGCACTTGCACCCCTCTAAACTAATGTGACTCGGAAAAAAAAAAAAAAAATCACGCAAATTCTCCAGCATCTACAACCGATAAATTCTGGAAAAGGTATCTTATTATCCCTTACCTGGATTCTTTAATACTATCACTGAAAGAAAGATTTTCCAGCAATAATTTACCATCATTTTGTTTGTTATCACATCCTGTGGCTATGCTAAAGATACCAAGAGAAGAATTTACCAAAAAAGCTGAGTGCTTTTGCAATTTTGTTTCACAGAAAACGAAGAAACTAGAGATCGACAACATGAAGGAATTAACTAAGGAAGATTTAGTAAAAGAAGCAACAATTTTTTCTCAGAAACGAAACATGCTCTTCTTATATATTTGTCTCAACAATGCACTATGTGTACTGTTGAGCGCTGATTTAGTACTCTGTGCAGAGTAAAAACTTGGTTGTTCTCTACAATAACAGAGACTCGCTTAAATGGGACACGATGTCAAATGTGAATCGAAAGCTTGTTCAAGAAACAAAAATAGATATAGAAAAAGAAGCTTCAGAATGATTTAGTTCAGATAGCAGAAAAATTATTTTCATATAAATTAAAGACCAAGCAAAAAATGTTCAGAAGTCTCTTTATTCCTATCTCCCATATTTCAACGTTCTGTTTAAACTCATGTATTCCAATTCCGTTAATCATTTGCTCGTTTATTCGACTGTAGCAAAGCATGCAAGTGCTATCCTGAAGGAAAGCTGTCTTAGAGGAAGATTTTCTTAGGTAATCTGACTCATATTCAATTACTAATACACGAGGGTGGGGGGGAAAAAACAACAAAAACTTTCATGCCAAAACTTTCACTTTCAAATCGAATTATTGGCCTCCGCAATTTTATCTACTCTTCCACTGATGAATTCGTGTCATATCATGGTTTCGTTTTCTCAGTCTAAGATCCTTTGCACCCCCTAGTTTCAATTTTGGCTATGCCCATGGTGGTGGCGACACTGGCCATACACTAGTTACCAGTTTATGATAGTTCACTTATTTTTTATTCTTATTTATGCAATACTAAATTTAAAAACAATTTACAATGATTGATCCAGACTCAATGCTAAAAAGAGCTACAAAAACAAAATTTAAGAAACTGTAACCAAATATAAAATTTCTAATCTGCAAGTAATTTACAATTTTTAAGCTCATACAGTCAAAAGTCTAATCCGGATGTCCATAATCCGGAATGATCTATAATCCGAACCTCAAAGCTACAAACTTTCTGCGCATACGTACATGCATAGCATGCACATATGCGTTTACGTGCGCGCATCATACCTTTACGCATGCGCATTTAATGTATAACGGATGGTATAAGCTAAGCTAAAATTATCTATTTCGGTTAATGTTGCAGATTGCGTTGTTTCTTAATCTTCTAATTGGATTTGGCTCATTATTTTTTGCAAACTGTTAGAGCAATTTTATAAAAAGTAAGCTTGAACTTTCGATTATGTCAAATAGAATTTCCGATTCTGGAGGCTGCCAAAGGATCTACAAAGCGAAAGCATGTTTCGATGTCCATTAAACAAAATGTGGAATTGCTGCAAAAAATGGATAAAGACATGAAGAAAGTGACAGAGAGGTGATTTGTTTCTCTAATCATTCCGAAATCTGTTTATCAATTTCACGCTGCTCTGAGGGGAAGGGGGGACGTCGCGGCATGCAATGAACTGGAAGTTGATCTGTCAGCACTATCCTCATCTTCAGGGTAGATGTTTTTATTTTATTCAGCTTATAATTGCTCACTAAATGTAATGTTTCATCTCATTATACTCTGATATGTTTTAAATCAATTTCCTCGTCATTATAAATATCATGAAGACACATAAATTAGTTTTCTGGTTGCAATTTTCCAATTTTGACTATGCGTAATGTATGCTTTACGCATGCGCGCGTTGAAAAGAAATGTTTAATAAAGTAACTAAATAAATATTAAGCTTTTTTTTTTGTAAATTTTTATACCCTTTAGATTATAACTGCTCTTTATTTCATAAATTATAGTTTCATATTTTTAATTTTATAATTTCTGCATGCCATCTTACAAGATTTAAACTGATGATCTATAATCCGGAAAAACCGATATTCCGGAATCGCCGAAGTCCCGACGAGTCCAGATTAAAGACTTTTGACTGTACATTGTTTTTTTAAGCAACATCATATAAATTGCTTCTGAATGCATATATTAAATAAATTGTTTCTGCATGTATGTGTTAAATAAACTGTACAAATACTGAGCAAATTGCTTGTGTGTATAAAACAACAAAGGCACCAGAAAGTTCTGGTGAAAACTTTCCTTCTCTTGGCAAAGCTACTTTCTTTATCTCATCCAAGGCTGCTATAAGACAATAGTACCAAAAATTCATTAAAACCAGAATATGCATATATGCACCAAAATATTCAGTAAATAATTCACATACAAAAATAAAATGCATACCTTCATTAGTAAATCAGATTTCTGAGCAAACTGTCGTGCTAAGTGTACGACAAGCTGCACTTCCATTCCATGATTACCAATACCTCTAATAACTTCCAAACCATGCTGCAAATTTCTTCGATGCTCTCCATGTTTCTCTCTAGAAAAAAAAATAAATAAATAAAACTGAGTGACTTGTAATTCAAGTTTTGGACGGGAAAGTGAAATTAAGATAAAATGTACAATATCTCTTTCAAATAATATATTTTTCCAAAGAATTGAAATTTCACAAGCATTTAGTCACAAATGCACTTAATCACACATATAAAATATGAAATCAAATTTTATTCATACTCCCAGACTTAGGACGGGAAGAAGGAGAAGAGTAAAATTTTGCTTTTATTAAAATTTTAGAATTTACAAAAAAACAACCAAAACCTATCACACCATTAACTGATTTCCAAAATTTTAATAAAAAGAAGGCATTATTTTGCGATACCTGAGATAATAATTTCCATATTTTCAATACAAAACCTACTGATTCAAAACCATAAACAGTGTAAAACCTTCATACTGGAATACAGCATGTATCACTCATCAATATTAGTTTATCTAATCTGAAGTCATCAATAAATTCAGTTTGAAATACATACTTCTAGACTTTTATAACCTTCCCAAAAGTGCTCCCACAAAAAATTTAGTGAAGTGTATGATGCAAAACACACTAAGAATTAACACAATATGGGAAAACTTCATCCTAAGAACTTTACATGAAGGATTAACTCCTCCTAAACAAAACAATATGCAGTGCAGATATTAACTTGCTGTAAATGAAATTAACAATGAAATAAAAAGATATTACCATATCCTCCTTCACCCACGAAAAAGTCATCTTTTTAGATGAATGCAGATTGGTTTTCTGACTATGGAATGTTCACAGGAATCGGAAATGGGCAGTATTTTGATGACGTACCGGAGGAAACTTGAGATATCAAAGTAGCAAAAATTGTTTTATACAGTCAAAAGTCTTTAATCCGGACTCGTCGGGACTTCGGCGATTCCGGATTATCGATTTTTCCAGATTATAGATCATCAGTTTAAATCTGGTAAGATGGCATGCAGAAATTATAAAATTAAAAATATGAAACCGTAATTTATAAAATAATGAGCAATTATGATCTAAAGGGTATCCAAATTTACCAAAAAAAAAAAGCCTAATATTTATTTGTTTACTTTATTAAACATTTCTTTTAACGCGCGGATGCGTAAAGCATACCTTACTCATAGCCGAAATTAGAAAATTGCAACCAGAAAACTATGTGATTTGTATTCGTGATATTTATAATGACGAGGAATTTGATTTAAATCATATCAAAGACGGAGTACATCGAAATTAAATACTACATTTAGTAAGGAATTATAAGCCGACTAAAATAAAAACATCTGCCCTGAAGATAACGATAGTGTTGACAGATCAACTTCCAGTTCATTGCGCGCCGCGACGTGCGAAGGAACACATGCAAGTTCCTTCACTGGTATTGGACGGTTGTTGCACCCCTTAGTTCGGTGATACAGCTTGTCTTATAGGTTCTCGACAGCTTTCAGGTCTGGGTATCTGGAATCTCCCTTTCTAATTCAGGTGTCTTTTCTTTAACCAAAAGAAATTTCTTTTGGTTGTACTACGTAGCTTAAATGCATTGATAAATGTTAAATATTCAGACTAATATTTATTTTACATAATTCTAATATGTTGAATCAACCATTAAATTGCTTACTAAAAATAAACAAATAACAAAAACACTCCAAGTGGAACATAACTTGAGATTCAATAATGATAACTTATGACCTTTCTTTTATTAATTAAATATTTCTTTGATGGAACAATATACTTTATTTGTAAACTTCTTTATTTCTTATTACAACTTTCAGCTACAACAATTCATGGCATTTCGATTTTGATAAAGTTTGTGACCCTGAAAAAAAAATTACTAGAAACTATCAAGAATTGTATACTGCTCATCAATCAGCTTGGGTCTGTTTATTTAGTCACACTAATCTTCAGATGTGGGGAAAAACTGTTTATGTACTCCAAAACAAAGCAATTATACCTTATTCCAAAAACTCATAACTGAAGGTATTTATCTTTTGACAAGAGAAAAATAATCAAATCTTTGAATAGGATTTATATCACAGTGTAAATTAATTAGCTCTATTTGTACATTTTCTAAGGCATTACTCACATTTGTTTTTATTGGCAATGAAAATAATATCAAACTGGACTCAAAATAATTAACATCTTAAACCCTTTATATTTTTGCCACAATAATGCTAATTAATTTGCGGGAAATGTATTCACAGGCCATGCAAAATTGCTTTGGAGGCCGCTGGTCTGAGACCGTGGATTTAATGTATCATTATTGCAGGAAAGGGGAATTATGATTTACATGAATACAGATAATAAATAAAATAGATGAAAATTATTCAAGAACATAAATAATATTTACTTAATAGAGCATGTGTAAAGACCATAAGCTGTTCTCCACCAAGCTGCTTGTTGCTTAGAACATAAAGGATCAGTTACATCTGGAGGAAAGGATAACTGAAAATCTTGATTTTTTGAGTTTAACATACTACTCTTCCTCTCCATCATGTAATGAGCTTGATAAATGGTAGCAAGAAGATAGGCTTCAAGATCTAAGACACATAAAGATTCACAACTACCTTGTGATAAATTTTTGTTGCCATACTGAAGATTTTTGAAGACCTATAAATTAAAAAATTAGAAATATTAACTTGACAGTTAATTTAGTATGAAACATTATCACCAGATTCTACACATAAAAACTGTAATTATCATAAATCGATTCTCTCTCTTTTTTTGTTGTTGTTTCAGTTGCATTCTCTGGTTTTCTATAAAAAACTAAAGCTATAGCATATAAGTAGTTCTACATTTTTCCTAAAAAGGTGAAAATATAGCATACCAACTATGTGTTTTGCATTGTATTGCTAAATATTTTTATATTTGAATTTAATAAAAAATATAAATTATTTAAAGATTTAATAACTTTTATTACATTTCCTTTTAGGCAATGGCTAACAAGCATACCTCTTCTGCTTATATCTGACGTCTCCTATTATTATGATATTAAATTTTTAATTTTCAATCTGCTAAGATATCATTTCCATTTATGACGATGCTTTTGAAATCGCAGAAGAAAATTTAAAAATTTTTCAAATGTGTTACTCCTTAAATCTGTAAATTTATCTGATATGTATAACTGACAATCTTAGATAGGAATAAATGAATCTTAAAAATCATGAAAGATGAAATTTTCAAATGCTCCTAGATATTAATTAGAACACTTTTTAAATATCAGCAATTAAAATTAAAGATGCTATTTTTTAATCAACACCAAAAATGGCGAACCTGAGTTTAAATACCGCAAGGGTTAATAAACATTATAAATACTATTATTCAAATTTATACAATAATAATTCAAATTAATACAATAAAAATGGTTTTATAAAATAAGCCTTTATTTAAAAGTCATAAAACATTTAATGAAGTAATGAAAAATAAGTTATCATATAGTTTTATGGGACCAAGAGATAGGTTAGGTTAGGTTATTTAATTATGGCAAAGCCTCGAGAGCTATCTGCCTATGGGGAGGGATGCCTTCGTGGAGGACTTTCTAAGGATAACTGGCTCGTATACACGTTACACAATGGGGAAAACCCTGAAAACACCCATGCAGCCAGCCCGCTCGCGGGATTCAAACCTCGGACGGAACTACCAGTGTTCAGCGACTTTACCGCTCGGCCGCAAGAGATAATTAATTCTCCTTCAAAATTCATTTACAATTTTTAGAAAGTATCCTTAAGCATATTTATAAAGATAATGGCTTACAATTTTGATGACAGAATTCGGATAATAGATTTTGTTACTTGGGCATTATAATCTTTTGATAAGATTCATAATTTACATAAATATATATCCCCAGAATATCATGAATGAAATTTTCAAGAAATACAGATCTAAGAATAAAAAAAGACATCTAAAGATAAAAAGATTTCAAGATCAACACATTTGAATATGAATTAAAGAATATTTCATCAAAAGAACTTACTTCAGTAATAATATCATCAGCAGGCACAGGTGTATCAGATTTTCTCTGCGCTTCTAACCACACTAAATGATGTAAAGAGTCTGCACGCAGCTTGTAGGCAGCTAGAATTTTAAAAAGTTCATGACGCTAGAGCACAGAATTAATTCAATGGTTTAAAAATTTAAAAAAAAAAAAAAAAAAAAATCTAATTAATGCGCTAAATAAAAACAAACATCATAAACATTATGATAATTGGCTGATTTAAGTACGCTGATCCTTTTTCTTAATAGTAGCATTAAAACTTCAGCTAGCTTCCTTCTCAAAATAGTAGTATTTTATTCTTTAACATGAATTTTATTTTCTCAAATACAAAGCATTGCTTCTCAGTTCAAAAGTAAGTTCAAAAAGTAATCTGTAATAAGCAAGTTGCCTGAATGCGATGAGACAATTTTGCTACCATTTTAGGAAAGGGAAGGAAGATAAAATTTAGCACGTCTTATCATAGGGCTTCCACGGAAATTTAATTTTTAATTTCTCCATTTTTCCTTAACTTTTATGTCCGTTGATTATCCCCATCCCCACCAAAAATCCATGAACTCATTGATGATTGTAAAAAGCATTCATGAACTTTGTCAATTTCAAAATATAATATAAATGTTTATTTTGGCAACTTATGTCTGTTTCAATGATGCATTTTGCGACACGTAATTTTTCTCATATTAATCCTTCTGTAATTTTATTTTGCTGTTGTTCTTGCCCCATGTACACAGCAATCTATTTTTACTATTTAATGGGGGAGAACTGCAAAAATTGGCCTCTGCAAATACCCTCAGCATTGCACACCCCAGCCATAATCACCCAAGGGCATTTGAAATTTCAATTTCATTCTAATGTATGCTTTTAAAATAAAAGACAGCAAACGCCATTAAGATTTGTTATGACAAAAACAAATGCACTCAATGCAAAAAAATAGACTACTTAAAAAAAAGGGGGGAGACAACTGTTTAAATTTAAAAGTGCAAACACCTACCTGTATTCATTCAAAGATGTGTATGCTACATGCATGCCTGAGTTGAACCATAACTACTTTTGACATTGTGGTATGCCATATAAACATTTTTCAATGCTTTTTCATGGATTTTTGTAGGGGGGGGGATAATAATCAGAAAGTACCTCCTAATTTTCCATAAGCAAGTGAAATAATTTTTTCAATTAAGTCTAATGAACTATCAAAACGAACATGTAACTGAATTTTTTTTTCTTTTTTTTTCTTTTTTTTTTTTTTTAATTGCTACTACAAAACGCGCAGCATGATAATAACTACGAATAACAGAAAAATTTACTTATCTTGTTACACTGAAACAAATGAAAGAATTTACAAAACAAACATTTAAGGCATTCAAAAAAGTAAGCAAAGTTTTTAAAAGAAAATATCAAACTATGTAAAAAATTCTCTTTCTTCAGAAGAAATTTTAAAGTGCATCACTCATATTAAATATTACTCTTTCGTTTTTTCAAAATAAAAATTAGAATTTAAACTACACTGGTTTGATATGTTTGTTTAATAGTTATTAAAAAGGGGTAACAATAATTTCGAAAGAGAAGAATGGATAGCAGTCCACTATAGTCTACTATAAAATAGTAACTTAAAGGTCTTCTCTTTCTTAACTATGATGGTAATGCTTGTCGTCATCACCAAACAGCTTTTATTTTCTTTACCTCGTTTAAGACTATAGTTCAAAATCAGCCTTCATTCATGTACATTACAGTATACTATGAGGGAAACCACAAAAGTACTTGACCATCTGCCACAGCTATGGTTACCAAGGTTACAACTCAAACTGGTAACAAGAAAATGGACCTGAAGTGCCTATCATAAAGTAAAAGTTGAAAAAGAAAGTGTAAAGTCCCAATCACATTTTGTTTCTGCTACAAGGGACTTGACATCAAAAGGGACAGTTCTCAGACCCCGCACATTTCCAGGAAACCCAAGTAGCAAGTTTACCATTTTCGCTTACTTGAACGCCAAACAGTAATCGATTATCGCTCAGATTGGGATCATGTGATCCTTCAGAAGCAGAACTTTCATCTGATTGGTTGATCTCTACATGGGACAGAGGTCGAAACACTGTCAGCAAGGTTTCAAAAAATCTAACGTAGCCGGTACATCCTTTCCATAGCTCGGCGGGACATCGCTTCTCGCAGGGCTTTTTCCTAGGAATCCTCCCATTTAAACCAGTGTTGCTAGAATCTTGTTTCTCAGAAAAGTCCCATCTAGAAGAGACTATCACTAGATGTGATAATGACCCCAGATACGAAGTGGGTAAAATATTCTCTACCAAAAAAGGGGGAAGTGACAAGTATATTAACTTTTTCTTTTGTCTCAAAAGAGACAATTTTTGTTTAATGTGTATTATTGAAAATATGAATGCTTTATTATTTAAGAAAACTGATTTGTACTTTTCAACTCCTTTTTCTAATTTTTCCAGAACTTTTTGAAAAAAAATTCATATTTTTACCAACTTTAATTTCTTGTGTTTTGAAGCATTTTCCAAGTCAGCAAGAGCTATTTCATATTTGTAAGTTATTTTAAAAAGAATGCACATTTTAAGATAACATTATCATTGTTTAAGACCATTTAGCGTAACATTATTTCACAATATGTATGTACTTTTAACACTAACTATAATTCTAGACATTTCTGTCAACACATTATAACAAAACAAAACAAACAAAAAAAAAAAAAAAAAGTTAAAAATAATCCTAGAAACGAAAAACATAAACTCACATTTATCATATTCTTGCAATGCAGTCTTGACAGGAAATTCTAAACTACACTGTTCAAATGTCGAATCCAAAATAAAGTATGATGACAGCAACTTTTCTTTTTGAACAACAGTACTAAACACTCTGCTATAAATCCGTTCTTTAACCTACAAAAATTTTTAAATAATTTGTAAACAATATTTCTTATACTCATCATTTTACTCAAAAATGAGACCTGTATGTCTTGGAAGTAGTTATGATTTCTTGTACAAATACACACTTTATTAAGCACCATTTGTATCCAAATAGTGATAACATACATTTTGTCTACAAAGGCTTTATATATCCAGATGAATACAAAAAAATTATAGTCTCAAAACATATATAAATATAAAACTACATTTTACAAACATAATATATAAAATTAAAAAATATTTATGATACCTAAATAAATATATAAAATAAATAACAGCAGCCAACATATTTTTAACACATATATTATAGTTCTCAATGAGTTCAAATAACACTTTAAATATACAGATATGAACTTTAGTTTCTTATCTATAAAACAGCATTAATATTTTTTTCACTTATAAGCCTGTCATAGTGGCATTGAAGTTGACTGAATTCCTCTTCTTTTATATTCTTTAAATTTCATTGATGTTTTGAATTGGGGTATTATATTGAATTGGGGTTTGATGTATTTTAGTTTTACCATTTATTAAATTCTTTTTTACATTTATAAGATTTTAGGATATTTATTACTTATGAAGTTCAACTTTTGGTCTTTGTGAAAAATCATTTCTAAATTTCTTACTTTTTATCTTTACTGATAATTTACAGCAGCTTAATGTGCGAAAATAGTAGGCATGATTATAGTATTTTTTAAAAAACTGTTTTGTAATTATATATATACATACTTTCTGAATATTCAAATCTGTGAGCAGTATGGCAATACAGCTATATGTGAGGGAATGATTAGAAGATGGGTTCAATTCAGGCAGAACATGCATGATAAAATGAGAAGCAGTTGGCCATCTGCAGTCATTGATGAGCTGATTCGTCAACTTGATATTAAAATTCATGCAAACTAACATTTCATGATCTCAAATTTTTCATTGGTGGTTCCTGAAGTTTTGTATATTATGTTCTGCATGAAACTGTAATTGAACACTTGGGTAACCGAAAATGTGTGCATGGTGGAAACTGGAAATGCTTACAGAGGATCATAAAGGTAAGCGTTCTGCTACTGTTTTGACTTTTCTGAGCAAATACAATAATGACGAGGGGAACGAACTGTTGTATCACGTTGTTGCTGGTAATGAAACTTGGGTTTCTCATGTCACACCATTATCGAAACAATAATGAACGTAATGAAAACACTCTGCCTTATTGACCCAGTTCAAACAGAACATTTCCACATGAAAAATCATGTACACCATTTTCTAGGGCAAATTTTGCACCCACACACAAAACTGTCAAAGTCCCTGCTTATGATGCAACACTGTGACATTTTATTGCATGACAATGACAGGCCACATTCTGCTCAACTGAATAAGATCTCGAGTCCTTTTTTTGGGGAAGAAATGCATCATCTGCCACATAGCCCTGGTCTGGCACCTCAAGACTTTCATCCATTCTTGCACTTGAAGCAATTCTTGAGTGGCCAGCGTTTTGATAACGATGAAGAAGTGAAAAATGCACCATCCTGGCTAACTTTACAGGCATCCATCTTTTATGATGAAGCCATATAAAACCTTGTTTCTCGATGCAATCAACATTTTAATGTGCTGGACGACTATGCCGCAAAGTAGTGTAATGTTTGGAAATTGTTCTTCAATATGTATGTACCTTTGTCAACATCTGTCACCTTTATACAGCAGTGGAACTTACTTTCTGAACAACCTTGTACATTAACTCTTAAAAGTTTTGTAAATATCAGACTTACAATATATAATTATATATTATAAACTTAGTATCTCTATTAGCGCCTTTAAGATCTGCCAGAAATAATCCAAACATGGTAAAACTTAAATAAAATGACAAAATAAAAATTTTCAAAATATGTTAGCCACAGAAGGAGTTAAAACCAATTTATAAAATTCTGAACTACTACCAGAAATAGGTTACAGGATATACTTCTGAATCACATTCTCTTAGTTCATATTTCCTCCGTGACAGATATAAAAATGTCAACAAGGGAATTCGGCTATCAGTGTTCAAAGCATCTGATCTCCCTACTCTTCACTTATTGATATTTCCCATTTAATTTTTCTCTACTGTACTTTTAGCAACATCCTTAAGGTCATTAGTGACATTTTACTGCAGCTTTGATATTCAGGATTTTTTTCTTTACAGCATTTAAGAGTAGTGGTATTACCAGTGTTTCCTAGCTTAAGAGAAATTGTGATGTCTTGTCTATAAGCGAGAAAAAAAAAATTTTTGGATATAATAGAAAAAGGTTGGAAAAGTAAAAACGTTTTATGTGAAAATAACCAAGCTTTATGGTAAGAATGAATCTTTAATTTGTGAAGTGTTGAAGAACATGAGGAATATTCCTGCTAACATTACAAACTGCAAAAGTTTCGGAATGAAAGTAGAACAGCCTTAACTTTTTGGCTCCTTTTCACCTTCTAAAAATGACAATCTTAAAAAAGTCATTTGTGCAATTTAATATACGCTCACCTCTTCACAATGTCCGCACCATTATTGCACTTCCTCTCCCTGTCAAAGATACAGGGTTATCATTACATAACTATAAATGTCCCTGAATCCCACAAAATTTAACATACTTTCAAAAGTGTGCTATTTCCTTACTGTATGTTGTGTACAGGTTATGAACACAATTTTCAGTGTAAAAATTGCAGCCCTCAATTTTTTTAATTGCTTTGTTGGAAAAAAAAAGGAGGAGGATTTTATTTCTACTACTCCTTTAAACAGTTCGTTGTATTATACAGTACAGGAGCCACGTCTTAATTCCTGACTCTTCTTTTAAATATCAAATTAAATTTTTATACTTTGTTACTTAATACACCCAAGTGAAAGAAACAGTATACTGTAATGTACAGTACATTTTGCATCACTTTAATAATAATAATATATGAAATAACAAGTTTTTTATTATTTATTCATATAGATGTCTTATTGTATTCAAATTCATAAATTATGTTTTATGAATTTATGTATGTGATGTGAATATCAGTTAAACATAGCATTTTCTGTTATCTCAGGTATGTCCAGGAATTACCTGTAGATACAGGTATACTGCAATATAATTGGGATCTTTCATCTAAATGTTTGAAAAAACTACTCTTTTTGAATGACAGTTTAGTTTCAGACATATAGATATTTTGTTAGTGAGATTTATTATGATATAATTTTAACAAATGGCAAATAATTTGACCCTCATTTTTTAAGACTTTAAATGTCATGTAACCAACCAGTGAATCACAACAGGTTTGTTTTGGGAACTTTGCAATCCATCAGTGCGTTACCTTTCTGCATGGCTTCCAAACCACTCTGCTCAAGTTAATCCTTATGCGTGTCGGCAGTCAACATGTTAACATCGATATGTTCATTTGAAATAATTTTAATTCATGCTAAGGTCAAAGCATTAAGTGAAATGCAATTCCTCTTGTTATGGAAGATTATAAATATTCTGACTTAGATTCTCTGACCTGCTTTCAAACAAAGATGTACAGCAGACACTAAAAAGACAGCTATGAAAAGAATTTGAGCTAATTTTCAGTTATACTAAAAATTCTACAGTAATTCTGTTGGATACTGTTCTGATTTAAAATAGAGTTTAAAGTTCTGCATACATCCTGAAAAAGTGATTGCCATCTATCCCAAATTGCATGGCAAGTCTGTACCCAAGATTTATTTTTGTAATAAAACTTTAATGAATTTTTATCAACTTCAGTAGATTTATCCTCTAATATAACTCACATGAGTTTTAAATTAATGTTAATAGATGGATTAATTACTAACAATAAGCAATGTTTTTTTAATTTGTTTTACTTAGAAATATATAGAAAAATAATTAAAAAGCTAATCACTGATTAAAAAAACTGAGGGAACTACTCTGATATGCGTCCTCAAGTCGCCAAAGGCAAACATTTTTGGTGAGAAACTTCACGCCGCCATACCGCCATATTACTATCTAAATTTGTTGTCTACATTTCGAACTTTAAGCCTAAAACGTCTCCAAAAGCGTGGTTTTCGCACATGCAAAAACTACGTTTTGAACACACGATTTAAGCTAAAAATCCAAAACAAAAACAAAAAAATTCGATAGCAAAAACGTAAAGTTTCTAACAAAAAATATTTGACAAGAATCCATGTATACAGCTACATGTTTTAACTTAAAAAAATATCTACGAATGGCACAATGTATGCAACGAACGAATCTACGCACTATGCACACCTCGCTTTAATAAATTAACATAACAACAATAAATTTCAAAGAATACCATGTACACAGCATTCTGTTTCAACTTTAAAAAACATCTATGAATTCCACAATTTAGACTAAACACTAATCAACAAAATAAACTAAAATAAATTTCAAACAATTCAAAAAATAACAATAAAAACGGAAATTCATACAAAAAACAATGAACATGACATTCTACAAAATAAAAACAATAAAATAAAATGCACTTACCATAATGAAAGCTTATTTTGAAAGCAGAAATATCAATTTCAAACATCACAAAAACAAAAAACATAACAAACACTTTCTGCAAATACACTACAAAGAAATTTTTAATTTCTCCCATTCAACAGTTCTTACAATTTCTAGAAATTTGTTAAAAGCATCTTCTCCAGTTCATTATGACAGTAATGAAAAAACCATATACACAGCCAAATAAAACCGAAAATCACATTTCCTATTATAAGTAGGCAACGTAGCTTTAACATGCCGCCATGTACTCTCTATACTATTTATATGACAGCCAGACTCGCTATCCACAAAATTTATACTATGGTTTCACAAATAAATGTTGAAAACCTTTTTTTCTCAAATCCTTGAAGGATTTCAAGCCATCTGAAAAAATAGTTATATCAGGCTCAACCAACTCTTTAATACACTGCATTAGCGTTTCCTTACTTCTATCATGCACAGCTACTAAAAATAATCTCCCAGACCCTCTTTCCACACCTCAAATACCCGTTGCCCCTCAAATAGGATGGCTGCGATGATATTTCCTTTTGCCGAATTTCGATTCATCAACTTCCACCACTTTATCTTTCCCCCCTATCTTCTCAGACACAGAGCATACAAAGTCCAAAATACATTCGTTAATAAAATTTCACCAGTCACACAACGTCTGTGAAGAAAACTGCCACGATTTTGCTATATCACATGCCTTCCTACGATTCAAAATTTTGAAAGTAACAATAAAAAATTCCTCCAACGTTAACTTGCTACACGAAAACCAAGATCCAAACCTTAAACTCCGCTGACAACCACATACTTTACCAGCAACAATTTGACTGCAAACCCACACAAGTCTATCAGAAACACCATTCTTCGTCCGAGTTCTCATATCACCTCCCCACTTTGGACATGTCAAACTCCGTTTTAAAAGTCCCGACTCCCACAGAAATTCCAAAAATACACTACGATCCCCATAAATACATCCGTGAACAAAAGATTTGTTAACAACTCCAACATCGTATCTTTTCATACTAAATTTACTCTGCACACAATCTAAAATACGCGACTGAAACCTTCCCACCCCATCTTTCATAGCAACATAGGCCATTTCAAAAATACACGTGACACGAACCAACTAGCAATTAAACTACTCCACCAAAAGATTTTTCAACATCAACAGGGTTGCCATACAACATGCAATCGCGCCAAAAACCAGCGCAGAAAACATATCGCCACATTTGGTGAAATTAGGGCGTATATCAGAGTTGTAACAAACTGAGAAAAATGAATGAAATGGAAAATAATTGCAGATATTTAAAATAAGGAATTTTCTCGAAATATTTTCATTCTTGTTTTAACTGCAAAAGAAATCATAAAACATTCATAAATTTAACACCAAATACCTCTTTATGGACAAGAAAGAAAGTTTCACTTATATAACTGCATGGATGGATCTGCTGCATAGCGAATGGGTTGAACAAAAGTTAACAGACAAGATTCACATCAAATATATGCCATACAAAAATTAAGATAACTACACAAAAACACGCTGCTTTATACGAAGGCATTACCAAAAAAAAAGGTCTCCAATTTTTTGGGGACGTAGAGAAAGTTTTAATACAGTTGTTGGCAACACTGTTGTGAGTAGTGCCTTCTTCGCTACCACATAAGCACACAGGCGCTTCGCTCGGATGTTCAGTCTTGGCTTGGCAGCCATTCGAAATGGAGCTCTCAATAAACGTTACCGCCAAGTGCGAATTATTCGATTTTTGAACGCAACAGGCGTTAAACCGGTTGAAATTCACCGCCTATTGACGGAAGTGTATGGACAGTCGTGCATGGATGTCAAAAACGTTTGCAAGCGGTGTAGAGAGTTTACAGCCGGTCGTACTGAAATTCATGACGAAGAAAGGAGCGGTAGGCCATCAATTGCCGACGAGACAATCGCGAAAGTTGAGGAACTCATGCGTAAAGATCGGAGGATCACTCTGGATGCTCTCTGCATTTTGGTTCCTCAGGTTTCCAGAAGCACCATCCACAGGATTTTAAAGGAAAAGTTGCAATATCGGAAGGTGTGTGCAAGATGGGTGCCATGTATGCTGACAGAAGACCACAAACAGCAACGGGTTGATTCTTCTGAAGATTGAACTGTTGATGATTCAACGCTTCCTGAAGGGCATGGCGGGAAGCTGGTATGACATGGGCATTGTAAAATTGCCACAGCGTCTACAAAAATGCATCGACCGAAATGGCGATTATGTTGAAAAATAAAGCATTCTTCAATGCGGGAAGCTGGTATGACATGGGCATTGTAAAATTGCCACAGCGTCTACAAAAATGCATCGACCGAAATGACGATTATGTTGAAAAATAAAGCATTCTTCAATCTTTAAAGTGATGCAGCAATTATAGAAAATAAACGGTTCTTTGTATATCTAAAAATATAGGAGACCTTTTTTGGGGGATTGCCCTCGTAACAAAGTCTTTTTGGCAAATATGAAAAATCTTACTTGAGTCAGGCAAACATCTTGCTTTATCTTCTGCAACCATTTGCTTTTATCTTCCTTACACATACTCACTATCACATGGCCTACAATTCAGATAATCAATAAGTCAATATCACTGGTTTATACATTCTCCTTATCACAACCTACAGAAAACAAGTCTATATTTGCAATATCATAACATAAAAATAATAACTAACCTCCCAATCAATACATTTAAATTAAGACCACAGCCTATTCAGATAATCAGAAAATCTAAACAATTGGGTTTTCCTTTTCTCCCTCAAATACATATTTACAAAAAATACATTTTTATTGTGATGCTAGGGATAAAATTTTATTTCTTCACTTAATTTATCATGTTTTATTTCAATAAACATTATGTAATTAAAGAATTTTTTTTCATTAAACAAAAATATACAGCATACTTATTGTAAAAACATTAACTGAATGAAATCATATTTTTAAATATATAAATCATTTCTATTTCACCTAAAATAAACCAATGACACTGTACAGCATGCTCCAACGCAACCTTTATTTTCCTAAGCATTCATGTTAGAAATATGATTTCAATTACAAAAAAGTTACAAATGTGTTTTAAATTAAGCAAATATTCAGGTCAAATGCATTTTAAAACTATAAAAATCCATATAGCAAAAATTATGAAATGTAATTTTTTACAGTTCTCATTTCCTATATAATTACAATAGCTACATTCAGTAAAAGTTTATTCTTAGATAAAGATGAAAAACAAAACCAAAGTCTAGGATTTTTTAGATTTTTCATGGTCAGACAGCCGTTTGAAAAAGACCCACCTTTAAAGGGTCAAATTAAAAATAAATTACAATATTTCAACGTTATTCCCTTTTAATATTATTCAGTGATATTCCTTAGCAATTTGCTAGTATACAACATAGTCATAATTTTTTTGCATTTCATATGCTCAAAAGAATTTTCATGCAAGTAATTTATAAGTTGGCAATACAGAAGCTTTCCAATGGTTTCTAAAATATGCCAGAGTCTGCAAATTATATTCAGCAACATTTTGCGAATGAAATCATTTTTAAAAAAATCTTACAAGAAATTTTAAATACCATGCATTTCAGAACATTTTTTAAACATGGAACAGCAATATTTCTCTGCAGAAAGTGCAAAAACATACCTTTCAATCCAGCTTTACATGTGACATTTTGAAAGAAGAATTTAAAAGTAGCAGACGATATTTCTCAATTCAAATAATAAGCAGTTGCCAGAAATTGTTATTCCATATATATATATATTTTATTTTTTATCAAAATTTTAAAAATGTGTAATACTCTGTATAACTGATTTTCTATTATTGTGTGCAATACACATAATGCAAGAAAAATTAGTATTTACCTATAAAACTAGTTCTTAAAGCCCCTTGTTGAAAGAAACTTGTATATATTTTCTGGTTTTCATTCATTTGTGTGAACCAGATTTCCTGAAGTAAATTCATTGGTTTAAAGGAATAGCAAACTAAAGCCAAACCGGCACTAAACCTGAATGCTTCTTTACGATTTCCTTGGTCCTATGAAAGAAAATGCATTGAAAATAAAAAATAATATTAAGAATCTAAAAATTAAAAATACGATCAACACAGTTTCTATACTGAAAAACAATGTCCCAAACATGTTTACAAAAAGTTTTAAACCCATTTGCTTAATCACATGCATTATCTTGCTTCATTGTTTAGACACAATTAAAATCTTGTAAAAAATAAAAATAATATTTACTGCTTATAAAAAATGTTAATTCTGATTATAAAACATTATAAAAATTTCTTCCCAAATACAACAGGGAAATATTTATTAATAATGCTAATTGACATTAATATAAATTATTTATTGTAAATAACAACTCCAGATACACTAAAGCCTATTTTTAAATTCCAAAAAATCTATAACCATCTCCAAATTAATAAAATTAAATAATTAAATATTTACAAAAATAAATGCTTTACTGTAAGACTTATGTGGTAGGTAATATAAAACTAAAGCTAAATACGTAACTTACTGCTACATACATGCTTTAGGCTACTCTCAAATCTCTTACGATTTTCAAAATATTTTCAGATAAAAGAATCAATACATGACGATATATAGTAGATAATTTAATTTTTATGATAGTTAAAAAACAGAAACACTACCATTTTTGCACGCTTTAACAAAAGTGATGCCATATGATAATATAATTGACCTTTCATATGATGAATAAAGTATAACCATGAGCCTTCCTTGATATCCTTCTCAACAGCAATCTTTAACAACTGATCAAATCTAAATAAAAATTAATGAAACAAACATAATTGCAATAAAATTCACTTCTAAACATCATATTTACAATGTTGATTTTAAGTAATGAGAACTTACGAAACTTTTGCAGACAAATATGAAATTAACGCTTGGATTATAATTTCTTTAAGTTTTAAACATTACACTTTCATATTCAGATTAAATGCCTAATCTATAAATAGTACATAGAGAGTTATACTTACGTCAAAAGAACAGCCGCTGCATCATTTATGCTGGATGTTGTCTTTCCATTCTCCCACACAAATGAGTGAGGTTCTGCCAAAGTCAACAAAATTAAATGATCTAAGGCAGTCAAATAATGGACATAAAACTGTGAATCAAGATCTTGTCCACATTCTTCTTGGTATGCCTATTTCATATACAAAAGAGAAAAAAAATTTTAATGCAAACATTTTACTTAACATTATAATAAATTTGTTTACATAAGGATCAGAAATAAAAAGCAATATTTACTGCAAAATAAGTTCTACTACAGTAAAATGTTTTCTGTAAGTGATACTTGTGTCTTATAGATGCACATGTACAGTAAAAGCTGCAAAAACTAGAGTTTGCAAGACCTGGAAATCTACCAAAATAAAATAAATACATAAAAAACTCACCCTGTTAAAAATATATAATAGGAGATCGACACCATAATTAGAATAGAAGAGAATGGTATTGCAAACTTAAGTATGAGGAAGCACATGGCTTAAAAATGGAAAATTACATGAACCAGTTGTCCCTCTCCCATTTCTTTTCCATGGTACTATAAGTACATCACTGCACTATTCTGTACACTGAATTTTCAGTCCTCCCTACGTAGTTTTTCTAGCATATCTGTACATCTGGCAGGAAGCAAAATGCCTTTGCTTTCATAAAGCTGCTCACATAAAATTATTTCGCAAAGAAGCTTCCTTCTCTCACACAACAGGCTTTTCTTTTCAAACTTTGTGATTATCTTGTACGTTTATTTATTTATTTAATTTATTTCAGATACTTAATCTATCTCTAAAAAGTTTTTTAAGTAAATAATTTTTAATGAAGTGCATTGCCTATTTCAAAAACTAATCTCTCTACAGCCATGAATAAGAAATCAATTAACTGATTTTGGGCAGTAAAATCTGTACCTAAAATAACAAAATTAAAGGGAATTACTGTGTTATGTAAAGATCAAACAGTTAAAAAAACAGACGAGTAGTCACAATATAAGTGTCAAGAAAGATAAAGACGGAATTACATTAACAACTTTATTTCTAAGATGTTTCTTAAAATACGAGGCAAAGATTTTTCTTGCGAGAGTTGGGAAAAACTCTTGCAAGTTCATGAATAGTTCACTTAATGATAGCCATAGAGTTTTAAGATAAAACGCACTGCATCTTGTGAAAAATCAATGTGGACCGAGATGACACTAAGACCGGCCCCCCAGTTTCTGGATAATGATGATATCAAAGATATTAAACACTAACTAAAAGAATGCCACTTTTCTAAAAAGTAAAATTTCAACAATGATATAATAAAAGAAACTAATTTTTTTCCTCAAAAATTTAACATAAAAATTTATTTGAATATTTTTTAAATAATTAGTTTCAGCAAATAAAAAGACAGGTACTTCTCTCGGATGTATAACGTCGCCAAATGTGGCGTATGTGTTCTGCGATGGTTTTTGGTGCGATGTTGTTTGTATGGTAACCCTTTTGACATAGAAACATTAGTTTGCTGCAGTGGTTGGTTGGTTTGGTGGGCTTTCTGAGATGGCTTATGTAATGAGAGACGTGATGGCAAAATTTCAGTTGCGTATTTTGAATTGCGTGCAAGGGAAATTTAGTATTAAAAGGCATGATGTTGGAGTTGTTAACGAGTCTTTTGCTCACAGGTGTGTTTATGCAGATTTTATTCATGAATGTATGCTGGACTTTGTATGCTCTGTGTTTCAGAAGACAGGTTGGAAGGAAAAAGTGGTGAAAATTGATGAGTTTTGCTGATGTTTGAAATTGATATTTCTGCTGTTTGAAGAAGCATTCACAATGGTAAGTGCATTTTATTTTATTATTGTTCTTATTTTTTAGGATGTTATGTTCATTGTTTATCGCTATGAATTTCTGTCGTTGTTGTTTTTTTTTAAAATTGTTTGTAATTTATTTTTGTTTATTTTGTTGATGCCTAGATGATGCCTAGATTGTGCAATTCGCAGATTGTTGTTATATTAGTTTATTTTATTTTAGCGAGGTTTGCGCAATTCCTAGATTTCTACGCTGCATATATTGTGCAATTCTTTGATTTTTTTTAAGTTAAAACAGATTGCTCTGTACAGGGATTCTTGTCAAATACTTCTGGTTAGAAACTTTATATTCATGCTTTATAAATTTTTTGTTTTTGTTTCAGATTTTTGGTATAAATTGTGTGTTAACCTTTTAACTGTCATGCCCGAGATAGTACTGATGTTCCAAAACGTCACGCCCGAGTATTTCTCGGGGTTTTTTTCGAGTGGATCGTATTGTTATGCCCGAATATAAAGGGAATTACTGTGTGGATCAAACAGTAATTCCCTTTATATTCCTATATATTTCTCCCTAATATATATATATATAATATTTACTTTAGGATAAAGGGAATTTTTGAGTGGATCGTATTGTTATGCCCGAAATTAAAGGGAATTACTGTGTTAATTAAAGGGAATTCTCCCGATATATATCATGAGAATTTTATTTCAGCTTTAATTCAATAGATGGCAGCACTTTACTGGAGGTTTCAAAGGATAGAGGCTTATGTTTAAAGATTCGCAGCAATTTTTTTTGTTGCAAAATGGCATCCAGTTCTTTGAAACATTATATAGATGGATTTAGATTCTTCAACTGAAGATGAAGATTTTGAAGGCATTGACACTAGTGACGCAAGTGAAACTGATGAGAATGACATTGAATGTAGCAAGTAAATCTGCCGGTAGCAGTGATGATGATATAGGAAATGCGAGAGACTGGTGTGAAATAACTACTTCTGGACTATTAGGGCCTCCTCGGTTCCCTTTTACAGGTACTCCAGGTGTAACTTTTCATTATCACTTCAATATTTAAATTTTTGCGATAATGAAAATGAAGAAAAAGAAGATTTTTCAAATCTAAAACTTTGGAAGCTGCATAATGTTATGAAAAATTTACGGCAAAAGTTTTGTAACTTTTACATACCGGAAAGAGATGTATCTGTAGATGAAAGCTTGATGCCTTATAAAGGAAGATTATCTTGGAAACAATATATTCCAATCAAATGTGCACGATTTGAAATAAAATTTTTTTATGCTTTGTGAGGCTGAAACAGGGTAATTTGTTACTTCATTGTTTATATAGGAAATAGTACTGTCTTCAACTAATAGTATTCATATTATGGCCTTTCCACAAAAGTCGGCATGCCCCTATTGAATTGCTTTCTTGGAAATGGTTATTGTGTGACTGTAGATAACTATTACATGTCATCCCAACTTGCAGATTTACTTAAAAAGCCCAAAAAAACATATATTTATGTCACAGTAAGATAAACAGACGAGATTTGCCTACAGAATTCGCTAAAAGAAAGTTACAAAAAGGTCAAGTCATAGCTATTCAAAGAGGCAAGATTTCGGCTGAAAGGTGGAAAGATAAGAAGGATGTGTGTTTGATAAGCAGTATTCATGATACTTCCATGATCAGCCTCAAAATTAAAAAAAAAATTTTTTTTTAAAAATGAAGATATACTCAAGCCAAAGATTGTTTCTGACTACAATCTAACTAGGGTGGTGTAGATTGCTGTGATCAAGAACTATCCTTTCATCCAACAATCTGAAAACATCAGAAAAAATATTGTAAAAAGATATTTCTACATTTATTAGAGACAAGGTACTGTGGAACTCATTTTTGCTCTAGAAAAATGTAGTTGGGAAACGTATTATATTTTTAGAATTTCGAACCCAAGTTGTAGAAGAGCTTTTACATAAATATGATCATGCAGCTTCTGAACAAATGAATCTTGGCAGACCACCTACAACAGATAACCCTGCCCGTCTTACTGAACGACACTTTATATCCCATATTCCTCCTGCTCCTGCTAAACGTGAGAAGGATGTGTGTTTGATGAGCAGTATTCATAATACTTCCATAATCAGCCTCAAAATTAAAAAAAAAAAAAAAAAAAAAAAAAAGATATACTCAAGCCAAAGATTGTTTCTGACTACAATCTAACTAGGGTGGTGTAGATTGCTGTGATCAAGAGCTATCCTTTCATCCAACAATCTGAAAACTTCAGAAAAAATATTGTAAAAAGATATTTCTACATTTATTATTTTTTTTTTTTTTTTTTTTTTTTTTTTTTTTTTTTTTTTCTTTTTTTTTTTTTTTTTTTGAGACAAGGTACTCTGGAACTCATTTTTGCTCTAGAAAAATGTAGTTGAGAAACGTATTATATTTTTAGAATTTCGAACCCAAGTTGTAGAAGAGCTTTTACATAAATATGATCATGCAGCTTCTGAACAAAAGAATCTTGGCAGACCACCTACAACAGATAACCCTGCCCGTCTTACTGAACGACACTTTATATCCCATATTCCTCCTGCTCCTGCGAAACGTGAGCCTACAAGACAATGCAAAGTTTGTTGTTCAAAAAAGGATGAAAATGGGGAAAAGATAAGGAAGGAAACACGATTCTGGTGTACTAATTGTGGAGTTGGTTTGTGCTTGGAAAAGTGTTTCCAGTTATACCACACTAAACTTAAATATTGAACTATTAATAGGTATTTATTTTTATTTATCTCTATTTATTTTTTAAAAAATAATTAATTCCTTTTAATTTTTAGAAAATAATGCTCCACTAGATATGCACTGGCTACAAAACCTTAAAATTTTTACGCATGTAATTCAAAATATCAATTCTAAATATACTCTATTTTGTTTTTGTACTAAACATTTGATTTTTGGAATAAAAAAAACTGACAATTTATGTACCCAAATCATCAAAATAACTTGACAATTAAAGGGTTAAAAACATGGCTTTTGCAAACATTTTAGGCTTAAAGATTGAAATGTAGACAAAAAATTTAGATAGTAATATGGCATCATGGAGATTCTTGCCAAAAATGCTTGGCGAGAAAATTGTCGCCAACTGAGGCCGTGTTTAAGAGTAGTTCCAAAAGACACTACTTATTACTTATGGCTATATTATCACTTAAAAATAAAGGTGTTAGAGCAATTAGGATTTCATTTATGAGTCAGCTCAAGAGATGACTTCCAACGTCTAAACAGCGGCATTAAAAATTAATTTTCAACGCTTCCTCTTGGTTTCCAATCTAAGATATCAATCATATTTTGAAAACAAAGGCTTAAATTTTTTATATCTTATCAATTGTTCCAGCTTATATTTTCTTGCTGATACTATGTTTGGGATCAAAACGTTTTTTTGCTGAAAAAATACCTCCAGTAGTATTTTGATAATTCTTTCTTGTTCGTGTGTGTTGATGAAAAGGACACCATCGTAATAATAACTTCCACTTTTTCTCCTCATTTTCTGATATATCAATATTGCTCACTACTACTTTTTTACTTTAACAGCTAAATATTTAAGTAACAACAACAAGCAAGTACAGCTTACAGAATTTGCCTCAGATGGTGACAAAAGCTATATCTAAGAGTTATAAATATGTCACAGGTATGTTTTGTCGAAAAAAACTATCACCAAAAAAATGTGAGCCAAAATAACTTTAATTTTTTTTTTATACGAAGCCTTGTGATAATGATAAAGTTATAACATTCTTTTAAGTAAACAATACAATTTTTTTTTTGTAATTCTATTATTCAGAATTCAAAATTTTATATAATTGTACAATATAAGTATCATATTACAGACACAAGAATTAGAAAAATTTTAAAAAAATTACCTCAAAAATATCCCCTAATAAATAATACCAATCTACACTAAAAGGAAATAACTGTTGGCTTTCAATCAATGTTGCATGTTCATATGCTTCTTTCACTCGCTCTGTATCTAGATATAGCCTTAAAAGTTTTATCCTAAGATCAATATTTTTTGGTTGAGCTGCCTGAAAATGCAGAAAAAAAAGATAAAGTTAATAAACTGACAATACTGATAATAGGGAGGGAAAGGATCTACTTTCCTTACAACGAAACATTAACTATAGCAAAAATTTGACAGAATTGTATACTATTAAATCATCATATATACAATATTTAATGTTAGAATCTACAGAAATTTAGTTTTGTATTTTAGTAGCCACATTAAATGAAAAAAAAAAATGGTATACACTCTATTGATAATGTTCTTTACTGCTTCAATTAATGATCACAATAATAAGCAATTAAGAGCCTCAAGAAGCATGACATTTCAAGACTTCTTCAAAAACCAACTGAAATAGATATACTAATTACACCTTCATTCTAAGTTAAGTGCCCTGAAGCATTTCATTTCATGGCCTTTCTTACAGTCGTGTTGTCAGAGGTATTTTTGCTCTCAAAATTTTCACCGTCTTTTCTTCTAGAATGCATATAAGGTATGGTTAAGCTTCCAATAACAAATTAGACTTTGAATAGTACAAAAATTTACAATATTTCCTCATATATATGAGAAAATATCTTGAATTTTCCACCTTATTCTATGCTGGCTTATTATTTTGTAACCAGTAACAACAGTCTTAAAATTTATTTAGATAATGATTACCTTATTTTATTTGGAATATTGACAATTAAGAGAATTACATTGTAGTCAAATACGTTTTTAATTTAAACTAATTCATCAATAAGTAACAAATTGTAATGTTAATAAAACATTTTATTACAGTATGATTTGCTTGAATGGTTAGATTACTATACACAGAAATACACAATTACGGTAGGAACATAACAAATAAAAAGTAGTCATCGATAAACTATCAGTAACTATCACAATATAATTTCTTTAAAAAACTGAAATCCAGTAAGGACACATAGTAATATTAACATTACAATATCTAATAAGATCACTTCATTTCTAATTCCCAGTAACTTGAATCTTCCCATTCTTTTGTTGTCTCAGCTACTCCTCAGGTCTCAAATCATCCATAAATAATTAGAAGGAACAGAATGTGCAGCTGGCTCAGCAAAATCATGCACTGAACAACGGTTGTGTTGGCTTCACTGTGATTGGTTTTGTATTATGCCAAAATTCAACAGCTAGAAGGAAAATGTTCGCAGGCCATTTGCAAGAGTTTGTTAGTGTGATAAAAACAATCACTTTGCAGATGAATCCATTTTAAAATTTAGGGAAGCTCGTTCTCTGAGCACCTGAGGAAGGAGAAAATTACTCGAATACTTTTTTTAATTTTCAAAACCCGCCACTATAAAAAGCTAAGGGCAGAAATACGCAAATATGGAATGAAATATGAAATTTAAAAAATCTAAACTTTGATGAAGGGCGAATGATCATCGCTCCTTCAAAATATTTTACAGCTCCATGACAGAAATACAAAACAAAAACTTCAAAGCAAGATTTAATGCACAATCATTAGTGAAAATTAAATAAATAACTGAGAAGGAGCCCCCTCCTCTCCCAAAGTGCGAGTAATTTTAATAAAAAAAAAAAATCACTGATTAAAATCGAGTATTCTCTCAACTTTTCCAATGATGCAAAATGTGTTAAAGTCACAATTAAAATAAACTGTACCACTTTTAATAAATAGATATATATTAACGAATACAAAACATGCCTTTTAAAAAGGTATGTATGTTTAAAATATTTTTAGTACAATGCAAGAAAGTGTGTTCATGTCTATCTAGTCTCAAGCATAAATCTGATCTACTAATTCAAAATACATCGTGCAAAATCTAAGTGTTGTAAAAACATTGCCATCTAAAAAAGATCATCAAACAAGTAAATTTCTTTATGAGGTAAATAGATTCATTTTCTACTGCAGAAAACCCTCACTTTATTAATATATATTTAATATACATACTGCATCCTGGATATAAACACCACCAAAAATGATATTGTGGTGGTGGGGGGGACTTTCGTTAAAACCCGATAATACTAAGCATGCATGTAAATCATAAAATATTTTCAAAATCACCAGTCTGCCTAAACCAAATTTTATGAGTGCCATGGAATTGGTTTAAATGAACTTAGAATTCTAAGTTCGCAAAGAGCAAAGCCATCATATTTTTTTTTTTTATTTTACATCTCCCCCCCCCTTCAAAAAGAGAGGCCGGGGTGAGAAAAGCATTAGTACAGGAGTGAAGCAAAAGTATGAGAAAAGACATGAAAACATCCAGAACATAGCGTACAAGCTTTAACTATGGCCTATCATAGTTCATGACTTTCTATATAAAATTTTGACTTTATAGCATATGAAATTTTGAACATTAAAACAATGAGTATTAAATAAATATACAATATATGACTAATTTTAAGACTATAACATAATAAATATGGAATACTGATAAATAAATAAGTTATAATTACAAAAGTCCTCAATTTTGTTAAAAATGTCCTCTTTTCCCCCCCCCCCAGTTTTAATCCCATTTTTATTTCCAATTGATATTTGTGGCCACAATCACTTGATACTCTAGTCATGCCTTTCCACAGAAGATTTACATTTTTGATATTTTTGAGATAGAAAGCAAGCCAGCAAAATTACATCTTAGCACAGTAGAGAGCAAAAACTGAAGTGCGTAGTTATGAAAGATGGAAGCACGCGAAGAGAAAAGTTTTGGTTTACAACGACAGTTTCAGTTCTTAATTATTACATCATCGGAGTTGCGCGGGCCATAGAGTGATCTAGAAATGACGCAATGCAGAGAAGTTATTACGATTTTAGAATAGAGAGGAAGAATTAATGTTTATAGTTATATTATAATTCTGATTCATATATTTTTATCTTACATATATATATATATGTGTGTGGTTCTCAAACAAATGTAGAAGATCTTTTGCTTCATTTGAATCCAATTTTAGTCACTTTGGATCAGATTTAGAATAACACTTGGAGCCTTGATGAAGCTGTTAACATATGGAAACATCTTGAAAACAACTCAAAAAATTTTGATAAAACATACACAAATTTATTTAAAATGCAATATAATCAAGCAGTGAGTTAACACACTTTTTAGTACAAATTATATTACTAAATACAAAGCTGAAGAATTAGCAGCAAGTGAAAGGTAACAGGCATTGAAATTAGTAACAGAAAAATATGCAAACACTAATTTGATCCAATTTACATTGATATTTAGAATGCATACTCAACCTTTCTGTGGAAAACATTTTAAAAACGAGGCAGTGCCCACACTGAACGATGGAAATGTGAAAGAATACACAAAAGAAAAGGGAAGAATTTCATCAGCATAAACTGAAAGAATGTTTTCTACTTTGGGTGCTGTATACAATACATTGAGGTACCAGTTAGGGATTGAAGTAGCAACAAACTCATTTTTTTGTTCAAAAGCATTGAATGCAAATGGCAGTAATACAGATAAGATGCAATAATTGAAAAAGTTAAGTAGATTGCAGATGTATGTTCTGGTCTTGTGATCATATTTATTGTTTATATCAAAAATATAACTAGATGTGCATTCTTTATTTGTTAGTATATAAGTACATGGAAGTTTATAGTTAAGTAATTACAAAATTGGAAGTTATCAATAATAAAAACTGTCAAGCTATTTTATTGTTTGCTACTAATTAATAAATTTATGCACATTTATATTATTTCCCATTACTATTATATTAATTTATGCATAAAATGTGTATTAGACTCCTTAATATTCTTTAATTACTACGAAAATATTCAATGCATTGTAACCATTGTATAAGCTTATAAAATAAAAAAATTTTAAAGCTCTGATTTAAATTTTAAAAAAAATCAGATTTAATTTTCATATTTTAATTTTTTTATTACAGTATTTATACACTCAAGAGAAATATAAGAGAGTCAAGAGAATTAAGAGTATTACTACAGTTTTTATGCATTTACAATAAATGCATTCAAAAGTGCTTAAATTCTTCTCACAATGTTGAATCTTGGATCTCTTGGATGATGAATAAAGAAATGTTATCCCACTTTTTTTCTGCAAAACTTGCTTAAGTTCTAGTAAAAATGGAGGGTGTAGTAAACTTTGTTTTCCAAATGGTCTTTCTTCCTTAAAAACATATCACTTGGCATTTTTCCAACCCCTCTGAACATATTCTCTTGGCACCAGGTTTTGCCACTTTGGTTTCACTTCTTTTTGAACAATAACTGTCTTTAAAATTACCGTTCGCATAACCACACTTTTAATTTAATCAGGTTTATTATTATTGCAATGGATTTCACAACTTGGGATTTGCTAAAAGATTAACAAGTGAATTTTTGTTTTATCAAAGAAAGAGATACACTTTAAAAAGATTGTGTTCGAATAATCACCAAGTGAAACTAAAACGTGATATAAGATAAAATGGTTACACAACCTTATTTCATGTCAGGAAGAAAAAAATTTAATGTGGCCCATTGAATCATGCATTTATTTATTTCGGAGGGGGAAGAATTACTCTTGCATGATTTATTTACTAATGGTGTTAAAAGTTAAATGTCTACGTAGTTTCATAAACCAAAGCTTGCTTTACATAAATCACAAAATAATCGTTGATTTGAATAATTACATGAGATAGATATGTGCCAATTCCTTGTTACCTTAACCTAACATTACAATAAATAGATGCTATAAAATTGTGAAAAATTGATGAAAGCTTATTCACTAATAGTAAGTTAAGCCATACTCTTTAACCCCAACGGATTTCGGAAAATTCCGTTCTGAAGTTACAGAGTGTTTCTCTGTCATTGTTTTGAACAGTCCATTTTATCTCGTATCAAGCCACAGCCACGAGGAACGAAATGAGACAAAATTCTGCCAAAATGGCAATTATTAAAGTGTGTGGCATGGCTTTAATGGAAACGTATACTCTAAACCTTACTGTGAAGGTTGAATAATAAGAAGATGGGAAACATTATTAGAAAATACTTACAAATGAACAATACGAGATGTAACAACAGCAGTCTTTTCTTCTTAATCAATCCAAAAGTCTTAATCTTTCCATAAGTCTTACAGGATAAAATGGATTTGTTTGCACAAAATGCTTTCACATACCCTCATACATGACTTCCCAGACAAAATAGCATGATATCATTGCCCAATCTATTATCAAATGTCTGCAGGCATCTGGATTAAAAACTTAGGTTGGTGTTCTTTACAAGTCAATTAGACAAAAGAAGTCTTATTTCTATACAAAACATTTGCTATGCTCTTCTTTCTCTGTTAGTAAATGAAAACTTACACCACTGACAGTGTTTATTGGAGAGTTTAGTCATAACCTCAAATGCAGTACTTCATAATACACCAAATAAAATAAGCACTATATGGTCATCAAACATAAACACTGGCAAGAAATCTAACTAGAGATAGAAATGGCAGCCTTAATGATAAAAACAATTTATTAAAATTTGACTTAAATTTACAAATATTTGATTTAAAAGCTTTGTAATTCTGAACAAAACATTTGATTACTCATTTATTATTTTTCAATTCAAAGCTGCCAAAGCTCACTTAATTCTGTGATGTATGCACAAATTTTATGCAATATGTAAAATGATATAAGATGTACAGTAACTACAAATTTACATACCAATTCAGTGGCAATTAAATTTTCTAACTCTTTATGATTGGGTTCTCCTTCTGCTGACACCAAACATTCCTTTAAAAAAAAAAAAAAAAAAAAAAAAAAAAACCAATATACAAATAGAATTCATACCCATTGTACATTAGTTACTAATTATAAAGCTTTTTATATTTAATGTGATAAAAAGCTTAATTTTATACATTTAAAAATATGAATGGACTATTTTTAAAAAGCAATAAAATTCATTGAAAAAAACCAAATTTAATTTATAATTAAAATAAATATTTTACAACTAAGTAAATTCCTTTTAAATACGGTCGCAGTGTCAATAATTTCAGCTACAAGGATATAAAAAATTTGCATTTAAAGTTGCAAGGATTATTCCGTTTGCTATATTAATATTTAAAAGTATACTGAGTAATTTTTTCTGCAAAATACTTTACATACCCGTAATTTGAAGACTATTTCATTATGTGGAAATAACTGTTCAGCTCTGTCAGCCCAATACTAAAAGGAGGAAAACATCACAGAATTTACAATACAGCATATGTTTGGGGGTAAAATTTTAATAATACTAAAGATTTAAATCTTACAACAAAACTTTAAACAAGGTAAGAATCAGGCCAAATATGAAAACATCAAATTCCATACTCTGTGATACAAGAGATTGGAGGCAGACAAAAGATACATTGCATGGAGTAAGTTCCTGTTCATTCACATCAGGAAATATATATTCAGAAGTATATAGATATACCATTTCTTTATTTTTCACTATAGAAACATTTTAGATATTTTATTCCTTAATAAATTTAGATTTAGAAAAATTTCATTTTTCTATTTCAAAATAAAAATGTCTTTGATATGCCAAACTTGACTTACTGTTTTTCTAATATTCACCAGTAAATGAATAATTATCAGAGCTTAAATTGTGCCGGAGCCCGGCTCCAGTACTTCTTAGTTTTTGGGACTTATTCTAGCTGGAGCATAATGGAGCCCTAAATAAAAAGGCTCTGAGACTTTTTTATGTAACTGAACAATTATTTCAGTAGAAATTTGATGTAGAAAATATTATTTTTAGCAATAAAATTATATAAAAAATCACTTATTAAATTTTAATTTATCTCTTTACTTTTTATTTAATTACTTTAATCTGTAATTATTTCAATAAAAATAATAAATTATGAATTAAATAAAAATATTAATTATTAATATCAATTAAATCATTATTAATTACTTTGATACTCATTAACCATTTGATTTTTAAATTATAAATGATTTTAATAGTCATTTATTTATTTACTATTGTTCCTCTCTTCTGATGGTTTTCCCATAGGGCTCCGGCACTTCTACTTTTAGAAATTAAGCCCTGATAATTATACTAAATTCACATTCCTTATTAAGCACTTTACTACTACCTCAAGTATAACTAGTATTTTACATTTTACATAACTGGTATTTACATTAATTTTATATACCCAGTATCTACATTAATTCTACATAACTAGTATTTACATTTTTACATATGTTACTTTATTTTTAGTGTATTTTATACAAATAAAATTCTTTGGAAATCTTTAGAAATTGGTACGGGTATCAGCCCCTACTCAAGACTTCAGTAATAATCAGCATACTGAAAATGCAAAAACTATAATGAATGAAACTAACCCAACATTCAAGGACTCCAAAGCATATAATGTAACAAAAAATATCAAAAGTGTTATAAATTAAAACATTGTTATATAAGCAGCTGAAAAAAAAAGGCATTTTAAGCAAGTCTTATTAAAGGAGCAGAATTGAAATATTAAAGAAAGCCAGAAAAAGGAGGTTTGTTAATTTAGCACTTTAAGACTGATTATACATACTTTTAGATAAGTAAAGAGAAAGAATAATGTTCTAAAAAATGTTAAACAAATGGTAAACTTAACTCCAAGAGTGATTAATATGCAGACCCAGAAATAAAATAATTCAAATAATGTAAACAAAATAATGTATTCTTCCTTATACATTACTAATCTACAAGCCGACGTATACTATACAATAGCACGTGACCAGTCCCTCCAAAAAAACCACGCAACCAACAAAATTTGGCAAACTGCTAATCAAAGCTGAATATTTCCTTTCATTTCCTCCAGGCCGAGTAAAACCGTGATAAAACAAATCATACTAACAAATTCTGCTTCGCCCCATTTTTCACGGGATAATAATTAAGTGCAATATATACAAACCTGAGATAATTCGGGATAATCAGGCAAGTGGTTAACTCAATTCCATTTTTAAGTTCATATTTTTAAGACATTCTATTGCAACATTCCCTTAAAAATTAAAATTTAAATAGGAAAATTTCTCTCAAATGGACTGGAAATTATGTAAAAGAATTTTAAAAACTTAAAAGATATTTCAACGTTTCTAAATTCCCTTACAATTTATTTGGTTGGGATAGACCAAACAATTTTTTAAAAAATGTGCATCATTTGACTAAAAGTACACAAACAGGACATATTAAAATACTTATTAAGCAGAAACTGAGAAGTTTATTACTGTAACTTCACTTAATGTGATCGCAGTTAATGTTATCATTCGGATATCGTTTTTAAACTGACAAAGTCCTGCATACTTGTAACGAAAACACTGAAAATACTTCACTTATTGTGATAAGTAATTCAGTTAATATTATCAAAATATTATATAATAAATGTTTTTTAACCGAAGGAAATTCTCTAATTACGAAAAAAAAGAGATTAAAAATTGTTAAGTAATACAGAAATGTCAGGGATTAAATCCCCAAACAGCCTGGGTTTTAATTTTGATCAACCATGTGAAATTAAGCAAAAAATAAGCAAGTTCAGTTTGGTGTAGATTTTTGAATACTTTATTTTAATACTTCGGAATATGCTTTTTGTAGTACTAAAAATTTGTTATTATTTACAGAGCATTCTATCAAAATTTGGGATTTTATAAAAGTTAAAGCAGATCTAAATTTTATTTTCAGTCCCAAGTTTTGTTGCTATAAGCACATAACAACAATATGAATAAACATCCGTGTACTTTTTTTTTTAAAGATCAACAACTATATCCTGAATTATGAAGATTACTAGGTTAATCTTTGGATTATGGTAACTTGGCGATTTTTTTGTGAAACTTTCGCGACCAACCCTGCTACAGCAATCTGCTAGTTTCCCCCCCCCCCGCCATTTTGTTTTCACTAAGTAAAGGTTTTTTTTTTTTTTTTTTTTTACTCAAAATTTTTTTCCAACAATCTGCTAGCCGAATTACTCTTATGCTAGAACTTTTATGGAACAAAAGTGCTTAATCATGACGAAGATTAGGTGCGAAATTGGGAGAAAGTGCAGAATCGCCCACTGCTTGCTGCGTTTTTAAGACTTGCACATACACGGTATCATCCATGTACACGTCGACCTATTTTCACTTAAAAAAACATCCCAGAATTGCACAAAAATAGCATTGCGCACACTCTTGACTTTATCCATGTACACTGCTTAAGTCCTAGCTAGTAACCTTTATCACCTTACCAAAATGTCGCCAAACTACCTGTTACCATATTCCAAAGATTAGTCGACTACTGTTATTACTTAAAAACAACAATAAACTTATAATTAAATATATTTTACCCGGGCTGTTTCATGATCAACAGGAAGTTGACAATACAATTCACAAACTGCAAAAAAATAATAATAAAATTAATAATAATAATAATAAGACTTAGTTTTAAACTAAACAGACAATATTTTAAACATAAAAATGCATCCAACATTCCAACTTACTTTTAAGAACTATGTCATTTTGATGAGGATCAATTTCTAGAGATCTAAAATAAAATAATATGCTTTAAAAATTTCTGCTGTAATTAAGAGTTAAGGGAACAAAACATTAAAAATTGTTAAAAAATTATGAATCTTATTATAAATCTGAAATCATATACAAAAAATACACCAGATATAAACTTGAACAATAAAAACTGAATATTCAGAAAGACAGTATAAAAGCTCGTGGGGATAAAGGAATAAAAAGAAAGAGGGTAAAGTCTATATTTTAGGGTGCCCCTTGGATTATCGCCAAATTGTCGTTTTGTTTATGGTAACCTGAGTATTTGAATGTTATGGAAACCCTATTATGACATTATTGTGGTGAATTTGACTGATGGGGAAATAGAAATGAATAAATAAGGGCTTATTTTTGCATTTAATGTCAGGAAGTACGTTGCTTATTTTGTGCTGTACACCGTAAAATGGCCTTATGTGATGAGACTAATGTGAAGTTTCTGTATGATTTGAAATGAAAAAAAAAAAAAAAAAAAAACATTACTTGACCGGTGTGTAAATGAAGATTTACTTAGTAGTCATTATAAGTATCCTGTTTGTACGAAGGAAATGTGTATGGTTCAATGTAAAGATCGTTCAGATGGCTTTGAATGGGTTTGTCGCAACAAAGGTTCATGTAATTATGCCACCGACAGTCCAGCACTATGAAGGATATTTTTTACTCTTTTTGTGAATTTATGTGGTGACAGTAGTATGCATATTCTAGTTCAGATAATTTTTTTAAGTTTTTGGATGCTGTTAAGGAATTTTGTGTGCTACAGACTGAAAACACAGAAAATTTAGCAAGTCAATATTTCCTTTTTGTAGTGTGCATATGTGATAAGATATACTTCCTTTTTTGCTATTTCATGTGTGATTTAAAATGCAGTTTATTGAGCTTCAACTGGCTACAAATTTTGTTCAATTTTGGTGATACATAACTTTATTTTAACATTATATGATGTCATCATTCTCCTGTTTTTTTAAGTGAAAATAACTCGATGTGTACATAGACAAAGTTAAGGACGTGTGCAATGTCAAGTTTGTGCAATTCTCTGATTTTTTTTAAGTGAATATAGATCGATGTGTATGTGGAAACTGAGTTTGTGCAATTCTTTGATTTGTTATTTTGGTTTTGTGCATCAGCCACCTTGATACTGTGCCTAGTTGGCCAATCGCCAAAAATTGTTAATTTTCGCCAAGGGGCACCCTTGAAAATTTTTTTACTAAAGAAAGGAAATTAAATATGTGTTTTCATGATATTTTTAAATGTTTTTTGTAAACCAAAAACAAAACACATACTTTTTCTGTGCATTACAATTTAATTTTTAAAAAAATCAGTTTTAAGAAAAAATCAGATTTTATCATAAATAACAGCCCTAAGAGGATGCAGCTTCTCTTAAAACTTCATTTTAAATGCAATACTAAATTTTTTGTACTTCCAATACATTTTGCTTGACGAAGCACTTCAATGAAAAGAAAGAAAAGATATTAGTTAGCATATTATTAAATAATACTCAAGACCCATTAAATACAGGCATTTTGTTGAAAATAAATTGGTTTTGGGACCATATTCAGAAATGTAAGTACGTATGCATGTTAGATGTGTGTACACACACATATAGCACACACATGAGCACACATATATACATTTCTGAATCTGGTCCCGATAACAGAAGAGTACCAAAACAAATTATCTGATATAAAACGTATTTACTATCCTATTTACCTTAAAGAAAAAGTGCTACTTTGGTAGACGGTTGCACGGATTTTCGGTGATTTTTTTTTTGCTAAGCGATACGACTTACAGTAAACCCATTGCTGGACAAGTTATTTATGATAACCGATACTTTGTTGTCATTTTATTTTTAAAATAATGTGTTTCATTATGCATAAAATCTGTGTTTTAAATATTATTTATGGTTCCTAAATATTAAAAATCAATTTAATTTTGCATTTTTATTTGAAATAAAAATATTATTATTTATATTTTATATAATTTTATGTTGTGGATGATTAATCAATGACGTCACCTTACTTTAAAAGTAATTGGTTTTAATATCTATAAATTTAATCTAATGTTTTAAACATTATTCATGTCTGTTAAATATTAAAATAAAATTTAATTTTGCACTTTTTTAAAAAATGATTTTATTATGTATGATTATTTAAATAGTTTTAATTCTACGTGTGATGTAATCAGCTCCCTGATTGGTTACAGAATATTTGTGCATTACCGCGCCATTTTAAAATTTTATTATTCATTTCTCAGAATTCTTTAGCTTACATTCATAGCGAACAGATATGTCCCTTTCAAAGATGAATGTTGTTTTTGGTAAGTACCAAGAATTATTGGTATCGGAATCAAAAAATTGTCCTTCGAGACCTTACATTGGCCAACTTGGCTTTCCTAATCAAAGATTCATTTATAAATTGTTACAAGGGTTAGAGGAAATTTATTTTAAATTTTTGTAGGAAACCTTGCTAATCAGCAATGACAGCAATTTAACATATGTTTCAATGTTAAATAATTATATCCTATAAAACTTAATATTAAATTATTACTTAAATTAAAATACTTTAAATTCAAATACTTTAAGTATTTGAATTTAAGTAATATTTTAATTCTTTTAAATATTCATATGATGTTTTTAATTCGATATTCAATTTAAGTAATATTTTTATCCAATTAAACATTGGAGCAATGTTTTTACAGCTGTGTTTTTATTCTGTTTCTCTGCTACATGAAAGTAATAATTTAACCTTACTTTAATATTTTATACTCATAGTGAATGTACTTATTTACATCTGCCTGCCATCTTAAAAATAGTTTTCAACAATTGTAAAAACCGTGCCAACTTAAATCGCGAAAAATCCATGCAACCATCTACCAAAGTAGTACCAAAAAAAAAATAGAGAAAAAAAACTAATTGTGTTATTACTTATAATTTTAATAAATGTAAAGAAGATAGCTACCTTTCATCTTGATGTACATATATTTCAAAAATACACAGTTATCAAATCCAAAATACTGCACCACGTACAATCCTAAACATCAGAAAACAGCTAATTTTCCTATAAAAAATTGGCACTTTTCCATTATGCACCTATCACACATTTTGGGATGTGTATGCATAACAGAAAAGCACAGTATAAGCGAGTGGGCTAAAAAAAAAAGTACTGTTTTGTTTGTGCGAGTCATCTCTAAACTTTCTTACAATTAAAAATTATTTACAATTACAAAACCCACCAAAACGTGTAGAAGATGCAAACTTGCACCAATCATTCTGGTGGCAGAAATTCTCTAATGGCATTTAAAAAGCAATAAAACAATCATCTTTCTTATGCAATAAGCACAACATAAATTCTCCTGAATACTAACTACCAAGCCAATTTTTTGGACCCAAAAGTCTTTCAATTTTGCGAATATGTGTACTATAACCAGGCTCGTGATTTTTAAAATACTCCACTGTATGCTGTTAGATAGAAAGGCAGGTTTAAAATTTTAATCTCCCCCTCAAAAAAAGGGGGGACAAAAGAGAGAAATAGTGACAATTTTTATCATTCTTTATTAAAAACTGGCTTACCGAAATTTGCTGCACCATAAAACTAAAGTAAAAATTTTATGAGGATTTAAGATGTCATGCTTATGCATCACAGGCAATAGCTAATTTTTGTTTGCTAAAATTGGTTGATGGAAAAATACGAAAGTACCCAAATATTTTACTATTGAGAAGACTTGTTAATTAATATGCACAGTATCTTCAGACTGAATGTTCCCATAGCTGCATTATATATCACCATCACACACTAAAATTGCAGAAAATACTGAATCATTTTTAGCAACCAAGTTCCCAGTACCATTTCTTACATTCAAAACTTCTTTAAAAATTACTCCTTAAAAAACTTTCATAATTAAAAGCTAATTTTTTTTAATCTTTTATAGAATTAAAGAGGGTTAACTATATCTGAAAGTGCAAGGGTGATAGCCACATCATCACCTGTTTTCAAAATACTGTTATGAAATTTCTAACTTTCTAACTCAATCTAAACTTCTGGCAGTCTTTATGTGATATTTAAAAAGAATTCTTGAAATTACCCATATTATAATTAATACAAAAATGTGGCTGATCTTTACTGTACGGTACCCCTTGGTTTCTGTCTGAAAAAAATCGGCAAGTGGTATTGGTTGTACGTGAAATCTGGAAGCCCACTGCGTGAAATAAGTTTTTCAGTAACCCTAATGTTGATTATTTCTACAAACATCGGCAAATGTGTTGTGATAAATTTAGATTTTGGCTATTTTTTGGAACAGTAACCCTTTCGTATGAACATAGGTTTTTGGTTCTTACCATTCTTTTCAGTTGCTGTGTTTGGTTGCATGTGTGTGGTATGATCTTGGATCTTGAACTTGTTATTATTATGCTGTGGGTACCATCATTTGAGTATGTCTGACATGGGTGAGAGGATGAATGATGATTAACAGCGGATAAAAACGAAACGACGAAAAATTTAATTGAATTGCTTACGTGAAGGATGGAGGAGATGATGGTGAGAAACGTGAATGTATGCACGTGGAAAAAAAGATACGTTAAAAAACTGGCATTTCATTTATTTATTCATCTCTGTGTGTTAATTTTTGTTATTTAATGTTTTTATGCTAGGACATCTGTATTTTTGGTTATTTATTACTCTGTTTGTGTATTTTTAATTACATGTTTGTCTCTGCATGTTACGACAGCGGAGAATCGTTTCTGGTTAACATGATAATTCTAAATTTGTTTTAGCTTCCTGACTTTGTTAAGTGAAAACAGATCGATGTGTACAAAGAAAGATAGTGTGCAATGCCTAGTTTGTGCAATTCTCCGATTTTTTTCAAGTTAAAATAGGTCGATGTGTACATGGACACCGAGTTTGTGTAAGTTTTTGACTTCTTGTTTTGGTTTTGTGTAGCAGGAAGAAGGATCAGCACCATCTTGAAACTGGTGCCGATCTTGGCGTCAGAAAAGAGACAATTCGCCAAGGGGTACTGTACAGCAAATTTTAACCCAAAAATATAAATATAACATGATCTGTTCATAATTTTTCAATATACATATACATATATATATATATATAACTTTCAAATATTATTATTTGATGCAGCCTAAACCTCCCAATTTACTTAAAATTATGAATAGTTAATTAGAAACCTTAGTGGCTAAAAACTACAGTAAATTTGGCTGTAATAAACAAAATGCAATGTAAAAAATAACTAACAAAATTTTATTTAAAAACTCTTTCCTAATATTTTATAATACTGAGTATAAAAAGTATAATTTTATATAATTTTATAATACTGATAGAAAAAACAAGTCACTTCCCAGACTGGGAAAAATTACAACTGGACAGAAAATAGATAAACTTGCCCACCAATCTTTCCTTAAATTTTTTATAGCTTGTCATAATAAAACAGTGGTTCTTAACCAGGGGTGCGGGAATGTATTTTGGGGGGTGCGGGAGAAGCCCCTACCTAACCATAAAAATTATTAAATATCATTCATTAAATTTCTTATAATAAAAGATTTGAAATCTGCAGTAGTGTCCCCAATACTGAAGCTCATAAAAATTGGTAGCACTTAGCTCACTTATCGGCAAAAGACACAGGAAAGAGCCGGTACCGATGGGCGTATACACTACACTACGAAAAGGCATGGAACGCTACAAATGAACACGAACAGGCAGCTAGGTGATGGCAAAAAGAAAAAAAAACTTTGTGGGAATACAAGCGTGACCTTAGAGAAACCTCGATAGCCACGAAACGATGATACAAGCGGAGAACGTTATCCCATCTTGTGCATGAGCCGAGTTCAACATGTGCTGCTCCAATGAAATCTACGGATTCACAGATTTGTATCTGCATCTACTGCAACTGTGCTAGGTAGAGTCAATTATTGTGTCTGCGACATGTGTATTGTGTATTCTGACTTGTTCAGAAACCTCTTGAGACTAATAGATTCTTAATTGCCCGTTCAAGCCGAATAGAATTCAGTGATATTACAAATGTAAGAACATTATATCTATTATATTACATTATTTCTAAATAATTAAATCGATTATAGTGAAGCCCACTATGTCAAAAAAAAAAATGACAATGGAACAATAAGTATGCCGGTTATGGATTTACTTGCGCAACCGAAAAAGATGGCATGCAACGACCGCAATGCATCTTGTGTTCCAAGATATTTTCAAACAGCAATCTCAAACCATCAAAGTTATTAGAGCATTTCAACAATGTGCATTTTCAAAGAGCAATCTCAAACCATCAAAGTTATTAGAGCATTTCAACAATGTGCATGGTGGCGAAAAAGCGCATAGCATGAACAGCTTGAAGTCAAAGAAGGCTCGGTTTGATACCAGTGGAACTATCCTAAAATTGTGCGGACCAGCAATTCAAAAACCTTTATTAGAAGCGCCATATCAAGTGGCATATTTATGTGAAAAAAAAAAAAAAGAAAAAGAAAAAAAGAAACCTCACACGATCGCTGAAGAGTTGATTAAACCTTCTGCTTTAATTATTGCTAAAACAGTTTTAGATTCGGAAGCACATAAAAAAATCCAACAGATTCCATTATCGAATGATATTATACGATCGCGAATACAAGATCTCAGTGAAGATATTTTAATGCAAGTAATTGAAGACATAAAAATCAGTCCACTAAAAATAAGCATGCAACTGGATGAGTCAACTGATGTTGATAATTGTAGCCAACTTTTGGTATTTGTCAGGTATGTGAAGGAAAAAGAGGTGATAGAAGAATTTCTATTTTGTGAGCCACTGGAGGTGAATACGAGAGGAATTGATATTTTCAATCGCATCAAAGATTTTTTTACTAAATATCAATTACCTATGAATGTGATTGGCTCAATATGCACTGATGGAGCCCCAGCAATGTTAGGCAAAAATTCAGGATTTTTTTCACACATGAAAAGAGAAATTACCGGAAGTTATAATAACGCATTGCATGTTGATTCGTCATGCACTTGCGTCGAAAGCATTGCCAGAAAGGTTTAAAACAACATCTAACTACAGCCAGTAAATGTAGTAAAATACATCTGAGAGTGAGCGCTTAATCATCGCAATCATTTCGTGCACTTTTGCGAAAGAAATCGGTGCTGATCATACCGTGTTCCTATATCACACCGAGATACGATGGTTATCTAAGGGTCGCATGCTTAACAGAGTTTTTGAATTTGCATGAGGAAATTATTCAATTACTGACTAGTCAAAACTGTTATTTAGTAAAAGATTTTGAGAGTAATGATGCAATGCTGAGGCTGGCCTTACTTAGCAGACATATTTAGCCATTTAAATGAATTGAATCTATCGATGCAAGGATTTGGTATAAATATAATAATATCTAGTGAAAAATTATCTTCATTTATCGCAAAATTAGAAATTTGGATACGTGTCGAGTAGAAAAGGGGAATTTTTGCAAACTTTCCCTTGCTTGATTCTGTTATTGCGAAAAATGAAAAGAATACAATTATACCCGACATTGTAATACATTTGAGACGATTGAGCGAATCATTCAATGGATATTTTTCTACCGGAAATATTACCAAAACTCAGAGATGGAAACTGGATCCATTTCTATTTGACTTAAATTTGATGGTGATCTGAAAAAAGATCAACTTATTGAAATGCGAGCAAGTGGACATGTTCAAATGGAATTCGAACAATTAAAATTGCAACAATTCTGGTGTTCACAGTTACAATGTTATCCAGAATTGGTGAACGGAGCACTGCAGTTACTCTTACCCTTTGCTACCACCTGCTTGTGCGAAATGGGATTTTCATCGCTTTTGCATATAAAATCTTAAAGCGAGAAATCGCTTAAATGCAAGTGGTGACTTACGCATATGTCTTTCAAAAAAAACCTTGCTTCGTCAGTATAATAATGAAAAAACAACAACAGACTAGTCATTAATAAAAATAATATTGTTTTGTATTTATATAAAATGTACAATGTTTTTCAATAAACAATAAGTTTCGCAAAAAATGTATTTTTCTAGACTAAAAAAATTAAAACACAATTTTCAATGGGGTGCGGGAGATATATTTTCAGATTCAATGGGGTGCGACTCGCTAGAAAGGTTAAGAAACACTGTAATAAAGTAAGACTTGCAATATTCCAAAGAGAATGGCAATATATGGATTAAGTGATTTATTTTCTCACTTAATCCACAGATGTAATTATAAATTTTCATATTTTTTTTTTTAATTTGGCATTTATAGTTTGTTTTATGATGTATTTAAATACACATCTAAAAAGCAAAATTCATCAATAAAAAACTGAAACCTTTTGTAAGACTGTAAAGCATTTTCAGGATTATTGGTTTCTTCATATATTTGAGCGAGTAACTTATGAGATGCCGCATGATGGTCTCTCACACTCAGAAATCCCATTAAATATCTGAAATGAAAATTTATTTAACACATTATATTTAGATAAGTTGCTATATGCACCTGTTATAAAATCAGTAACATATTAAATTCTGATAGCTTACTTCTTAGCTGATTCATAATCCTTCACTTGAAAATAAAGTCTTGCTAAAGTATATCCTCGTAAGTTTTTCTGAAAACAATTATTTAAAAATGAAAAACTTGAATTAGAAACAAAATATATTTTGAAAAGATTACATTTTTGAAAAGCATAACTTAAAAATACCTAAATTACCAAAGAAGGTAGATTAATAACTGTAACGAAGCACACGAACATCATGGAACTGTTTTCAAAGAAGACTTACCAAGAAAACCAACCTGAATTTACATTACATGACAATAACACTGAAAAATACAAGGTAATCTTTTCTACCAGAATTCGCAATTGATATAAAACTGACAATGTTCCATGTTTTATCTATCTGGTTACTGATGAATTAATATAATCATCCAGAACCAAATGGTTGAAACTTGGAGAAAGTATCCATTACTGGTTAGTCTAAATATCACAAAATGATACACTAAATTCAGAGTTCTATTAAATAAACTTGAATAAAATACATAAAATTACTTTAACAAAAAGAGAATAACTGAAAAATTTGATTGCTTGCTGATATTCACTAATACAATATGAATTGGTTCCTTCATTTCCAATACGTACTGTTTAGCGATCACATTCAAAGTGGTATCAAAACAGATTATTCCCTGTACCTTCTATCTACCGAACAGAAATTCTGACAAGTAAGAGGTGATCACAAGTGGTATTACACTGCCGCTTATCCCCGATCCAAATCTTGATGCTGGCAAGATTCTTGCATGATGAGGACAATAACTTTACTTACAACAATTGTTTCTATGCCTTTTATGTCATTATGCATTGTTAAAAGAGCTCCTCATAGATTTATAATAAATGCATTTTAGTTCTATATGTAGAAAGTAATATGCAACCTAAACAAATTGCAAACTAGTCAGTTACTAATCCTTACATGAAGTCAACGAATTGGTACAACAACCCTCACGACCTTAGTAGTGATAGTTAATTATTATTCATGTTATTATGTACCTACCCTTAGACAAACTACGTCACCTGCACTATACAGCCACTCAAACATGCCTCACTACAAAAATGTTTAATGGCTCAGTTAGGCACACCCAAGAAACAAAGCTGAACACAGTCCAACATCACAATGATCAACCCCATCAACACAATCAGCTCAAATCACGACAACAAAAAGTTGTACCTCCTCATTAGCATGATAAATGCTGGAGAAAGATATATGGCAATCTGCAAAACCAGCCAATGATCATAAATTCAAAAGAGTTGAAATGCTTGAATTCAACTCTTCTTTCCCCCCCCCACCCCGAAAAAATTTTTTTTTAGCTTTGAGGTCTGGATTTCAGATTATTCCGGATAATGATCGTCTGGATTTCAGACTTTATACTGTATTGGCAAAAATCATCATTTCCTGCATCTTTGCTACAAAGTAACATTGAAGCACTTCCGCAGAGAACCTAGTAAATGTAAACATCGCGGTTAATCTTTGGATTATGGTAACTTGGCGATAATTTGGCAACCAACTCTGCTACAGCAACCTGTTAGTTTTTGTTTGGACACCATTTTGTTTTCACGAAGTAAAGGCATGTTTTTTTTTTTTTTTTCCTTCAACATTTTTTTCCAACAATCTGCTAGCCAAATTACACTTATGCTAGAACTTTTATGGAACAAAAGTGCTTAATCATGACGAAGATTAGATGCGAAATCGGGAGAAAGTGCAGAATCGCAAACTGCTTGCCGCGTTTTTAAGAATTGCACATACATGGTATTCATGTACACATCGATCTATTTTCACTTAAAAAAACATCCAAGAATTGCACAAAAATGGCATTGTGCACACTCTTGACTTTATCCATGTACACTGCTTAAGTCCTAGCTAGTAACCTTTATTGCCTTGCCAAAATGTCGCCAAACTACCTGTTACCATATTCCAAAGATTCGCCAACTTTGGCAATAATAGTTCAAACCTGGTAACCTATCGGATTCATCCTATTCGCTTGTCTGAAGGTTGCAACCATTCCTCTCGGCTCGAGCTTGGCGAGTAAAAATTGCAACGGCGCCAACGGATTCTCTGCAGATGAAAACCCAGTAAAATTGATTTACTTCATGTTATTATACATAATTTCATTTCAAACAATGATATTTTTTTCATTTTAAGCTAAGCGTTTAGTTCTTTCTTACGTTTATTTTACATTCAAGGTTTTCAATGGGCAAGCTATTTTGGCAATAATACACCTCCTCCAAATAATAATAATAATAAAGAAAAAGTACTTTAAGGCCATTCAGAAGCACTACAGTCTCAGTCATTAAAGGAAATGTTCTGGGATCATATTTAATTTTTTACAGCTGAAATTTTTATTTAGTTCATCACCAATCAATACCAATTTAACTAAATTAAAATGAAACATTTTGACAAATAGTAATTGTTTTGGAAAAGCCTCTTCATAAAAAAACAGACTCATATTTATAATAAATATAGGGGGAACATGAAAATCAAATATATTACGTCCATTCAGCCAAAACAAACTTGCAACCCTCTTTCTCAGCTTTCGCCAATGGTAGTTTGATTTAAAGAAACACATTGTTCATTGATATTTATGAAGTCCTAAAGCTTTGGAAGAAAAAGTGGAGAAAGTGCTGAATCACCCACTGCTTGATGCATTTTTAAGAATTGCACATACTCGGTACCCATGTACACATCGACCTATTTTCACTTAGAAAAAACATCCCAGAATTGCACAAAAATGGCATTGTGCACTCCCTTGACTTTATCCATGTACACATCGACCTATTTTCACTTAAAAACGTCAAAGAAAATTGAGAAAATTCAATTCTTACTCTTGTAAAAAGAGCTAAACAAGTAAGTGGGCAATTATGCACTTTACTAGTTCTATTCTAGAACAATTTTGATAATATCTTAATGCATTCAAGCATTCACACACAGAAATGTTCTCACATTACATTTTTACAATGCTCTGCACACCCTTCAAACATTTTTTCTAAAATTTGCGAAGACTTGCCTGAGCGCAGTTAAAATAATGAAACTGAAATACTTTAATGTCTTTCTACAAACTACCTGACTAAGAACTTGAAAATTCAATAACCTGAAATCTTTGAAATATGTGACACCTGAGCAGGAAATCATTTCTTTATACTGACAGAAAGTTGCACGATTCATACCACAAACATTTTGTTATTAGCACATGTTCCCATCGAAATAAAATCATCAAAACACGGAAATTAAGCCTACGTTTACAGTGCCAGAACATTTTACACATTAATGTTTACTGATTTCGCATAAGATCACAAATGCTAAGAAGTAATTATCTCACCTCGTTTTCACTACAGATTTTATTTAAAACATCAGTTACGTGTTTATCAACGTCTTTCTTTGTGCGAAACATTTTTACGTCTTCAACGTACGTACATTAAATTTAATTTCTCATATATTAAAAAGTTCTCCAATATAAGGATATGCACATTCCATTAACATGAAGATTAATGTACATGTGGATTACCAGAATGCAAAATATATCAAATACGATAAACGTTGGAAATGTGCAAAACACCAAAATATCCCACCAACGCAGCGGAATCCTGAAGACAAATTAGAAGTCAAAGTAATATTAGTCTCTTTTAAATTTCTAGTAAAATCGAGAGGCTTATTGGATAGTAAAATTAATACAAAGTAATGTAGATTTATTTCATGTTGCTACGCACAATTTCGTTCAAATAATGATTATTTTTTACATTTTAAGCTCAAAGCATTTAATTTCGAAGTTTGTTTCACATACAAGGTTTTCAGTAGACAAGCTATTTTGGCAATAATACGTCCCCCCCCCGAAATAATAATAGAAATAATACAAAAAAATGACACAAGTACTTTAAAGTGTCATTCAGAAGTAGGTCTCAATTTAAGTCATTCAAGGAGGTCTAACCTCCTTGAATATTCTAAACGAATGAAGAAGACGAACTTGCCATTAATGGTTGTCATGGCAACATTGCAGTGCGCTTCTTAAAATGCTTTTTTTCAGAAAATTTCATTTGCAAACGCTTTTTCTATGTTTTTTGTATAGATATATGTTATTTGACCAGAATGAGTGGAGATAATACATTGCCTCGCTTAGAACTTTTGTCAACTATAGCCTTTCAAGGTAGTATTTCATTTTAATCTTTTTAAAGCTGGAGTTTTCGTTTTAAAAATATTGAAAGTATTAAGAACTTGAGTTATATTGATTTTTAGTTAAAATGGTAAGGAAATGTAATTTGTGGTGTGTGTGCTATTAAAATGCTTGAAGCAAATTAAATATGTTTATTTGTGATTAGAAAAACTTAATTATTTTCTGTTGCTCTTATCCGCTCCGGCACCAGAGGCAGCGCAACTTGTGGACCGCATGGGGAGGAAAAATTATTAGAATTTAGGGAGGTATTGAGCAGCAGAATTTTAGAGCCAGGGGAAAAGGAAATCAGAAAAAGTTATAGTTGCTATATAAAATGATCATAATCCTCATGTGTTAGTGCATTGCGAATGCATAATGTGGATTAAATTTTCCATTTAGGCATTTTGAAGTTTTAAAATTTTATTTTGAAATTTTTACCTTGCTTTAATATTATAATATGCATCTCTTTATGTAGTTTTTGATGTTTCTAATCATTTGCAAATTACATTTTTACAACATTAAAATTTTTATATTTTCATTTTGAATGTTTTTAAAATCTGAAATTCAGAAATTTTACATTTTTAAAGGAAAAATAAGAAATGGTCTTGTGTTTCATTGTGACAAAAGACACATAGCTTATGCAGCTGGACAGACGGTGATGGTAAGAGATATCGGAAATGGAAAAGAATATAGACTTTCTGGGCATTCAAACACAGTTTCCTGCATTGCTGTTTCTAAAGATGGTTCTCTTCTTGCTTCTGGCCAAGAAAATTTCATGGGATTTAAAGTAATGTGAACTATTTTAAAATCTACACTTCTTGCAAATTGCTTTAAAATCTATTTAAAACATAGCTCATCTATTGCAATATAAAAGGCCTAGGTCATAATCATTGATTTTATTTCAGTGCAAATAATTACTTAAGACTTATTTGGAGGCCTATATTTTAGACAGCTTAGTTTTATTTCTCCTTTCCTAAATTCAAATGCTTACAAATAAAAAGCCAGTAAAATTATATTTACGGGTACCCCTTGGCGATTTTAGGTGATATGTGGATACTGAGTTTTGCGCACTCCCTTGACTTTATCCATGTACACGTTGACCTATTTTCACTTAAAAAAACATCAGAGAATTGCACAAATTAGGCATTGCACACTCCCTTGACTTTTTCCATGTACACATCGATATATTTTCATGTAAAAAGTCAAAGGAACACCAGTTGTAGGTAAAAGTATATTTACAGAACATTCAGCTACTCAGCTTACCATAAATGAAACAAAACTCTGCGATAATACAAGTTATACCCTTCAGTCTAGTGTAACCAAAAGGCCTACATTTCAAATAACAAAAAGCTGAGTAAACTCCTTTTTTGTTGATTTTGATAAAGTTTTAATTACATATTATCATTTCATGGAATGTATGGAATGTAATTCATCCAGCTTGTAATTATACCATTATTGGATACTTAAAATTATGTGGACAAGAAGAAAGTTTTGCTTACACAGTAACAAGAGTGGTTTGCTATGTATTTATGTGACAATTATGTATGCAATATGGGTCTGATGGTACACATGGAATTTAGCAACTTTTGGTGAATGCTGATATACCAAATGAGTTCAAATGCATCATTTTGGTGTTTGCTGATAGTTTTTAAAATTGAGCTAATCTTTGGAATATGGTAACAGGCAATTTGGCGACATTTTGGTACTACCTAGGGCTTAGGCAATAATGTGAGAAGTACCCAATTCCAATTACGCATTATTTTGTGTGAGAGAAATGAGAGGTCATCAGATATGTCATGTGACATTTATGGACGAATCACAGTTCTTTAATCGGAAAAGGGGGGAAATTTGGAAAAATGTCTGGAGTACTTTATAACATTTTGTATTTAGCTTATTGTGTGAGGGTGAACAGTTTTGCTAATGTTGGATCCATAGCCCTATCTAAGGATTCGAATTTTTATTGCGTTTATCTGATATCCAAAAAATTGTGAATGTGGTACAAGTGTAGGATTAATTGCGGATAAGTATGAATTTTAACATGTTGGAATGAATGAGATTGTGTGAAAGGAAGGATATTAAGATAGTTTGAATGGCGGTGCAAGAAATCTGTGAAAATGAACATTTGTGAACGGAGTGTAAGAAAAGGTACGTGGTTTGCTAAAGTCATTTGGTATGGGTGAAATGTTATTATTTCTACTACTGGGTGAAAGACTGCCAGTTGACTCTGGATTTTGGATTTAGAATTAGCAGTAGTACTGCACTGATTGAACTTAGGTAAGTAGTATTTTTAATCATTTGAGGATATTATTTTATGCATTGTCTAAAATTAAGGAATAAATAATAAATATGGTATTATGGAAATTGTATTAGCAATGAATTAGTTTAAAGTAATTAAGATTTTTAAGCATTTTTTATTAATTTAATGTATGTTTATTTATATTTTAAGTAGTGTTTTTAATTTAATTATATTTTCATTTAAATGTAGTAATTTTGTGAATTATATGTGCAGCATTTTGGAATATGTTTTGAGTAGAATAACGTGCATTGGAAATAATTAAATATTTGACACAAGTATTGCAACCATTTTTAATGTTTGCGTTATAAATTCAAGGTGAGTTTATAATAGATAATTTAGAGGAAAAGTTTTTGATATTTTATTATTTTATATGTGCAAATAGGGAAAAGGTATATACTTTTTTGCTATCAGGTTATTTCATATATGTCCTTTTACCAACTTTAATGATTCACAAAATTTTCCTGCATTTTCGTGCAAATTTTTCTAATTTATGAGAAAAAAGCAGTGTACATGGACAAAGTCAAGAGTGTGCGCAATGCCAATTTTGTGCAATTCTGGGATGTTTTTTTAAGTGAAAATAGGTCGATGTGTACATGGTTACCATATATGTGCCATTCTTCAAAACGCAGCAAGAAGTTTGCGATTCTGCACTTTCTTTCAATTTTGCAGTTAATATTCATCATGATTAAGCACTTTTGTTCCATAAAATTTCTAGCATAAGCATAATTCGGCTAGCAGATTGTTGGAAAAAATGGTGAGTTAATAAAAAAAAGAAACGTGTCTTTACTTCGTGAAGACAAAATAGTGCGGGAAAAAAAAAAAAAGGTAGGAGGTTGCTGTAGCAGGGTTGGTTGCCAAATTTTCGGCAAAAATCGCCAAGTTACCATAATTCAAAGATTAGCCCAAAATTGTGCCAAGGACGTACTGTACACTAGGATTTTACCGTAATGTGCTGCATGCATACCTATGTTGTCACTTAAATACTTTTTATAACATTGTGAGTTGCCACATAACTAATTTTATGTATATTGCATTGCCTCGTGAATGCTTTTCTAAGAGTTTTTGGTGAAGGTGCAGATAATCAGGAAATACTGAGTTATGTGTAGAAATTCTAAATAGATGGGTATATATATATTCTATAAAGATTTGTGAAAAGGTTCTATAAAACTTTTTACAGTTTTTAAAGGCCCTGCATATAGAATATATATGGTACTAAGTCAAAATTCAGGGTATTTCTATATATGGTACTAAGTCAAAATTCAGGGTATTTCTAGACCATCTGTAATTTTTGTTATTTCAGAATTTTGGAATGGGAATATAATGCTCAAGAAAATGTAGCTGTACCATAAAAGGAATTTACCTCCCAACTAACTGGCATTCCTATATGTTATTTCACATCATGGTCAGTGGCCAAAAGGAGCCAGGAAAAGGTCATCAAATGGGATGTTACTAGTAAGCAAATTGAGATTGTTGTTCTTGAAGTTGTAAACTCACCAAAGAAAAGATTTTGTAGCCTGTTGATGACATTGTGACTGTAACTTAACTGTCTCTCCATTTCAGCCTGTGATTGGTCTATTTCTGTTCACAACCTACTCACCATCTTACTGAATCAAGTAGATTGCTGCTTTGAAACACTACAAATATTGCAGACACAAAACTTCAGTATTTACTAAGTTTTTCCGAGAAAGTTAGTAGTAGCCTCCAGTAATATAAATGTTTTTCTCATTTTGTGCTATTATTAGCTGCATTTCAATTTTGAATCTTTTACTTCTTTAATCCTGCAGAAGAAAATTTATTTTCTCCTTAACTATTAGATGGCAGTATGTTTGGTACTTTTCCGTTTCGCTGGCGCAAATCTCACCAAGCAGACTTTATTGGTGACAACATACAGTATACAAATAAAAAATGTTAACAAATGTTAGTTCTAAGAATTTTTTTTATTTTGAAGGCACAAGCATTTTAATATCGTTTAAAATTATTGTAAAAAAGCCAATAAATAAAGACAATAAATTTGTGAAAAGATATTAATTTAAGAATTTACTACGCTTTTATGGTTCAACATCCTGATTCACCTTTTCATACCATGTAACCCTAAGTCTCAAGTAAACTACAAAAATCTCTCTCAGTAATTATCTATATTAATTTCAACTTACATCTTAATTTGGAATACAAGGTTAAAATGTATTGCCAACATTTCATTACTCTACAATTTTTTTTTCTCGGTGTTGGGATTTTTTTGACATTTTATGACAATATATATATAAAAAAAATTATTTTTTATCTTTTCCGCCAGCTGAATGTTATAAATATTATTTTTCCTCTCCTCCATAAAATAAAATATTCTTTGTCAGTGTACCCAACTTAGCTATGTTATTTTTTTACTGTATACAGATTTATGAAAAAAAATTGTGTGTTATCAATGAAATATAGTACATATCTAGTAATAAAAGATTAGTTTCAAAGAGAAAAGCTCAGCACAAATAAATTATTTTCAAATAAATCATGTCATAAGTCTTCATTAATGTTTTAAATGATCTTTATTCATTTATAGTTTCAAAGAGAAAAAAAAAGCTCAGTACGAATAAATTAGTTTGGTACTTTTCCGTTTCGCCAGCGCAAATCTCGCCAAGCAGACTTAATTGGCGACAACGTATAGTATACAAAAAAAATATTTTAAAATGTTAGTTATAAGATTTTTTTTATTTTGAAGGCATAAACATTTTAATATCATTTAAAATTTTGTAAAAAGCCAATAAATAAAGACAAGAACTTATAAAAAGACATTAATTTAAGAATTTGCTATCATGGTTCAATATCCTGATTCGCTGGTTCATATCACGTGACCCAAGTGATTTCATCTCTCATAAACTACGCTACAAAAATCTAATTCTCTCGGTAATTATCTACATTAATTTCAAGTTAAATCTTAATTTGGAATACAAGTTTAAATGCAAGAAATATTTCAATTCGTACAAATTGCTTACTGGGAAATTATGTAAATCTGCAGTGCTTTACTTCGCTAGTGCATTTTCATAAGAATTGATAAATTTAACCCTTGACTTTGCCTTTTTATATTTTCGCCTTCAGGGGAGTGCTGTTATTGCATCCTAATTGACTTAATTACTGCGAATGACCTTAGGGCATAAAATTGAATTATCAGGTATAACTTCTATGTAATTGTATGCCAGTATTGAAAGAAACAATCAATCTGATAAGAAATGGCTGCAAATTGTTTTGAAATTGAGGCGTAAAAGGTTACCAGTGAGGATATTACATTTGGCATCAGTTGTACCATTATTGGCAACTTTAATGCCTGTGCCAGCTATACGGAAAAGTACCATATGTTTTTTTTAAAAAAAGAGATAGAGAAAGAATTGTAACAAATTTGTAATCATTTTATAGTTTATTTATGTATTACGTATTCATACTTTGTTTTTCAGGCTGATGTAATTATATGGAATTTTCAAGAGAAAAAAATTTATGGATCTCATTCTCTGCATCGTGTGAAAGTAGAAGCTGTTGCTTTTTCCTGTGATTCAAAGTATGTTATATCATTAGGAGGCCAAGACTGTGGCAGGTAAAATTTGTTTCTTTTATGAACCTTTATAAGTTTTTTAAACATCTTACTTCTATGTTATTTAAAAATTGCAATATGCATTTTATGCCTACTGTTTTAAAGAAATACATTTAGTATTATTTAAATTGCAAGAATTAGTTTTATATATATATATTTTTATTTTTTTTTCTTTCTCTGTGTGTGTGTGTGTGTGTCTTTGCAGCTATTTTATTACATAGAAAGAATGACAGAATATGTTATTATTTTTCGCAAAAATCGCCACTATATAAATTCAAAATAATAAGAATTGTACAAACTAGGCATTGCGCACTCCCTTGATCCCATGAACACATCGATCTATATTCATTTAAAAAGTCAAAGGAGCAGTCAACAAAAAATATATAATCTCAATAAACTACATTTTAAATCAAACAGTCAAATAGCATAAAAAAGGAAAATCATCTCAGCACTATACAAAGGAAATATCCACTTACCTTATTTACAAATTTCCCAGTCTTCAGTCAAACAAAATTCTTTGACAGCATCCAGAAACTTCCTGAAATTATCTGAACTAGAATCTGTATATAAATCATTCGACTATATGCATTTCCTTCCTACAAACAGGACACTTATAATAGCAACTAAGTAAACTTTCATTTACACACCAGTCAATTAATGTTTTTTCCCTTTCGTTCCAAATCGTACAGAAGCTTCAAATTAATCTTACAACATTCAACTATTTTGCCATGTAAACACAAAATAACAACAACCTTCTTATCTAAAATCCATCCCATCATTCAAATTCACCGCAATCACGCAACCAATTATGTCATAATAGGGTTTCCATAGCATTCAACTACTCAGGTTAGCATAAATGAAACAACTTGGTGATAAATGAAACAACAACTTATTGAATACTTTCATTAACATTTTTAAGGCATTCTCTTGTCTCATATAGTTTTAAATTTAATCACGTCTTAAACTTTTCTTCATGTAGATGTATTGAAATTTCTAATCTAAATCAATTTTCAATACATGTAGATATATTGAAAATTGATTTAGATGTATTGAAAAGCAGCTTTTCTTTTTTTGCTTCAAATCGCATCTGATTTTCTTTAAGTGTAATTATTTTTGACCATTTTTACTGCTACTTGTATAATTTTTTACATGTTTATATTTAGTTAAAGCTTGTTTCATATTGACTTTTAATAAATTTTATTGTACTTCCTGTTATCTGCTTCCCTAGGAAAAGTTGCCAGCTTATTGGTAACTTTGTAAATTAAGGAAAAACATCTGTTTGGTTGTCTTTACAATTCTGTTTGTAAATAATAATAAAAAGAAACATTTTATAGAAATAAGAAATTTTGCTAGGAAAAAAAACAAAAAATTACACGACCAATATTTACATTTTTACAGCCAGTACATAGTGTTTAGTAAAATGATGATTAAACATAAAATATACAAATCTATCTGTACTCTAGCATATGTGTGGTACATGTATGCATTGGTTGGCTGTTTTCATGCATGTATATGAAAATGTGTTGAAAACACAGCAATACAACCAAATGTTTTAATCATATTAATATTTATTGATCTATACCTAAGTTCATTACAACACTTTCACATAGCACATTGTTTATTCCACACGAACATTAACTGACAATTATTTCACTTCAGTTTGACCAGACTAGTGGGTTGCCACATATGTAAACATCTCCCTGCTTTTGGGAAACTCATAGGAATCAATGCTTACATAATTATCATATTTGATGGTCGATTACATTACGACCACTCTTGTTTTTATATACACAACACGATTAATATTATTGCTATTATTTGATGGTGAGGACATTATGTATTTTTGGATGTTCATACTTATATTTCCCTCCTTCTCATTACATAGATCATAATAGTCTAATGTCACTAGTTTTCTTAAATGGAATTTATTCCGTCTAATTACCCCCATTACTTTTGTTCTAATCCAATAGATAGGAGTTGAATGCTTTTTTTAAAACATAGCAGGCTCCCATTTATTTCCCATCTAATTACCTTTTTCCCCAGGAATAAATTAGGTCTTTCCCTTCATGCTTATCATAATAGATTTAGCCTGTTCTGCTTACCCTCACCTTTTCTCTATATTGATCTTTTACGTTGGTTTCAATTCTTTTGTGTATTGGTAATCATGTTCTTAAATTCCTACTTAATAGCATTGACTTAATGATAAATTTATACCTGAAAGGGTATTTTCTATATCCAAAAGCCTATTAATTTCTTACTCCTGCTTTCAAATAACTCTTAGCTATACCTACCAACTTCTCTGCAAATCCATTAGATTTTATCGAGGACTGTTAGTGATTATTTCAAATCCACAATCCCTTGCAAAACTCTTCATTTTCCAACTGTTAAATGGTACATTATCACAAATTAAAGTTTTGGGTATTCCATGTGTTGTAAATATCGATTTCAATTTACTAGTAACTTCCACTGCACTTTTATTTCTTAGAGGAATTACGTCTACCGATTTAGTTAAATAACAGCCATTACTAGATAACCTTTCCCCCGCATATTCAGATATCAGCACCAACCTTTTCATAAGGTAAACTGGGAATTTTATGAGAAACAAGAGGTTTTTTTTTTGAGGCCTGAACCTATCACAAATTAGGCATTCAGAAATCATATTTTCAATGTCACTGTTGATTCCTGGCCAAAATAGTATTGTCAGCCCTAGCTTTTGATTTTTCAATCCACATGACTTCATGTATAAGTTAACATACACTTTCTTAATGCAACAGGGACGACAATTCGATTATTAAAAAAAAACTAAATCTGTTTTAACACTCAACTCATTTTAATTAAATAAGATCTTGTTCTTTTTCTTCTTGCTTAGAACTATCTTGCTTTAGGAACTTATCAACACTCACGGCCATCATTTTGCCAATATTCTTTCACTAGCATTAACCTTCATCTTCTAATGTAGCTCGAAATTCCCTTTCTACTCTCGACATTTGTTGTTTTGTGGTAGAACAATCTCTGTCATATCCATGTTTTCATTCGGTCTGTATCTAAAGGAAGTGACAGTAAATCTTCAATATAAATATTTTCAAGCAATTTTAGTTTAAGTTATTTTTAAGAGCTTAATTTTATCCTCTCAATCTTTTGACAACACATAGCAATATTTTGTTCATAATTGAAACTAATGTTATGATCAGTAAGCCTTCTACCTCTCATCTATGAATAGTTAAATTTATTAGCAGTAAAAAAATATAAGAAATTCTTTCTCAATTGAGCATAGTTTTTTTCTGATTATTAAACTCGAGACGAACGCAATTGGTTGCCATTCTGCAATAAGCAGCCTAACCATCTTTAGAACTATCTGCTGTTAGTATAGGTTTACGCTATCAAATATTCCTACACAGTGCATGGAAATTAATTTTTTATCCCTGAATGCTTTAAATGTAGCTGTAACCACGCCATTCTACTTTGTTTTCAAAATGCCCTAATATTCGTTTTCTCTGAAAATGTGGTACAAATTTCCCAAATAATACACATTCCCAAACCGCTGTAATTCAGCTTATTTTAGGTTCCTGAACTCATATGGCTTTAATTCGTCAGGATCAGGTCGCATGCCTTACGCATTAAATAAATGAACCTAAATATTTAACCTCATACTAAATATTTAAACCTATATTGAAGTTTTTTGCTTGTTGAATTTATATTGAGTTTTTTAGCTCTGTTGATGACCTCTGTTAAAATTTTATCATGTTTCTTGTATGTGCTAGCAGCAAGAGGATGTCATCAAAATAGACCAGTATTTCCTGGTATATCACCAAAGTTTTCAAGATTGCGTTTCTGAAAAATTTCAGGTGCAGAGGAAATTGTTTATTCCACACGAATATAGCACATTGTTTATTCCACACGAACATTAACTGACAATTACTTCACTTCAGTTTGACCAGCAACTAGTGTGTTGCCACATATATGTAACACCAAATTTTGAAAGAAAGCATGGTGCAGGTAATAAAAAAATACCAATTATATTTTTAGCACTTTATTAATAAATATTGTTGCATTTTTCTTTTCTTCTGACAACAGTTCGTAGATTTGGAGCGAATAATGACGACAGTTGATGAAGTATCGAAACACACTTTATTTAGCCAATATTAATCAGGACAGCTCCAATAATACTTTTTACAGTCGTCAAAGTCTTTCTATAGTCACCTTCACACTGTCAGGCAATAACAGTGGAGACAGCTTCCTGCAAAGCACCCGATTCTGCTTGGTCATTCTCGGAACTCCACGTACTCTCGAGACTCTCCACGCTACAACTTGCGATGCACTCAACGACACACAGAGCACAGCATCTGACTCGCTAGACGAGACGCACGCTCTCCCTCTCGATGAAGCACACTGACTGACTGCGGACCAGTAGAGTTTATATAGCTTTTGGCTTGTGTTCGAGAACAATCTGGGCTAAACCGGTAAGGATTCGTTCCAGAAGGTTCTCCAACTGTCCATGATATATCGCCAAATGGTTGATTTCTAGCCAAATGTGGAAACCCTGCCCTCCTTGCTATTTTATGGCAACCCTAAAACTGCTGTAATCACTTAATCACTGTAAATAAATCATCAACGAAGCAATGAAATATTTTTTTTTTGCAAGGTTAGTATTTGTGTAATTGTCTGTTAATTAGCAAAGTTGGTTGTCAGTGGGCTTGGGTTCAATTTCCAAAGACAGCATATATATTTGTGGCTATTATTGGCTTTGTAGAATGAGACAATTAAAATCTGTTACCTGAATGTTCTATCAAGAGCATTCATTTAGGAACATTCAAAAGAATATATAAACATAAGAAGTGTTCTATTGAGAAGCTAAAAGTAGATGAGAACATGTATGGGACCCCTGAATTACACTCCAGGAAGTGATTTTTTATGCTATTGAAATTATTCTATCGCCAATGATGCCTAATTCCTTTGGCCAGTAATAGTTGTGCCCCATAGTCACACTCATGGTCATTGACAAGGCCATTCATTACCTATATGTTCTTATATGAAGTGTACCTACAAAAACACTATCTGTATAATAGTAAGGGGGAAGAGACTGAGAATGGAACTTAAAAGTACGATGTAAGCATTTTGGATAGGACAACATAAACAATGCAGAAGTCTTTCTAGGGTGGAAGCTAGGAAAAGGAATGTTGTAGTTTTTTGTGCAAGAGTATTTATATTAAGTACATGCAGAAAGCACTTTAAGCTAAGATTAGTTAATCTTAAATTGTTATATACAGTACAAAGTCCGTAATCTGGACGTGTTGGAACTTCAGCGATTACAGATTAGGTGTTTTTCCAAAATATATATCGTCAATTTAAATCTGGTAAGATGGCATGCAGAAATTATAATGAAACCGCAATTTATGAAATAAAGAGCAATTATGATCTAAAGGGTATCAAAATTTACAAAAAAAAGCATAATATTTATTTATTTACTTTATTAAACATTTCTTTCATTGTAAGTAGTTTAAGTTGCTTCATTTTTTGTGCTAATACTTTCTCTTTAATTTCTATAAACAACATAATTCTTGTTTGAGTTACAAGGTTCCACTGTTCAAGTCTAATTGCTGTGTCGAGAATACCGACTAACTTGTCAAGCGAATTTTTTTGTTTTCAATAACCTCTGTGTCATTTTCTTCACTATTGGAAGCAGTATTTTCTGGATATAGAACCATACTACAGATTTCACCATCCGTTGATTGATGATTGGGGCATTGTCGTTGCAATGAAAAATTTCTGTTATATCATCTTCATTTATTACCGCTTCTCCACATTTCTTTACAAAATCCAATAACTGAAAAATTTCACCTTTAGTTTGCGATGTCTGAAAACCTTCAAATTCACAGCTACCATCTTCATCATCCTCACCATGAAATATGGTAGCTAGCCATAAATTATGTCAAGCATTTTTTTAACACATCTGGAGACACATCCTCCCAATGCACATGCATAAATGTATTACGTGCAAAAAAAAGTTTGTGGCTTTGAAGTCCATATTATAGATCATTCCGAATAATGGACATCCGGATTACGGACTTTGTACTGTAACCAGGGCGTAATTTCTAAAAGTAGAAGTGCCGGAGCCCTAGGAAAGACCATCAGGAAAGAGGAACAAGAGTAAATAAATAAACAAAATGACTATTAAATTTAAATGACTAATAATTTTAAAATTAAATAGGTTATTAGTATTTATTAATTATTTTAATCATTGTTAATTATTCACAATTTTTATTATTTATTAAAATATAAAGATTAAAGTAATTAAATAATTTAAATTAATAAAAAAGAGATAAATTTTAAGCAATTTTTCATATGATTTTATTGCTAAAAATAAAATTCCCTAGATCAAATTTCTACTAAAATAAGTGTTCCATTACATAAAAAAGTGCTGGAGCCTTCTTATTTAGGGCTCCGGTGTGCTCCTGCCAGAATTAGAATATATCCCAAAAACTAAGAAGTACCGGAGCTGGGCTCAGGTGGGCTCCACCGCAATTTAAGCTCTGACTGTAACATAGAAGGATCTCAAATTTGGGAGAATGAATTTAGGGTAAAAGCACCAGATCTAGAATTGTTAATTTTGAGGTTGCCAATTATTTTTAAAGCAGCCATCATATTTTGTTATAGATATAAAGATATATTACCTTATTTAGTTCCTTCAAAATACAAAGTAAAATATGTCAATCATTGTAAACATAGTATTTATTACATGGAATAAACAATGCAGCTTGCTACCCTTACAGAGCCTTTTAATTACATAACTTTGTTAGGACTAGATTAGTACTTAATTTGAACTAGATTAATGATTATCAGATTTATGCAATAGCTTACTCTCTATATGAAAATTCCCTGTATGCCATTAACTTAATTATTCAGCATGTCACAGTTTGTTTCTGTTCTTTGAATAACTCTTGTGACTGTTGTTAATTTTTTCTTTTATATTTCTTTTCATAAATATAAATGCATAATCTTCTCTTTATTGACTAACTGTAAGCTTTCTTATTCTAGTGTTGTTATCTATGATATAGATGGCTTAGCACCACTATGTGGAAATACTGCAGCACCCCTTGCTGGTGGATATGCCAACATAATCCGTAGTGCAAATACAAGAAATGACATTTTTATTTCTGCTGGAAAGTAAGTAATTATTTCTTTATATGAAAAAAAGATTTTAAAATGTATGTTTTAAGTCACCATGAGGAAAGAGTATTAACAAACGCTGTATACCATAGTTTCCTAATCTCAGTACTGAAGAGATCTAGGTAAGCATTATTGATCTGAGAGGCAGTAAGTGAGCATTGAGAAACATGTGTCCGCCTAGACGTTATAGTAGTTAGGGGAGCCTTACTGTGATGTCAGGTTCGAATCCCGGAGAAGGCATGGATGTAAATTGTCTGTCCCTCCATAGGAGGTAACGGTGGCCGCTTATTATGTGCCTCCACAATAAAATGGCCACCACTTCTGGGCTTATTAGTGGCCAATGCCCTTATAGGCAAGTTCCCGCCATTGGAAATAAATAAAATAAACTTCAAAAAGTGGAAAAAGGGTAAAAAAGTTTCCAGAATTATCATATAACAGACATAAGAAGGGAGATATCTGTTTGAAGCAAAATTAATTAAAGGTTTTTTCTAATGATGTTTTATTCATTTTAATTGGAATGTACAAAAAGAGTAGAATTTACTTGTTCATAATTATCATAGAATCAGATTTAATTTCTTTTCCCTCATCTCAGATTTTTATATTAGTGCTGGCCTTCAAAATGCAATTAATTAAAATCTATCAACAGACAAATGTTATATGTTTGTTATCAGATTATTCATTTGAATTTATGTACTCACAAACTGCTTGGATATTTCTTCTTGAATCATATTTCATTTCAGATATCACTTTCTTTTCTGGTGATTAAGTTTTGTAAATTTGAAACTAATAAAAAAATGCCGCAATCCTATAGTTATAATATAAAAATTAATTAAATAAGTGCTCCAAAGGATTGTAATTATTTAGGACAATGACAATTAGTAAACGTTTTAAAATAAAATATGTATTGTTTTGAAATTATTTAATTAATGTTTAATGCATCAAATTATGTAATGTGCATAAAAGGAATATTCATACAATATGATTTTAGGGTATGAAAGTGATAAATATTCTTAGTTAGGGGTTAAAATGCTTAGTTAGTATTAAAGCTGCTGCATGCTGTTAATAAAAATAACCTGAAATAGTGATTGATTGTTAAAATGTGTTGATGGTATCAAAAGGCTGATCAAATTTTAATTAAATGTTAAAATGTGTCGATACTAAAAAAATAATTTTTTGACATTTGTTAGACAAAATTTTAATGATGATAATTTTAAAAATTGAGAGATATTCTGCTTACATTTTATGATTAATTTTATTCACTTTCTTTGAAGTCATAAAAGAATGCTTCATAAAGGTATGCTTTTGAAAGAACTGAATGTCTCAAATGTTGATCTAAAAAAAAAAAAAAAATTTTTTTTTTAATAATGGTTAATCAGTTCTCTTTCTAAGAATCTTTACTCTTTTAAAAAAGCTCAAAAAATCACAATTGTTTAATTTAATTTTTATAGTTAAAATTTCTACTTAATATGACCAAGAATTATAATACTTTATAATAATATTTTTTATATGTAACTTATGCAGATTTCAAATATAAAATTGTTGAATTCATTCCAATTACATCTTAAAATCAAACACATACTGTCTCCAAAAAGAGGGAAATTCAAGAGTTCCTCATGTAATAACATATTATCCCGTTGACCACTGAAATCGATCATCATCAAACCGGATTTAGACTTTGGTAAAGCCCTAAGCTATTTGAGATATGGAAACCTTTATAAATATGTTATAATATATTTTAATACTATTCATACTGTATTTTAATTTTGGGGGCCCCTACCCAGGGCTGGATTTATGTATAAGCTTGTGTAGCTTATATGTAAATCCAGCCCTGGGTGTTTCCACCAATCATTCCTACAGAATTCTGCAGGAACTGCATCCTCTTTATTTAATACGCAATCAATATTTGCCTGCTTCATAAAAATGCTTTCATCGATTTCTACTATTTCGTGAGGCCCTCTGATTTTACTGGAAACTTTGCTTAGAATACTATAAGTACATTGTTCCTATTTGTTATTATTTTATTGTCCATATTCAGCTGACCATATTTTGTCCATTAATACCCACTTTTTTAATGATAGAATCCTATAATTCTGAAAATGCTTACTGTTTTATAGAAGCAATCTTTTTATTACCCTCCCCCAAAATGAAAAGAAAAAATACTGCAATAACAGTTAATTTATAGCCTTATATATATATATATATATATAAAAGGTTGCTTATCTAGAATCAGAGAGGGTTACATCAAATGAAAGTGCAGATGCTATGTGTGTGTTGTTATGTCACACGTATCCATAAGTGGCAAGAAATTGTGTTGCTTGGGGACAGTTTCATTGTTCATGAAATAATGCAGATATATCATTTCTCATTAGCTATTCAAAGGTAACACCATTAGTTAAAGATAATGTATGAAAAAATATTGAAAATAATTGAATAGTTGAATTAGAATGGAACAGAACATTTTTCACTAATTAAATAAAAGCTATAATTATGAAAATGAAATTGTCTGTAAATTGCTTTATGCATTTAATTAAAAATATTATTTATAAATATTTTTAAAAATTTTAAAAATGCAGTCAATATAATTAAAATATCAACTCATTATTTTTTAACATTTTTTTTTAGCAATAGCTTACGAGTTTGGAAAATAGATTTCAAACACAGAAGAGTGACACCAACTAATGCATCAATAGGACGCATCAAAAGAGAAATAAAATGTGTAGATGTAAGCTAATGTTTTTCTTTATTTATTGTTCTATTTTAAAGTAAATAATGTTTTGTATTATATTTACACATATCTAAAATAAATATATATATATATATTGCAAATGCCAGTTGGTATATATATCACTCCTATTATTTTAGATCATAAATCATAACCTAGTATCTGAGTAAAGCTATGCTAGGAATTATAGACAGATACAGAACATGTTATACCATTAAATTTAAAGTTTGTATCTAAAATGTTAAGATGAAAATTTGTCAATGTACAGTTTTTATTTAAAAATGACCTATTTTTTTTTACTTAAAAATCCCTGAATTAATTTATTGCAAATGAATGAGCCTTTGAACCCTATGAATTGATTCATTATTTGTAACAGTAAGTAGACAGCATCTGCCCTGCCTTCTTTGAGCAAAAGAAAATTTTTTTGCTCAAAGAAATTAGTTTCATTATTACAAAGGCTATTTCACAAGTCTCTTGTAGGCAGTTGCATTGGAAAAAATAATATATGTATTATTTGAAAGAATATTTATGATAATTTTATCTTTATTCAACATTATGATCTTCCTTGCCAGTAGACTTTTTCCAGTAGGGTTAATCAGTCAATTACAATTTGATAGTCTTCCATGCCCATGAGTTTTAGATAGCCTTTATGACAGAGTTGATTTCCTTAACACAGCAGAACTTCATCCCCATAATGGCTTTTTAACTTTGGTAAAAAGGAAGTAACAACAGGGCAAATCATAGAACAAAATTAATAGAAGAGTTCTTGCTATGTGGCCCTCTGAAGGAAAGGTCACAATTGACACAATGACCTACTTTACATACAAACTAAGTATAATATAATTAATAGAACTGCCCAACATTCTTTATTTTATATTTTCTTCATGAAGAAAATATAAAAGATGCCTTAAGATCTCTCAACTCTAGTTTTTCAATAGCTGCTGAATGTCAAATGGCAATGAGAAGTGGTATTAGTCTGGAGAAGAATAAAGCTGCAGTTCAAAAATTCAAATTGTTTTAAACAAATAGGGTGTACTCTGCCTTGAAATACTTGCAGCATAATAAGCCCCACTTACAGTAGTCTAAAAAAAATTGCATGTTCAAGGAATCCCATTATGGCCAAAGAACAAAGAATCCATAATCTTGAGTATGCCTTTCAGAGTATTGAAATAAATATTTTTTGCAAAGAATCAGAAGAGGGTCATTCAGCACATGCCTCATGATTTATAATGACAGCTTGTCAAATTAAGTGTGTGTGAATACATCCAAACTGGTTTTCTTGTTGCTAGCAGCCCCACTTACAGTAGTCTAAAAAAAATTGCATGTTCAAGGAATCCCATTATGGCCAAAGAACAAAGAATCCATAATCTTGAGTATGCCTTTCAGAGTATTGAAATAAATATTTTTTGCAAAGAATCAGAAGAGGGTCATTCAGCACATGCCTCATGATTTATAATGACAGCTTGTCAAATTAAGTGTGCGTGAATACATCCAAACTGGTTTTCTTGTTGCTACCAGCCCCACTTACAGTAGTCTAAAAAACATTGATGTTCAAGGAATCCCATTATGGCCAAAGAACAAAGAATCCATAATCTTGAGTATGCCTTTCAAGTATTGAAAATAAATATTTTTGCAAAGAATCAGAAGAGGGTCATTCAATGCCTCATGATTTATAATGACAGCTTGTCAAATTAAGTGTGCGTGAATACATCCAAACTGGTTTTCTTGTTGCTTAGTTAGAGAGTGGTAAGCTCTTGATGGAAATATTTCAGTTTAAAGCAATCACCATATGTAACATTGAAAATGGTCTTGAAAACTGCATAAATTCTATTGCCATTATTCAGACCAGTTTCAATTGTAACATTTGTTCATAAAATACCTGCTGTGTCATTCCATCCTCCAATAAAAAGGAACAAAATTTCCAGTATCCTACTGTAGAACAGCATGCATTTGTCTTGGGTTTTTTACAACAGTATATGTAATTTTGTCAAATTTCCCATCCATAAGAAAAAAACTATCTTGAACAATCTTAAGATCCATTTCACAAAGCAAAAATAATAACATTAAATTATACTTAGCTTGTATGTAAAGTAGGTCATTGTGTCAATTGTGACCTTCTTTCCTTCAGAGGGCCATATAGCAAGAACTCTTCTATTAATTTTCTTTGCCGAAAAATACAAAATTTATGTTGGATTGTGACATGATGTTTTTTGATTACATAATTACAGTTTGAAGTTTAAAAATTTAATTCAGAGAAACCCTTTTTATAGTTTTGTGTACTTTTCTGTTTATAGGACTGGATTCAGAAATGTATGTATGTATAAACACACACATACATATGTACATACATACATGCACACATCCATACATCTGATGATTTAGTTGTAAATGAGGAAAGGCACCAATTAACTCTGTTGTCATGCCCGGAGTGATGATACGTGTATCAGACATGCAGGTTGTGTTATAACTAGATGGGATTTCAAAAACCACAAATACACAATAACACAGCTTTATTTCTTGATGACTAATTTACTGAGACTAGTAATTTTAAATAATAGGTGCAAGTTGCAGAGTGGTTAATTACATGCTTGTGTATGACAGCATGGGAGAAAAATGACTGTATATTGAGCAGCTGGGTATTTATAATCTTGTTTCATTTTTAAATGGAGATTGGATAAGAGCTCACAACATTGCAGATCACTGAAGATGAAAGATATATTGCCAATTAAGGTGGTATTTTGCTAGTAATTTTCTTTCAGATTTTATATCTTACATACATATGTGCATGCAGATTTATATGTATTTGTGAATCTGGTCCAGATAACAGAAAAGTACCATTTATCATGTTTTTATTACCTTTCTCTCTCCACATGCATGCATGTGTGTGATAAGATGAAATAAAAGTAGTAAATAACAAGTTTTAAGAAACTGGTAGCTAAATCATGCACTGCTGCAGTATAGAGATAATTATTTTAAATTAAAATAGAATTTAAAGTGAATTAAACAATCTTATTCAGATACAGCAAATTAAAACAAAAATTAAATTTGTATTTCAAGTATCTATCTATACATGCATATGTAGATATATTTATACTGTATGTGTATGTGCATGCATGTGTGTGATAAAATTCAAATTAAAGTCATAGCAAATTCAAATATCCCACTCAATCTGAAAATCTTATTTTAAAAATTTTATACATATGCATGTGTGTATGTTAATAACAGAAGATACGAATTACTTTGTCTTTCTGAAAGGATTTTAAGTTTTAAACTTTAATTTGTGTCTTTGTTGGTTCTGAAACAAGTTGATATATTTATTTATTTTGTTGCACCAATTCCCTAATGGATGCAGCAGAAGGTGTAAATTTCGTTTTTCATTTTGCCATGTTTTGTCCTCCTTTTTCTTGCACTTTGACACTGTGCTACTGGTTTTTGGATTTTGCATATAGTTTATTCTGAATTGAGTATGAGATAAATTTTAAGTGTGTAAATCCCATAGCAATCCTTGGTCGGAAACATTTTTCTGCATAAGTATTGATGACACAAGCACAAAAAAGAAAGGACATGAACAAAGTAAGAAAGCATGCTTATTATGCTTAGTACAGCTAAAATGTTGGTGATGTTAAATTTTAGCATACATTAACAGTTTAGATGTGCGTCTCCACCTGAATGTAACAACACTGGATCAGCAGGAGTGGTCCAGTGCATCGGCCAGCAAGATCACCAGACCTCACTTCCATTGATTACTTCCTCTGAGGTATGTCAAGATACTGCTGTATGAAACCCTGATAACAATGCTGAGGAACTTGTTGCATGCATTTTGGCGACTTCTGGGAAAGTCCGGAACATGCCTGCAGTGGCATAACTAGAACTCTTGGGCCCCTATGCAAAAAATTTTCCTGTGCCCATTTCCCAATAAATTTTTTAAAAAAAAGCGAAAAGTTTTTTAAAAAAAGCGAAAAGTTTAAAAAAAGTCAAGGATTTCAGGAGCCAATGTTTTCATGATGATTTTTATCACATCTGGATTAATTGTTAAAAAATTAAAGTACATTCTTAGGGACCAGTTGAAAGGTACAGAACATGAAGAAAAAATAAAAAGGAAAATTTCCCTTGACCAACTGGTGAAATGAAAATTTGCTTTAGTCTGGGTATTTGACGTCAGATGATTTTAATTAAGACTTTTTGTATGAATGTGAGAGACAGATTTTTCTCTCCTTTCACTGCGATGCATACTGATAATAAATGAATAAGTCTATATAAAAAAAAGGAACATGTCGACGTATAGCATTAAGAAAAGGTAGAAAGCCTAGATTTGCGGAGATTTTTATATAAAATCCAAGAAGTTTTAAATTTTTATATAAAATCTGTGCCTATCCAAGTTTTTTCACTTAAGTTAGCAAACTTATAAATAATTAGTTATATTATAAACTGACAGACAAGATAATTGATAAACATACAGAAAGGCTATTACATTAATGTATAGTACTCTGTGATTTACTCAGCATACGAACATGATTTATGCAATAATATACAAGTAATAAATAAGAACTTTTAAAATGTAAATGATACATTTGTTCAATATAAAACATATTTATCATAAACTTCATAAAGAAATCTATTTGAATGTACAATTTTTGAAGAAAATATGTATGGTAAAGTTTTTTTTTTTTTTTAAAAAAAAAACCTTTTGATACACTAAACTACCTGAATGCATGATTTTATAAAAAAATGCTAAAAGAATGCTAAAGTTTTTCACTATTTCCTTTTAATTTTCCTCAGTCCGTACTGCTCTTCTTCTCAAATTTTTTCCTCCCTCAATAAGTGTAATGATAACATTGGTGGCCAAAATTCATCATAAAGAAATAAATCATTCTTTTAAAATTTGCGTCTCCTAACCTTCATTTCCGCAAAATTATTTATCAATACTTGGACGTCCATTTTCTCAGCCATCTCGGCTTCAACGCTCAATAGTGAAAGGTTTGACAACGATCTTGTGTCTGCTGTTTCTTAATATATTTTATTAGTTTCTAGTGAAAATGACCTCTCACTCACTCGTGGCTGTGGTTACAGGTAATGATAAATACAATATAAGTGAATTGCACACTCCCGAATAACTGCTTGTCTGTCATAATATTTTACCAATGCTAATTTAGCTAAATCCTTAAAGGATTTCAAATTTTGGATTTCTGTTCTGAAAGTATTTATAAATAATAAAAGTTGTACTTCCAGTGCAAGTCTTCTTTGTATGGTTTGTGTATTTTTGAAACATTATTAATAATTTACATATTTGTTAACAATGACAGTGTTTTAAGTTCTTTATTTCTCTTATATTTTTCAAATTTAGTTTCTATGCCCCATTTCTTTGCAATAAACCCAGCTTCTTTCATAATGTTCAAACTTGTTTCTCATATCTTGCATATTAATAGAAATGCTTTTTAGATGTTGATGAGCTCCATTCAAGTCGATTGATTTTCGATTGTCGAACCGATTGATTGGTTGATTGATCCTGCACTATGCGCAGGACGTGTTTAAAAATTGTTGTTTTTAATTTTTGGCCTGTTATTAAGTTTCTTAATGTATAGGAAACACAGATTATATTTATATTTCATCATCATCATAAAAATATTTCATGTTGAGTAAAACGAATACGTTATTAATATTAGTAGACATTTGCATTGTTTATAGGTAACAAGTTTGGATTTTTCAGATAAATGGATTAAAAGTTTAGCTGACTTGAATTTTTAGCAAGTTTTAAATTATAAGAATTAGTTTAGATTAATTTAGATACTAAAAATCAATAACTTACCTTTATAATGAAGAATTATATTTGAGATCACTTTGAAATTTAATTTTAAAGAAAAACTTCTGTTTGTTCTCGCCATAGACTATAGAAATGGCATTAGAATAAGAGCAAGTTTAAGTTCAGTTTACCGTTTTGAGTCATCAGCCAATTTACAAGTATACTTAAGGGGTAGTGTTTCACACTTCAGTGCAGCTGTTTAACGAAGAAAGGAACCTTGCCTCCACTATAAATTTCCAGTGTCTCCCTAAGTTAAGTCACAGTAAAACTTTCATCCAAGACTTTACTGAAAAGATGTCCATTGCCCATTTCCCTTTTAAAACGCTGAAACATCTGTTTTTTTCTTTTTCCCTTCAGTCAAATTGTACTGTTATTATTGTCATATTCCAATGATACATAATACATCACCTGTAATATCTTTCAACATTTCCTCTGAACTATAAATGCATTTCAGTTAATGTATAATTATTAAATATTTAACAGTTAAAATTATGGATATTCGAATATTTTTAGGAAATTCTTCACAAGTTTACAATGAAATCATAAACAGGTAGAAACAAATTTTATTGATATGCAAGAGCTTTGAAAATGATTGTGTAATACGAAATGGAAATTTTAAAATTAATCAAAATTTAAATACCCACTGCAGCAAAATATGACGATTCCCTTTCAAGTTTTTCAAGGTCCCAGAAATGTTTAATAATTTAGAGTTAAGCTTATTGATACTAATTTATACTTGAAGATGAGTCTCTGTCACATGTATTCTAAAAGTAGTACACATAAATATTTGTTTAGGAAACAAGTAGAAAGTTTCTTCATAATTAGTAAAAATAAAATTGTATGAAACAAGTTTTGCGTACTTCATAGAAAAATTCGCAAAACTTCATTTATGAAAATAGGTTTGTTGTACCCCAGGTGGTTTACTATTAAAACGTGTTAATTAAATTTTTTAATTTGCAAAAATTATTGAAATATTGCAATAACAGGGTAGCATTCTTTTCTGAAATATTCCATTCATTTGTGTAGTGAAAATAGCAATGTACGAGTAATTCGCATTCTTTCAGATGTTGAAATGCAACTTAAAACTATTAGGGCAATGCTGCCATTAATATGTTTAATATTTTCAGTAATTAATTTATCAAAATTTACGAAGTAGTATATACTTTTAGTTGTGTGATGCCATTTTTATTTTCATTATTATATTATTATCGATGATTTCACGTACTGAATGCTGTGGAAAGTAAATTAAAAGCAAAAGTAAAGTAAATTGTAAAATTTCATTTCAAATAACGATTAGAAAGTACTCCATGAAGGCGTTCTTTCCCTTAGGCAAATAGTCCTCGAGTGCTTTATTATTATATAATAATTCAATTCAATTCCATTTAAATAACATACAAATTATTGTGCATTACTCAATTATACGCTTAAATGTTTCACGTTGTTAAAAAAAATTGTAATTTATGATATTTTTTTCAAACGAAGAGATATTAATATATTACTATCAAAACAAATTTAATGTCTTCAGAATTAACTTTTACAGATAAGTGTGAATTTTTGGTAGATGGGTAATTTACAGACACTACAGCTCAAGAAACACTACAGCTTAAGAAACACTACAGCTCTTCTCTTTTCTAAAGCAAATCCAGTAAATCCTGAAACGAGTTCTGTGCTTTCAGATTTAATTCTGGATTAGAGATTTTAAAGAATTCCTAACCTGCATTTTATCTGCCATGTGGGAATATTTTGAAAATTTTGATATGAAAAATTGGATAAATATTTATTTACTCATTATTTCATGTAAAAATATTCATCCATTTCCATTTCCCTACCTCCATGAGTGAAAAAGTAATGAATTTTGGTAAATTTAATGAAAAAAATTTTATTAAATTTACTCCGGAAATTAACTGAAATATTTGGCTGCTTAATGTTTGAGCATCTGTGTGTTCGTAGCCTGTCGTAAAATTTCCTCCTTTTTTCGGATCTTGAATTCATTCAAAGTTCCCTAAGCCGAACGGGAAATCTCTCCTTTCCAAAATGTGGTGTCATAAATTCTTAGCGTTTCCTTAGAACAGCATTTTGACATGGGAGTGGGGCAAAGTTCTTTCATGCCACAACTGCTCAACTTACATTATTGATTTTGTGTCCTTAAGAAAGAGAAGCATGTATTCTGGAGTTATCAATTGATATTTACGAATGATTCCCCACCCTCCAGCTTATTAGTGTAAAAAAAAGAGAAAAAAATCAATCTGCCTTTGCCATTTTGTAATGTCAATCGTGCTTCTAAATCCAAAACGTTTCTGTCCCTTACCTTGCCACTTGGTGCGACTCATATTAACAATCATGTAAAAGGGATTTAACACAAAATCAAAACATATCAAAATTAAAATAAGAATTTATAGTAATTCAAATTCTAAAAATAAAAATGAAAAGCAAAAGGGAAAAAAGTACAAGATAAAAAATATAAAAATAATAATTAATCTTCTTTTATTGAAATTCTAATTCCGAACTCATCAAGGGAAAATGAATTAAAGCTTCTTTATATATGTAATAAAATCCGTCTTTTAAGTTTAAACATGTAAATGAAGTTCAGCAGGACATTTAAGGGCCCCCTAAGCCTTTGGGCCCCTATGCGATGGCATTCCTTGCATACCCTTATTTACACCACTGCATGCCTGGTATTTTCCAAAACATCAGATCTTCCATGTACCACAGATGTGAGGCCTGCATTATAGTCCATGGTCATAATTTCGAACACCTACTTTGATAATAATCATTGTCCATTTTCACTCATATTTCTTCGTTTTTGCTACATTAAGCAAGCATAACAAACATGTTTTCTCACCCTGTTCATTTCATTCCTTTCTTGTGTTTTGTGTTGTTACGACTGCTCCAGGAAAGCATTTCCGACCATGCATTGCTATGTGATTTCCCATCATTTATGTGTACTGTATCTCTCCTGAAAGTTTATAACCAATTTTCTGAACACCCTGTATATATATATATATATATCAATCTTATAAATATATATATAATATATATATATATTTATAAGATTGATCATATGCATATGGACCAAAATCTGTACTGTGGAACTGCTTCTGGTGATATTCTAAAGCTTCAGATGATTATTAATGATGGAGAAAATAAAACTTGGGATGCTACATTACTATATTGCTTGACAAGAGTAATCAAAAAAGAAATCCCTGGTGACATACCATTGTTCAGTGGTGGTAAGTAAAATCTGACTTTCATGTACAGTTGAGTATTGTATTCTAGCTCTAAATTTTTCTAAAAAATTATTTCAAATATTAATTCAGTTCTATTAGAGTAATAAAATTCTTAAAGATCGTATTTAATATTTGCATTTATTAACTAAAATAACATGTTGAAGAATATATGTTAGAAGAAAGGTTTCATTCAATAAATCAGCATAAGTTTCATAAATTTGCAGAACTAGTTTAGAAGATTTTGTTTAAATCTTTGAAACTATTCCACAGATTTATGCTACTTACCCTGATTCTTTTTGCTTCATCATTTCCAACATTTACATTTATTCTTACAGAAAATGTATGAATGTTATTGAAAGAACATGGATTGAAACGACATAAACAATAAGATTATTTTCAGTTTTAATTATTAGTATGTTTTTATGAAACAAAATATTGCTACGAATAAAGGGAATCTTATTTTCCGTATCTGTATCAAAATGCATAAAGAATACTGTGTATTGCATAACTGTATTTATGGGTAGAAAAGAAAGTGGCAAGTGGGTGGCAATGTATGTGATAGTAGCTATAGAACAAAGCACATTTTTTAATTTAAATGAGTTGTTGGCAAATGCATTCAAGGCATTGTTTCGTGTTTTTGAGAATTATCTGAGAACTTAAATCATTATTAGGTAAACAATTGTGCATTTTTTAGTCCTTTTTAGCACTAGAGGTGCTTTTAGTCTCAAAACTCACTTTTTGTCCATAACATTCTTGTGTCCAAATCACATTTCAAATTGTTGCCACCAAACGTTATCGCCATGTATTACCTTAAAAAAACTAAATAATGAAGAGTATGTTCATGACATTGTAGAAAAATAATAGTACCTAGAACAATTGAAGTTTTAATAATAAGTGTAACCCTCCATCCAAGCAAAGATACCTTGAAGCCCAATTTTGAATTTCAAAGTTGTGTTTTATTTATTTCAAATTTTGTACAAATTTAATGAATATTTATTAAACAAACTCAACAATTTCAAAGTGAGAAGTGGCAACACTGTTTGAATTAAAACATTTTTATCTGCAGCACTATTCACTGTTGCCATTTGACCAAATGTAGATATTTAACATATATAACATTCAAATTTAATCTTTCTGTTACTGAGTAGCAAACCAAGTGACTGAAAAGCAAAAAATGCAGTTCTTAAAAATATATTTTCTACATGTTAATCAGATTGATTTGTGTAAAAGTTCTTTTAAATAAAATATCTAATTAGATATATTAAACAACACACTATTGGAAATTTTAAAGATATGCCGTTTTTAAATATTTTGTGATTTTGCTCTTGAGTTTTATGTGGTGTAAGTGAGAAGAAAGTGATGCTTAGTAATAAAGCTAAAAGGACAAAAAAAAAAAAAAAATTATATTAGGAGCAGAGAGTCCAAAAGCAGATTGGTAACCTGTGATGCTCAGTGAGAGCATAAAAAACCTTAACAAATTCTCTGGTAAAATGTTGAAATCTGAATCCTTTCAGAATTTCTTTCTTTTTTTCCTTTCTTTTTTTTTTTTTTTTTTTTTTTTTTTTTTTTTTTTTCAATTAAATTTTTGGTTGTTATTAAGGTGCTTATACTAGCTTATGGTTTCTAATATAAGAGATAAACATTCTCAGAAATTTTACTTATTTGATAAACTTAATTTTTTAACTAGTTTTGTTTTAAAAATATTTGATATTATTCATTATTTTCAAAATAAATTACTGAAATATTTTTATTAGGTTTATTAGGTTTTTTGAATAGTAAGTTGTTTAAAATTGTAAAATTTTTGGAATAGGTTAAGATTTATATTCATGGTAAGTTATTTACTTACCTTTGAAATATTTGAGTTTGAACTGTGATATACAATAACTGTAATAATATAATATTGATATATTTCTTAAATAATCGTTTAATAACTTTCGAAATGTATATTATATAATTAATATTCATCAGTATTTTTCATTTTTACATAGATATTTTCAAATAAATTTAATAATATTACAATCATTTACTCAGTTGAAAATTATAATTTCTTCTAAATTTATAACTAGTACTAATTAATGTGTTAAATAGCTCTTAAACATTTTTATTGGAAATGTTTCTGCCAGTTTTTGTTGATTAAAAATGAAGCTTTTAAACATAATAAAAAAAGGCTTCCTTTAAACATTATTATTATTATTATTATTATTATTATTATTACTATTATTATTTAAAATTCTTTGCATTTACTGATTGTAATTTTAGCTAACTTGAAAGTACTTACATCTTAATTTTTTTTATTCTGTGTGAATGTATGAAAATATTAAAGTATTAAATGGGAATATGAGATAGACTGAAGGTCTTAGTAAAATATATGTAAACAGACATGCAGAACTCTATATGCAAATAATATATATTTTAGATTCTTAAAAATCTAAGTTATAAATATAGCAAAAAGTTAAATGTTTTATTACAACATACTAATATGCAGTAGGGGTGCAAAGTGTATATATATCTATGCTTGTGAAGATACATAAATCAAAACAGAAGAGAAACATGTAATAAATAAAAAGTAAAAAGTAGTAAAACGTAAAATTAGCAAAGGAACAAATTTGTTTGGTATAGATTTAATCAAGAATTCTACCACCCTCAAAATTGATAGAGTTCTTGACTGAATCTGTGGCAAACGCAAGGTTGTTGCTTTGCTGATTTTAAAGATAGAGCAATAAATCGAAAGTTTGATACATTAATTATTTTTAACATTTACTTGTCATAAGTGATAATTTTTATTTTTTCTTCTGTTGCTTAAATTTATAGTCAATGGCAGAATTAAATTTATGAAAAAAAAAGGCATGATTAAAAAATTAATTCATTGAATACTCTATTAAAAGACTAGGAAGTATAAAATGCTTTGTAAAGGTTAATACAAAATATTAATAAAAATTGGGTTAATTTTCTCTCATGTCATAATTATCCTGCTTTAAAATCAAAACATTGCATAAATTGATAATTAATATGAACGATAATTAATATGAAATTCAGTCAACTAATCTAAAACATTGCTTACATATAAGGATACCTATCATAAAGTTGTGAACTATTACAGGTGTTACAGCTTTAGCTGTTTTAAAAACTGGTGAGCTCTTGATTGGAACAGGAGATGGCATTGTATGCCGTTCTGTGCAAGTAGAGCAGAGGGCTAAGAATTTAACATCTAAAGCTGCAGAAAAATCACTGGGAACCAAGAATGCTAAAATCAAAGTAGAGATGCGGTTACGAGAAACTGAGTATGTTTTTGTTATCACTCGCAAAAATATATTTTTTGTCATTTCATTTTTTATGCATGTTCAGAAATATTTTGCAGCATTTAATAGAAATAATAAAATCTGATTTCCCCTTTCCCTAACAAGTTTTTAATGTACTTCATTTTTAAGATTGCTGCTAAAATTTTATTAAATGTTCATTTTGAGAAAATCTTTTCTAAATATAGCAGTTAGAGAATAGCATGCTTAGAGAAATTTCAGATTTGCTCACTCAAAAAGAGGGAATATAATGTTGTATTTGTCTTCCTTTTCCTTTTCTGATTTTTATTTTATGTTTGCATATTTTTAAATGGTTGAATATTTTTATCAAAAACAATGGCTTTTATTATAAACAAAACTTTTAGGTTTTAAGTTCTTTGATGTAGGCAAAACCCATTTAAAAAATGTTATTTATAGAAATGAACAAATTATCTTTTCATCCACTTTTTCGCCAGTTCTTGTTATGTAAATATTTTGCATTATTCTATCCAGAACAGAATAAAACTCACTTTTTTAAATCTTAAGCTGATTTTTCTTAATTTTTTAATTGGGGGGAATTCAAATTTTATATATATTGGGCTTTTTAATCAATAATACAACACATATTCCTTAAAATATTATTTTCAATTAATCATATTTAAATGTTATGATGCAATTATGTTGAAATTATATGCATATAAATGTGTGTTTAACAAATATTTCTGATGTGACCTAAGATATATTTAACACATACTTATTTATATGTATGGCAGAAAACCTTAACACAGAGTTTAATAGCCATTTTTTTAAAGCTGAAATAAATAAATCTCATTTGAATGTTTCATTAAGTATTATAAATATTTTTGCATATTTTTATGCTAGTAACCTGATGTAAATCGGATTTATATATACATCTGGTTCAATTGAGGTTTATCAAACAAGTTGCAGTAGCATTTCTTAATTAAGACACAAAGATTGTTATGCATTATTTATATTTAAATGCATAAAATGTGTGATAAAATGTAGGAAGATTAATCATTTGTTTATACAAACATTTATTTTGACTTTCTTGGAAGAGCTGCATTCCTATCAAAAAAACAGATATTTTTTTAACAATCAAAATTTTTTAGTTTGTTATCTTTTTATGTATTGTTATTCAGCAATTTTATAAGATATTTATGTATTATCTGTGTTAGAGGTTTTGCATGGAATATTTGTGCATAAAATTTTCATATTTTCATTGTGACTCCATATTATTAAATTAAAAAAATTCATTAATGATATTTATGAATTTATAGAGATTTAGTATATATGCTTGAAAGTGGTAGGGGAAAATCCATAAATCTCAGCAAACGTTTCATTATTTTTATATAATGCTCAAAGCTAAAATACAGTTTCAATCACATGAGAAATTACATTAAACTTTATGCATATAATTGTTACATTATCAAATTTGGATTTTTCACTGAAAATTACAGCTGTTTTTAAAAACATCTGTATGTTTATAATTAAATTCATTAGTAGCTGGCTAATTGAACAATTTTGAAGTTTTACAGAAAAAAAATATTATGTATGCTACTTAAGTTAAATTAAGTCATGTGCTATCTGCATCAAATATTTTCTGTTGTTATACAAATTTTTTTTCAAAATGTTTTATATCATTATTAATTAAATAAAACAGGAATTGCTTATCAGAATTTGTGCATATCTAGCTAATACAAGTAATTTAATATTTAATTAATTGTCTACAGGAAATAATAAGAATTTTTGTGAAGTAATTAATTCTGATATTAAATAATGGAGTACTTATGAATCATTATGTTTCATAATGATATCTGAATTGTGTATTGTTAAGTATAAAAACTGCATTAGGTTCCTTTGTTATGTATTTTATAAATAATTCCACCTTGGTTTATTAGATTATAATAATTATTTTCTTCCTTCAGAAAATGAATTTTCACAGATATGCTTCAATTCTATAAGTTAATTTAAGTTTTTCCTTCTGATTCTAGGAGGACTCTTATACTAGGAAGTGTAACATCTATTGCATTGCGTGGAGATGGGCATCAAGTATGACCTCGAGTTTTTTATTTAAAGAAACATGAGCAACTTGAAATGTGTAAAAATGTGTTGAGTGACTATAATTGATTATGAATCCCCAAAAGTGTAAAATTTTTAATTAAACTTTTAATGCTATTGAAAATTTCCAGGGGTGTTAAGTCTACTTTATATAAATTTGTCACTGTGGTGTTTACCTTCTTTGTTATATTTTTAAATGTAAATATTTATTTATATACATTGCACAGTTTCTTTTAGGCTCTGCAAAATCAGAAATATATCAGGTTACTCTTGTGGGATTTCACTGTGAAAGATTTTATACTTGCCATGGCAGTGCTGTAAATGATATTGCTTTTCCCTTGTAAGAGTAATGTCTTGTTATTATTCTTTAAAATTCTATTGTTTAAAAAGTTAATTATATTAGCCTATAATCAAGTGTTTAAATGATAGCAACAGAAATCTTCAGTTTTTTTTTTTTTTCCTTTTAGTTAGCAGATTCTCTACCCACCCTCTCTTTTTTATTGTTTGCAAACAACGTTTTTGTGTTCCATATTTATTGTAGTAAATTAGTTTTTAATTGTCATTATAAAAATAATTCCCAACCTCTTCCTTCCTATCTGATGGAATTATGATTAGCCTAATTATACAATTTAAATAGTATGGATTATACTTATAAATAAAATTATTATCCCTCAAAGCTTTGTTATTTTAATTAGGTCTTGGACAAGCATGTAGAATATGTAAGAATAGTTATATGATTATAATTAAGCGTTATGTAACGTTATAAAAACATCTGGAAATAATACACATTTTCCTACTGATCTTCTGGTGCATATAACCTTTCTTGTTATGCACCTTTAATTCTACTACTACCACTACCTACTGATCTTCAATCAAATCTGATTTAGCCAGTGGCGTAGCAAGGGGGTGTATGATGCCCCGGGCGCCGCTTGCAGAGGGGCGCCAAATGGTCTCCTAACAATATTTTCATATCACTGTGTTTTTTCGGGGGGGGGCGCCAAAAAGGTATTTTGCCCCGGGAGCTAGTTGTGCTCGCTACTCTAATGGATTTAGCATTCCTTGTGAAAATGCTATCATTAATGTAAACTGCCTAAATAATATTGTGATTAAGTTGATTGTTAAGCTAAATTTAAGGTAACTTTTTATGTTGAATTTTAAAAAAATCAAAACTTTGTTTTGCCACATACTAAAAAAATACTGGGGAAGAAAAAGAGAAGAAATTGTTAATTTAATAATCAGCATGCTAGCCAGACAAATGTATTTTGAAAATAAATGTCATTTTAAACAGTTCTTTGGTAATGACTCAAAATTGGCTGTATTTGTTATGAAACAATAATCATCCTTTAGTCTGAGGAACTGTTATCAAATTTTCTCAGCTATCTGGAATTATATGCATAACTTTTTCCACTATGACAACTAATTTTGAGTTTGAGTTTCTTTATAAGACAAAAACCATAAGAGATAATTTCAGAAGATAATCTTCTGCTTATAAATACATGACATAAAGAGAGTGAGTTTTATTCAATTTATAATCAAGTAAAATGGATTATAATTTATATAATTTTTAATGCAATCCTTTTGTAATCAGTTTTAATATCTCTGATACCACCAACAGTCTGCATATGTTATTGAGTCATATTATACATACTTCTTAATCATGAAAACATTTCAATTGTTACTAAACTCAGTTGTGTCTCCTCCTAGAATTTTCATCTATATGAAATGTAAACTTGCAAATACGTTTAAAATTTAATAGCAGTATTTTGTTGTTTATTTATTTATTTTTCAAAATTTACTTGCAGTAAATGTTCAGATTTATTTGCTACATGTTCTAAGGAAACAATCCGTGTATGGAATGCAGCATCATCTCAGGAACTTTTGAGAATAGAAATCCCTAATATGACATGCAATTCAATATTCTTGATGCAAGATGGAAGATCTATTATTAGTGGTAATTATTTGTAATTTAAGCAGTGTAAATTGTACACATTTATTACTTATTTTAAAATAAAATTGTTGTATTTACTTCAATCTTAATTACAGAAACATTAATGAATTAATGAAAAATTTTCCACTTAATGTGATACATCTTGTTTTACATTAATAACTCATTGTAGGTGACTGTTTTTATTTATTTCAATTTAGTTTATCCAATTTAGCGAAAATAATTCATTCTTTGTTGTTGTTGTTTTTTACTTTTTACCCATGTTTCTAACCACAGAATTTTCTAAATTGTTTTTCTGCCACACCACCTTATCATGAATCTTTATGTAAATAGTTAAATAAATATATAAATTTACACAAAATCAGTAAATTAAGATTAAAGGAGGCTGTTATAATTCAAAGAAATAAAGGCTTAAGATTTATTTTATGAGACAATTTTAATGATTGGTTGATCACTAAATTTTATCATGCATTATTTAAAAGATCATGATGCATCATTTATATTTTCTGATATTGAAAATAAGATATGTATTTAAAAGCATACTTTGGTTGCATTATGTAAAATATAGGTAATGCACCTAAAATATGGAAAAGGTAGAAAAACTTAATATATACGTGAAATGATATTGATTAATCATAGTGTTATACTGAGCTAAATTAAAAATAAATTTCACACATATGCATGCAAAAAAAAAATTTAATTCAGATAATGTTTGATAATAATTCAGCTAACAGTAAATTATAAAACTCGTGAATGCAAGGTCCATATAATAAATTGGGAAAATAAGAATGAATGAAGTTACAAAGAAGATGTGATTATTAGAAGAATGATAATTAAAAAGTAAAATTACATATGTACATTTATATGTAGTAGAGATATCCTCTATATCTTACATCAGTAAATTCAAAATTATAGATGATAAAGTGAAAATGTTAATGCAAATAAATATTTAATATATTTCTTTTGCATTAAAAGTAACACAAGGAAAAAAATTAATTAAATTGTAAATATAAATGCAAGCAAAAACTTTAAAATGTAAGAATGGGCTGTTTCCAAATCAAATGTGATATATCTGAAGTGTAAAGCAGTCACTACTACAATATCTGAAATGAAAAGCAGTAAAGTCAGAACATTAATTTAAGATAACTGAGTTTCATGCTTATATTGCAAGTTGGTGAAAGCTCCTTTAAGTCCTGAAGAATGTGTCTCAAGTGACCAGTCCTCAGATGAGTTGAAAACAATTCCTTCTTTCAGTTTTTTCTTGAATTCCAATGTTCTGTTTGGTGTTTCTATTAATTAATGTAATTTTTGCCTTGATAATTATTCTGATACAAAAATATGAGACATCATTTCATACAGCAAATTTGGCAACAGTTCTTTACCTCTCATTACCAACATATCTGGACATTTAGTAATAAATAATACTATAACTTTTAAAACTAAGACATTGATTCAGGCTTTGAGCTAGAACAGAAAATGAGTTTTCATTAATCTCAAATTTTATTAATTTCAGAATATTAAATGAAACTGAGTAGATCCAGCATAATTCTCTGACCATTTTAAAGTAATCATTAAGTGATATTTAATGTTCCATGTAGATTCTTAAAATAGTACATTGTTAAAGAGATTATTTTCTAACTGACAATAAAACTAAGGTTATATGCTTAGTTTAAGGATCAAAGTTATCAAAAAATAATCAAATACAAAAAAAAAATAATCGTAATGTAAAATCTAAATTAAGCTATTACTTTTGTATGTATTAAAACAGAATTTTCCTGTCCTTTCACCATAGTGAGGAAAAATGAGATAATCATAGGGGGGGGAACACAACACAGTTTTATAACAGGGATGACAAATTAAATTTCTTAAGTTTTATCAAATGGCAACAACTTTTAACCTTTTCCAATGTTGGACATTTCTAAAATATAATTTTATTAGCATGGTATAGAAATCCATTTATTTTAAGTTATTGTATTTTCTTCTATGTTAAGTTTTATTTTAGACCCTTTTTTATGATTCTTCTCTAATTTATTAATTATGTATTGTTACAAACTATTGCCTTGCCATTGAATGCTTATTGTTTTTTTAATGGTTGTTTAAGAACTTTTGATTGCATGAAATTTATAGCTTTCCATACACGTTTGTAAAATCAAAAGTCTGCTACATTAAAGTACTGTGAAATAATGTTCTAAGAAATATTTAAACAAGGGTTGAAGACTGATTGATTAAAATTCTTACTTTTTTATATTTTATGCATTTAATATATTTTTATTATTATTAACTAACATTCTTATCTGCCATCTGTTAAATTTGTGGGATTTTTTATGTTTGAAGTTAAGATTTGAGTATGATATGTGTATGAAGTTTACAAATGTATCCTAAAACATAAACCAAAGAAACTGTACTGTAAATTAACAAGAAAAAAATTCAGTGTTATTTTATAATCCTTAATTACCCAAGCTACAGCAATGAAACGTAATTTCCATTAATTCATATGCTTTAAAATATGAAAAAATTTAAAATGGTGGGTTCATGATGAGCTTTTTAATATTTTAATTGATATACAGTACAAAGTCTTTAATCTGGACTCATCGGGACTTTGGCGATTCCGGATTAGTTGTTTTTCTGTATTATAGATCATCAATTTAAATCTGGTAAGATAGCATGCAGAAACTATAAAATTAAAAATATGAAACCATAATTTATGAAATAAAGAGCAATTATGATCTAAAGGGTATCAAAATTTACAAAAAAAAAAGCTTAATATTTATTTGTTTACTTTATTAAACATTTCTTTCAATGTAAGTTGTTTCGTTTTTTATGTGATAATACATTCTCTTTAATTCTATAAACAGACAGAATTTCTTGTTCAGTTACAAAGTTCCACTGTTCAAGTCCTGTATTGCTTGTGCCGAGAATACCGACTAATTTGTCAATCGAAATTTTTTCGTTTTCACTAATCTCTCTGTCACTTTCTACATGTAAATGGCAACAACTTTTAACATATAACATCCATTTTTTGCAGCAGTTCCACTTTTTGTTTGATGGACATCGAAACATGCTTTCGCATTGCAGCTCCAGAATCAGAAACTTTTTTTGACATAATCAAAAGTTCAAGCTTACTTTCTACAAAATTGCTCTAACAGTCTGCAAAAAATAATAAGCCGAATCCAATTAGAAGATTTAAGAAACAACATAATCTGCAACATTAACTGAAATAGATAATTAGATAATTTTAGCCTAGCTTATACTGTCCATTATACATAAAACGCGCATGCGTAAACGTATTATGCGTATGCATACATGCTACGCATGCGCAGAAAGTTTGTAGCTTTAAGGTCAGGATTATAGATCATTCCGGATTAAAGACTTTGTACTGTATAATGCGATTAAGATTTTTGTTATTTAGTTTGTCTTCAACTCATGTGTAATATCATACATAGGATGGGACGATGGAAAGATAAGGGCTCATACTCCTGAAACAGGGCAATCCTTATATATCATAGAAAATGCTCACCAGCGTGGAGTTACTGCTCTAACTGCCTCCTCAAACTGCTTAAGAGTTGTCAGTGGTGGCGGAGAAGGTGATGTTAGAGTGTGGGACATCACTTCTAGCATACAAGTAAATAATTTTAAAACTACAAAACAACTGCATTTTCTAATAAAGTAATTTGATATTGCATTATGTAGCATGAAAATTTCAATTTACAGCCACAAGAAATCAATGATAATATTTCAATAGATGCATTTTTTTATTATTGCATGCAATTTTCAATGTAATTTAAAATACAAATAGTTTAGCCCCACCAAAATATATATATAAATTTAAGACAAAATATTTATATATTTTTAAGTGACACAAATAGAAATGTATATTATTGCTATATAGTTTTCAATATGCAAAATTAATTTGAATTATGCCAGCATAATTGCCTTTTCGTGACAATATTGCTTAAAAACAATACACCTATTCATAAAACTGTGCTATGCAAAATGCATAAGATAATGGGCATAAGATTTGTGTTCCAATGCGAATAAACAGCATTAAAGTTTCACATCAAGGAACATGAATTTTACGTTCAAAAAGGAGAAATTGATAAGTCATTGCTAATTAATCATTATTGGAAATGAAATTTGATCACAGTTTTGACTTTTCGTCTGCAAAAATTATTCCAAAAGCTTCTTCCATTGGTGAATTAGATTTTCTTGAAGATTTTCATATTAACAAAGATTTATCTTGTTTAGTTAACGACTTTAATTCTAATCCAGTCCTTCCGAATGCTTTTAAAATTCTATAATTTTAATTTTTTTTCAATTTTCTTTACTATCTCTGCTGATAGATGGTGCTACCACCTTGTTCGCTTTACTGCAATTGGGTACTGTACAACTGTGGCTTTCCCTTCGTTGCAGTTTACTTTACTCCTGATGAAGAGGGACCTGTACCTATTTACCCTCAAATCAAATAGTCTTGACTAAAGTCTACACCAAACACAAGGTTGTTGCTTTGCTAATTTTATGATTTAGTTGTTTGTATTAGGTACTTAATTTTGTAGTCCACATGGTATTGAGAATACTTTTCAAATTTTGACTTGCAGAACCCCCCAGGGCTCCACTAAACATAGGTACTCCTCCATCTCAGAGTTTCATTTTGTTGTATGTAGCTTAAGAACAACGAACAACTTCTTGTCAGTTATATACGTTATACATTGCTACTATAAATATTCCTTTGTATTAATCTGCAAACTCAATATATCTTCTCATAATTCAGTCATGGTCTCTTTTGCATTAAATCATTATTTCTTAAATATTTCAGAAAGAATTTAGGACTATCATATCTTAAATCCTGTACCTTTCATTACATCTATAAAAAAGGTCTTAAGTATTCTACATTTGCATATATCTGTCAAAAATGCTAAATTTCAAAAACGATTATTCTGTTATTTTGGTACATATTAAATGGAATTCTGTCTAAATTGCATTTAACGTATATTAAAAGTAATTAATTAAACCTCTCTTATTAAACTTTCTTTAAACCTGATAAACTTAATTTTGCAATATATTTGCTGTCATCAAACAGAGAAGAAGTTGTGATAAACTATATGCTTTTATTTTGCTGGTATTCTGATGGATCATTTATTTCTCATGATTCAAAAAATTGTCAAATTTCTTTGGTCTTGACTATGTGTATGATTCTTTTCTTTTTGTGATGATAGGAAACTGGATTTAATACTTAAAAGTAGAAGTACCAGAGCCTTATGGAAAGTTTTTTTTTTTTTTTTTTTTTTTTTTTTTAGTGTTGCCATCACTTGCTTTGAAATTGTTGAGTTTGTTAATCAAAAATTCATTAAAAGTTTTACAAACTATGAAATAGACAATAAAACAAATTTGAAATTCCAAATTCTGGCTTTCACATGCCCATATTTGGGTAGAGGACTATGCTATTCAGAACTGCATGCCTCTAGGTACCATTGTTTTTTCACAAATAGCATGCATACATTCATACAGATTCTTCATTATTTGATTTCTTTAAATATAATGCAATATGATAATATATTTGGTGGCAACAATTTGAAAAGCGAAACGAACATATGTAGTGAACCAACACAAAATGTTTTTTCAAATAGCTGACTAATAGCCCATCTGGGCTAATGCCCCTTTGGACTAATAAAAATTATTTTTTATCTATATTATAAAATATTTATAAATTGTTTCAGGTTCTTGTTAGAACAATGAAGGAGCATAAAGGTGCCATTACATGTATACGAATGAAAAGCAATGATAGAGAATGTGTGACATCTGCTGGAGATGGTTCTTGCATTATATGGGACTTAGAGTGTGTACTGATTTAAAATATTATTTCAGTTTTCTGTCTTATATTTTATAAATGCAGTTGATGTGTGTTTTCTTTTAATTCATAAAATGTAGACGTATCCAGGTAAACCACCAGTAATACTTTCATATTAGATCTAGTATTTTTTTCTTTTTCTTAAGGTAGCTTGATATTAGATCTAGTGTTATGTTCCTTTTAAGCAATAAACATAACAATAAATCGATTTTAATTGCACTACAAAATCCCTTATTTAAGCCAAACTTTCTCTTCTTAATTTACCCTCTATCCAAAAGCAGTAAAATTCAAATTTAAATTACTAATGCAATGCATATTACCTTTGTCTTCTAATTTCATCTGTTGAAAATTACCATGAAATATTTCTCTAAGTATTAAAAATTATTAACTTGTTGCAAGTAACATCATCTAAAAAAATAAAGCCATTTTTTAGCATAGAAAATGTATATTTAGGAGTAAGAGTAGAAGCTGTTCTAAAATGAGTTTACATGAGAATCAAGTTCTTGGAAGAGGTATTAAGATAATTTGGGGAGAAATATTTTTCCAACTAATAATTCCAATTTCTTAATAATATTCCCAAGTGATTGTATTAAAATATTCAGTGATACTGATACTGAAATGGTGAAATGGTGAAAATCAGACTGTTTTTACATTACAATGCAAATATTTTGGATTTTCCTAATCGTTTGAAAGAATAACTGTTTTGATCTTGAGAGGGAATGATATATATTGAAGATTTTAGAAACACTAAGAAAAGATCAGAATTCATAAATTTTAGAAGTAAAAATTTGAAATGAAAAATGCTGTAGAAGAAATGTTTCTCAAATTACCATTATTAGTTAAAACAGTGTAATTCCTTATTCATTAGCAGTAATAGAAGAAGTATTTCCAGCAGTGCCAATGGAATGGATAGGAATAAAATAAAAATCAACTATAAAACTCCTTGAAGAATGATTTTTTTTTTAACAGGAGGGGGAGTTGAAATACCCATTAGCAATAGATTTTGTTAAAGCTTAAGGGTAAATTAATGCAGCAAGATATACTAAAATAATGAACAAACACTTCCAGTCCTTTTTGGTGTGTATAAGAATATATGTAATTAGTATATTAAGTATATGAAATACCTATGTCTAAATAGCATATAAAATACCTATGTCTAAATAGCATATAAAATAACTAAAATGTCTATATGTTAATAGAAAAATTAAATAACTAAAGTTCAAACTAACTAAGTAAAGTTAAGTAAAAAGTATCAGTGTGCAAATACTGAAGTTTTATATTTAGTTCATCTATTATTTAACTGCTCCAACATTAAATGTTTATTATTAATAATATTGAAATGCTCTAACATGAGAAAACATGAACAAACATAAATTTAGTATACTTTATTCAGAACTGGAACATTTTTCTTGTATAGGTTAGTGTAAAATATGGTCATGCTGCCAAGTGGTCACCAGGTAGTTGTTCTGTATATAGTTGTATATTAGATTGTATTGTGCTACATTCAGTCATGCAGGAAATTGGATATTATTTTCTATGATGCAAAAAAAAAAGTTTGTCAGTTCGTAACTCACTATTCAAGAGTTTTTAATACCCTATAATATTAAAAAGGTAAAAAATATGTATGGTTAAATAATATGGAGCCTAAAGAAATGTCTCATTCCTGGAAGAACTTATCCGAAGTATATAATTCATGATTAGTTTGAACATTTAATTGTATAATTACTGTCAAGTGTAAAATAATAAAAAAGTGCAATTAGAGACTGGCAGTCAAATCTTTCTGTCAGGAAAAAAGTTGAGATTGTGAATTTAAAGAAGCAAATTTTGCATATAAAAGTGTGGGAGATTTTATATTTAACTTGTAAAACTTTAATGAATGTTTTAGTAAATGGCATTTTTATTCCGTGGGCCCATGTTAAAATTAGTTTTAATATTTATAGAACCCTTCCATCCTCAGTGCTATGACAAGTTTTATAAAATTCTTCACCATTTATTTTGAGAAATTTTTTAACTAGCAGTATATATCTAAGATTAAATAGTTAAGGAGTTAGTGGACAGAATTTTCAACCATACTATTATATTTCAGAGTACTACCTTAATAAGGAGATGGAAATATCAAACATATTATTAGAATATAGTTATAAACCTCAAAACTGGAAATGTATAGTCCATGCTAGTGTTCTTACTGTTGGCCATGCCTTTCAATTAGGAAAATGCTCCATAAAGACATATTATTTAACCATAAATATTTTTCCTTCCTTGAGACCTTTCGCTTTAATCAGTAAACCACTCCTTTTATTTATGAAGAACTATTGACTATTGCTACATATTATCAAATGCTATAACATTTGAAAAGGAGCTGTTTGAAATAACAATCTATAGTTATCATTCTTCTTAGTAGCATTTTTATTTTTCACACTTAAAATTCTATCAGAAACTCAAACACTATTTCTATTATATGTAGATTCCTAAATTATTATAAATAGAAATAAGTATACTGAATGTCAGAATGAATATTTCTTCCATATTTTGTAATATATAACACAAATATTTAGTTGTAAATTTCTTAGCTTTCAATCCTTTCCATTATAATTTCATCTCATAAGTATTCTACTTAAGGTATTTAACTGATATTTTATAGTTATAGTTTTATTTTATGCCTTTTATCTTGCATATACATTTATCTTAGCAAATACTGTGTTAGTAATAATATTTTTTAAAAGCTTATTATTAGTTTCACAGTATCTTTTCTAAAACAATAATTAAAATGATGACTACATGTGAAAAGAATAAAAAGGAATAAAATGAAAAGAACAGGATCTTCAACTAATTTAGTAATTAAGATATCTTTCATAATGAATTAATCTTGTGCTTCATTTGTTTCAAACTGAGAAAATATTAAAATATTTCTGTAAAAGTTATTTTCTTTTTTAAATAACTACTTAATGAATTTTTAGGCATAACTGATTGATAACAACATCCATAACATGTTCCTCCATTTTAATGATATTTCTGAAAAAGTATGCTATGTATATTTTTGTATTTAATTTCATTTTCATGTATATTCAATCTCTTTCACAGAAATTTTATCAGAATACAAGTTGTATTTGCAAATACTCTGTTTCAAGCTGTTTGCTATGGTCCAAGAGAACAACAAATTATCAGCTGTGGAACTGATCGAAAAGTCACATACTACGAAGTTCTTGATGGTACTCTTATCAGAGCCTTAGAAGCTTCATTATCTGGTTCTATAAATGCCTTGGATATAACAGATGACTGCAAAATTTTTGTAACTGGTGGTGCTGACAAATTTATCAAGGTTCATCAATTTGCATAGTTTTTTTGCATTTATTTATTTTATAAATAATATTTAAAAATTGTGCACTTTGCATTAATTATTTAAAATGCATTAATATTTATATATTAAAACTGTTTATCTAAAATATCTTTATTTTAAATTTTATTGAATAATTTAATTTTTTGTTAATTTATAACAATTTAATTTTTACTCAATATTAAAAATTCAAATTGCCACCATAAAAGGAGTTATATGCTGTTTAGTCAGGCCTACAGACATTAGAATATCTACAGTTCTCAGAATTATTTTAGTGTAAAACTCTGTAATTTAATGGATAGGGTGACCCATGACTGAATAGTAAAAGTTCCAAACACTGATAGCTCAACCTAAATTCTAATCAAAGTGAATGAGCTGGGATTTTTTTGTGGTTTTCTCCTATGTGCAATGAGAATAGCAGCCAATTTCCATAGGAAGGTTTTCATGAAGATATCCCTCATGTTGTAAAAATAAGTGTTACCCTCATAATCTAAATTATCCAAACAAATATATGGATTAAGTTATAAAATTATAAATCTCTTTTCGTTCTATTTAAACATATAGTCTTATTGATTTTTTTCAAATAATTCTTAAACATTTTATGCATAGAAATAACTAAATAATTTATTTCTCTCATTTGTTTTGTATGCTTTTTGCTTCAAGTGGAACTGTAAAATGGTTTTTCATCTATGCGAGAATTGAAACATAATAAGATCACAGAATGAAGGAACCTGGAAAAAAATACACTATAACTCGCAGATAAATTCCCTATTCTGCAATGTTTTACTGTTATTTATTTATTTAGAAAATAATGACTTTTCATTGAGTCATAATGACTTATACATGCATTTATATAGAAATATCTTATTTATCTTTGCAAAATTTTTTCGCTTTACAGTACATTAAGTTCTGACTTTGCTATAAATTTCTCTTTTGTTTAATGATAATAACAATGAAAATAAATAATGAACAGTAGAACAAAATTTGCCTTATAATGACAAATTGCTTTTCATTGTTTATCCCTTTTATATCTATCCCAAATAATTTTTTTCTTCTAGTTGGTTTAATAATAAGCACCACTTAGTAATGCTGATAAATATAAATGCCTGATAGCACCTTAAATATAGTTCAAAATAACTTGCTTATTATTATTTTTATTACTAAGCACAATGTTATATTAACATGGTCATGGCTAGAGATTTAATGTTCTTTACAAACAAAAACTAAAAATTGTTTCCAGTAATAGTCATGGCATTTTAATAATAATATTTACTCATTTGAAAATTTATTTCTTATAGGTTTGGAAATATGTGGAAGGAATAGTAACACACATTGGGGAAGGCCACAGTGATGAAATTACCGCCCTTCGAATATCTCCAAATAGAAAATATATTATAAGTGTTGGCAAAGATGGTTCTATAATTCGATGGAAGTTCCCATCATAATTTTTATTTCATATTGTTGTTTTATTGTGCACATTTATTGTAAAAGTTTTAAGTCTGTTTAATTTAAAAACTGCATATAAAACTAGTTAATTTTATTTAATTAACTATTTAGCATAAATTTATTTTGAAATGCATTGTCATGTATTATGCAGATCTTTATTCATAATATTTTATAAATAGCTAATGTGATTAATTTTTCAAATTTCAGCCTAAATTGTTCTAATATTTTTATATAATTTTATTTAAATGCTTTACATGGTAGTATACCTATCTAATTATGGAAAGAAAGTAGTCTTCATTTTAATTATCAATAATATTAAAGTTAAATATCTTTACTATTATTCCGTTTTGGCATATTAAGCATGTTTGTTCATAGTTCTAATTAGCAATACAAAGGCTAGATATTTTTATTATTTCTTTTCTCATACAAGTCATGTCTAGAAAATAGTACACATTTTGTAGTTAAAAATAATGAAAGCAGTTGGTTGAAGAAAATTTTTTTATTTTGAAAATACTTTGGGATATTATTTTGCATATAATTACTGGCACTGAGACACTTATTGGGAGACATATTTCAGTAAACTCTTCTCAGATACTTCCACCAAATGACTTCCATTCAATGAAAGCAAATGGCATAAAAAAAAAAAAACATGATCATCCTCCAAGGTCAATACCCAGCCACATGCTTCTGCATCCACACAGCAGTTTCTTCAGAACTTATTGTAGAAGGTTTGGGAAACTAACAAACCCCAAACTTGTTCTCCAGTGATTACTAGCTTTGTGGAAAGTTCTTTGTTAACAGCAAAAATCTCCAGAAAATGGTAACTGCTTTTCGTGATAGACTGACTGCAGAAGTTTATGATCAGGATAACAAATATTTGTCCTTTCATAGTACCTGAAATCCTCAGTGCCACAGTTATCTAAATAGAGTAAAAGAAACAGTGCCATGGTTATCTAAGTAGAATAAGCTTTAAATGTGTACTTTCAAAGCTTGAAACAAAAATTGTTTATATAATTTCTTTCACTCTCTTTTTTATTACCAAATGGACACTACTTTTTGTCATGCTATGTAGATCTTCATTATGCTATGCAGATTGTATTTAATATTTTTTCAATAGGTTTTCATCTTAATATATCCTTCCTTTATGTTTGACATATATATTGTGAGATTTATAATTATTTATTATTTTATGATATATATATACTTATAGTATGTTATGAATTTGTTGTTTAAATGCAATTAAAAATGTCTTTCATTTGTTATAAATAAATAGTTTAAAATATATGAGCATTCCACATAAGAAATAACTTAATAAAATGCAGTCAAATACATAAATTCACATCTGAGAATTCTTATGGTCGTAGTAAGCCCATATTTATGTATGTTAATTAAGCTTGAAATGGGAACAATGATATCAAATGGAGTTAAAGTTCATTTTCAAGGATTTTTTATGCATTTTTTTATTAGTCTCTAATTCCATTTGTTCTTATCATAGCTTTTTGAATTTGAATAATTGAACTTGGTCTTCTGATTTAGTGTATTGAATTTTTTAGAGGTATTTGTATTGTGAATTTCTGTGTATCATTTAAAGTTTTAGTTTTATCAAATCCATTACTTATGAATTGTTGCTAAATTCGTTGCTGATTAGTTCAAAATTTATATAAAATATTTCAGATACATACATATGAAATAAAATATTGTGAATAACAGATTCTTAGAATATAATTTGTGGAGTAATCAATTTAAAATTACATTCCAATATTAATTTCTCTGCTTTCTACTGTGCTTTGCATATAGAAAATTAATTTCCATAATTTAAGTGAAGGATTTAATTGGTATATCTTTAATTGATACAACTGAGTATTATTTGAGAAAAAATGCTTCAAAGTGAATTTCTGTATTTCTTGTTAGTGACAATGAATTGGAACAAACTTATTCAGAATTAAATGCAAACAAATTGCACTTCACTTGTTGCTTGTATTTCGTAAGAATTTAGACTGTCTATAAATTTCAGTTTTATCAAACGTTAAGTAGATTTATTATAAAACATGTGAAATACTTTTTGAAATTTCTTTTGATTGTTTCTCTGTCTAAAATTTTGGTTTTAATGTATCAGATAGCATTTTATTAGCTTTAAGTTCATTATTCATTTCACACATTTGAAGCATGTATTCTGTACTGTAATTTTACTTGTAATACAATCAAAAATATGCAGTGATTCCCTTCTTATATGCTATTTTGGTGATTTTAATGCATTCACCTCCTTCAACCATATATATATATATATATATTTCCTCACAGGGCATGATTAATAAAATATTGTTAGCTCTAGCAAAAAGAGAAAACATTTTTTTAAATAAGCTTGTAATCAGATTTATAACACATTTTTTGTAAAAAAAAAATTGCTTTCATTATATGTTTGTGTAATTCTGGCATACTTTTTCTCAGTTGCTTGTCCCTTAAGTTAAACCTCTTTAAATAAATAGAGAAGCAAAAATATGTTAATTTATTAATAATAAACTCAGTTATCTTCAAAAATGCTATTTACGGCATATGGAAATGTTAGAATAAGTCATCTGCTTAGTAAATTATATATATATATATATATTCAATAGATTGAATTTAAATGAAATAATGCACAAATGAAAAAGGAGCATAATCTAAGAACTGCATATTATAACACTTCATAGTTACGTTTAATAAATTATAAATCTTTTTATATGAAGCAAGGGTGGGGGACTAACGCTTGATCTAACTGGAAGAAAAGCATATTAGTATAAAATTTTAAATTATTAGAATAAATCATAGATTTTTAATAAAACTCTTAATATTTAGGAGGAATTAATTGATAAAGGTCCTGAAGATGAGACAAAACTTCCAAATTCCTACTTAAAAATTCTCCTTGTAATAAAAAAAGCAAAACAAATGTGATTGAAAGCATGGGAACAGTGATGACAGATGCTCTGTTTTCCCTGGAAGTTGAAAATAGAAGCATATATTTTCTTTACAGGCATGAATCTTTTCCACTGCACATCTACAGTAGGAGAAAAAAAGACTGCAGCAGATATTTTGTATGCAGTAAAAGAGGTGATCCTGAGTATTATATTTTTATGTGCCAATTAATAGCAAATAATGCATTGCAGAATTCTTAACCTATTTCATTTAAACTAATTCTAATTAAGCATGAGTTGGTGCATATGTATATACAATAGGCTCAGTATATACTAAACAAATCTGTGGCCAGATTGTTAAAAATATGCAAAAAGTATCTGCTATGAATAAAATAGAAGTATGCCTTTCATAAAAATCTCAAACTCTCAGTACAATTACTTCACGAAGTGCTCCTTGTAAACATAAGAGTAATTTTGTGAAAAGTACAGGGTGGTCATAACTAACTAAACTAATACCACTCTCCGTCCAATGAAAGGACATTCAGGGTCTGGCAAAGAATAGCCAGAAGAGTCACCCGAAGATGACTTTGAACACACCTGCTAGGCCTGGAGTCCCACATCCCCGAGACACCAACAATTTTGAAAGACCCTCTGCTAGAACGCTTAGCGAACAGCGAGCCCACCGCTAAACACGAACCAGTCAAGACCACCGTCCCGGCTGGGCCGAGACCATGGTGGGGTAGGCGATGACAACTTACGGTCGATGACCGGCCATTAATTTGGGCTACCTGCCAGCATTACACGGGATGCCCCTCTCCTTAGGCTTTACATGGAATTCCAAGGACAGCAGTGACCAGACTCTCAATGGTCCAGTTTGCTATTTTATATTTTATTGGTATTGGTAGCCAAATAGCAAAAATATTATATATTTTTGCTATTTGGCTACCAATACCCTGGTGGAAAGGACTTACACCTCCCGGCCCATGAAGAGCAAGTATAGACTTACCCCATGGACCATCAGGAACCGCCAAGTTCATAAATTTTATACCCCCATGGCCGAGACTGCCTAGGTACAAACCCTAGCCAGTACTGCTCAGAATACTCTACGTCGACCCCGGGGGGGGGGGTCATTTAAAGAAGAAAAAAAAAAAAAAAAAACCCTTCAATATATGATGTAAAAAAAAAAAAAAAAAAAAAATTTCGGAACTTTCAAATGGGCAATATCCACTTTCTTTCCTGCGCAAATTAATCGTTGCATTGAAAAACCAAAAGTGGTGATGGAACGATACAAGTATGACAAAATATTTGCAAGGAGCATTCTAAAGATCCAGTGACAATGCAAGAGGGAAAAACTTTTATTGGTATAACAAATTTTCAACGTGCCCACCTTCGCAGACAATCACGCATTGTATGCGGGAGATTGATAATAAACAATGACGAATGAAACTTCTGACAAATCTGGTAGATTTGAAGTGTACACCTTAAATTTCAGATCACCCTAGGAATCGGAGTTAGGTCAAGGAATCACGATGGCTACGAAGTTACGGGAGATGATTTCTATCTTAAAACTTTGTGCATGTTGAAAACTTGTGATTCTAATTACAAATTTTTCCCTGCACTCTCTTGTGTTGTCACTGAGCTTGCAAATGTTTTAAACCAATATTTTCATTATACGTGTATCATTCCAACGCCATGAATGGTTTTAATATGCATATATTCTGTGTTTAAAATATTATTTATGGCTGTTAAATATTGAAAATCCATTTAATTTTGTTTGAAAAACAGATTTCATTATTTAAGTAATTATAATGCTGTTTATGTATTGGCTCGCTGATTCGTTATAGAATAACATGCTATTTTTAGATTTTTTTTTCCTTTATGTTCGATTGTGAATTATTTTGCATTTGATGTCATTATATTGTCGGAAAAGATGGTTGCTCCAAAAAGTTTTAAAAGTAAATGCTGGTGTTTTACTTTGTTTGATATTAAAAATTATGTTTGTACCAAAAACGGATGAGTATCTTATTATCGGTTATGAGAATTATCCATCTACGGGTAGCGAACATTTCCAGTGTTATTTGGAAAACCGGACGTGCTATAATAATGTGAAAGCCCTGTTCCCAGGTGCTCATATTGAAAGTGCTAAGGGTTCTGCTGAAAATAAAGACTAATGCTCAAAGGATGGTAAATTCACTAAGTATGGAACTTTACCCAAATCTACTAATGGAGGTAGCAGATTTAAGGAATTTTATTGGCTCTGACTCCAAATTAATTTTTATTTTTACAACTCCGTTTCATCAAACAACGTCAATCCTGTTTTAAATCAAAAATAATCTTAATTTTGTTTTTAGCAAATGTCAACTCTTTAGAACAATATCATTAGTAATATTTTGTTGCCATTCCAAGAACAACAAAAAACAAATAAAACAATATTAATCAGTATTTAAAGTTTCTGTATAAGTTCAAGCCACAACAAGTTCTTAAGCCTACTGAGGACGGTGATATTACTGCCATTAAGAGTTCCTCTTCCTTGTATCTTCGTTACAACAGGACTTAGGAATTTGTTTTCATTGAAATCTAAATTATGATTCTAATTTTTTTTAATGGTGGTTCTTACATTAAGTACATATTTTTCGATCATTTTATATATCTATATTTCATTTTTTATACAAAAGATTAATGCATTATTTCCAACAATTTCTGTGCTAGCTGTTTATGGGTTTATGGTCTGTGAATATTTTAAAAGTTCTTCCTTCCAGTAAAAATTTCAGAAAAAGCAGCAGAAAAGCTTTATTGAGCTATTCATTCGTTACGAAAAGAAATGAATATAAGTGTTTGATGGAGAGATAAATTCCTAGTAACTCTCTATCGTAAGTACTGTAATGCTTTTGTACTTCGTTTAGTTTTTTTGGGAATAAAATGCAACAGGTGTTCATGCGTTATCTTCAAATTGTTGAAGTACCGCTACAGTCGCCGAGTCTGAAGTGTCTGTATATAATGACAGAGGTAGTTCATGATTCAGGAATGCTAAGAGTTTTGTATTGATTAAATCATCTTTGCATCGCTGAAATTGTTCCTTAACTTCATCTGTCCACTGAATTTTCCGGGCTCTTTTAAGGTAGTCGTGTAAAAGATTTTTTTTTATGTATTTTTTAAATATCGCCGATAAAAATTAATAAGACCTAAAAATGTTCTGAGTTCGTGAATGGTTTGTCAGGTAAAGGTCGTGATCCTATAGGAGTAATTAAATAACCCAAGAATTCTATTTCTTGTGTGCCAAAGATGGATTTGGAAACATTAATGCAGAGTCCATAGGCATTTAGTCTCTCAAACACTAGCTTCAAATGGATTCTGTGTTGTTCTTCACTAGTAAATGCTATCAGAATGTCATCTAAGTATGGAAAAGCGAAATTTAGACGAGAAAGAACTGTATTTATAAATCTTTGAAACGTTGCTGGTGCATTCTTCAAACCAAAACTCATAACATTAAATTCATATAATCCAAAAGGAGTAATAATAGCAGTTTGGCATCTGTCTTCTTCGGCAGTAGGCACTTAATAGTAGATTTAAGTAAATTTATTTTGGAATAAATATTCGTACCTTTTAAAATATGATGGAAGTACCCTATCCTAGGAATAGGATATCTTAGCTGTCTATAATCTCCACATGGGTGAACAGTGCCATCTTTTTTTAGCACCACATGCGGAGGACTTGCCCATTGAGAACTCGAGGGTCTTATTATGTTATTGTCCAACATGAATTAATTGAAAATCTTGCTTAACTACTGCAAGTTTTCGAGGATCCAACTGTCCACTAAGAAACGCACTTTCGATTTTTTATCTCTGATAAATAGGCGAAATTGGTGACATTCTTTAACATTATAAACAGTAGAGCTTGCCGTCTCCTTTACTGCGCATTGTCGTTTCCCAGATTGTATGACTTATCACTTGACCAACTGCACGGTTGAGTACATTTATCCTGATGACATTTGTTACCGAAACGGAAATGATAAAAACAATATTTTCCTTTAGGATTAAATCTTTTCCTAGAAGTACTGCGCGATAGAGAGTTGTTTCTACATCGTAGCCTCGATATATGATGAACAGTCATTTCGGCAATCCGCTGTTCAAGGGATTGAATTTTCATTAACAGTTCTGTATTCGAGTAATTACCAGCTGTTGATACACCACAAATCTCTTTAGAAGGTGTCATATCTGAAATTTTATCAGCCATGATCGCCAACTTGGGTAATTCTTCGTCACTAACAAGTATTATATTACACATAGAATGCGGCAATTTCTCTAACCATAACGTTTTAATTACATTTTCGGATACATCCGATGTTGCAACATATTTTAATTTTTGTAATAACTGACTGGGTTTCAAGTTGCGTAAATCGATTCCTGTAAGAAGGTTTTTAATTCTAGTACTTTCGCTTTCTTTAAATCCAGAAGCCTTGTTTTGGATTCTGTATATTTAGTAGCGGAATTACTTGTTACGATATCCCAGATGTTCTCAACATATTTGGGTTCTGTCTGTGATACTAAATAGTTAAATTTCCATTTCTTCCGAAACAATTCCATTTATCTTAAACTGAGCCTCAACTTGGAGGGGGGGGGGAATTTCTGGGTGATCCAACCAAAATGGAGGAATTTTGACACTTACCTTACACAGTTCGTGTGCAGGATTCGTGACAGTTTTATCGTCTTCAAACATATTCACTTTAAAATCAAAACTCTAAGTCACCAGTTATTGGCTCTGACTCCAAATTAATCTTTATTTTGGCTCTAGTGGTAGAATTGGGTGCCTCTTCGATTAGCGATAATTTCTTTTCTTTCTTTCTTTCTTCTTTCTTCTTTTTTTTTTTTTTTTTTTTTTTTTTTTTTATTTTGGCAATAAAACCTCATTTTTGGTTGCCATGATAGTTTTAACTTTGTTTTAGCTTGCTGATTTTTTTTTTAATGAAAATACTCGTACATTGATGGACTCGTACATGGACAAATTTAAGGCAGTGTGCAATGCCTAGTTTGTGCAATTCTGGGATTTTTTTTAAGTGAAAACAGATCGATGTGTACATGAACACAAAGTTTGTGCGATTCTTTGACTTTTTACTTTGTTTTTGTGTAGCAATCATCTTGAAATTGTGCCTTCCTGGCGCTTATCTTAGCGTCAAAAAAGAATCGCCAAAAAACAAGGGGCACCCAATTGTAAACTTTTGCCTTTATTTTTACAACTCCGTTTCATTAAATAACGTCAATCCACGTTTTAAATCAAAAATAATCTTTATTTCGTTTTTAGCAAATGTAAGCAACTCTTTAGAACAATATCATTAGTAATATTTTGTTGCCATTCCAAGAACAACAAAAAACAAATAAAACGATATTAATCAGTATTTAAAGTTTCTGTATAAGTTCAAGCCACAACAATTTCTTAAGCCTACTAGGACGGTGATATTACTGCCATTAAGAGTTCCTCTTCCTTGTATCTTCGTTACAACAGGACTTAGGAATTTGTTTTCATTGAAATCTAAATTATGATTCTGATTTTTTTTAATGGTGGTTCTTACATTAAGCACATATTTTTCGATCATTTTATATATGTATATTTCATTTTTTATACAAAAGGATTAATGCATTATTTCCAACAATTTTTGTGCTAGCTGTTTAAAGCGGTTGTTGCATGTCATATTCATTGTTATCGGTTTTAGAATTCAGTTTTTATTTTTATGTAACCATGAAAACGAGAAGTTCTATAATCTAGAAAAAATGTTTTTGTAACTTGTTAGTAAAAAGTGTCTTAGTAAGAAATAAAATATTTAGTTTACGTCTATGTGATCCTTTTCTTGAGAAGTTACAACAGCAGTGTTTTCATTCTATTTTTATAATTTAACATTTAGTACTATTTTCTATTCGTAGTAAATGTT